TGCAAGGTACCATACCACAAAGGGAAGGCTGGGATTGATTTTGGGGGTGATGAATCATAAGGGGGTTTAAAAAATTGGGGGGGGATTTTTTTTTCCTTTTTTTTCTTTAAAATTTTCCATTTTAAATTGGTTATTTCTGATTTATATATAAAAGCAAATAATAATGATATGGTTTGAATAGGTAAATTAAAATTTTTTAAGTTCTTAGACCACATTCATTCTGTGTCAGAAACCTATGCTGTGTCAATTATTTAATTACAATCCAAATTCAGTGCTGTATCAAGCTTGAATGTTGTGTCCATACTTGCCCCAACTGTTCAGGGTTCGACCTCTGCGGTCGTATCAAGCTGCGCCCCAGTGGAGCATTTTATTCTCTTTAATGTCCACAGTAATTTGGTTTCTTCTTTAGATCATGCGAGTTTCTCTTAAAATCATATGGTACCTCATATTTAAAAAATAGTTGAATATGTTTTACATACTATTTTGGGGGGAAGTCATGAATTATATTCTTTTCTAGATTTTATACAGAAATGTTTTTTTACATTAGGTGTTTACTGTCTTGTTACTTTGGTTCTGATGAAAAGTCTTGGCCTTTAGGGGGCCTACAGAGGTCCAATTGGTTCTGATTTTTCAAAGATCTTCTTCTCAAGAACTAAGTAAACAAAACTCTCCAGATATGTTCCATATGTTATTATTACTCGATTCTAATTTTTAGCTCACCTGGCCCAATGGGCCAAGTGAGCTTTTCTCATCACTTGTCATCTGTTGTCGTGGTCATCCTTTATTTTTTACAAAAATCTTCTTCTCTTAAACTACTGGGCCAAATTTAACCATTTTGGCCACAATCATCATTGGGGTATCTAGTTTAAATGATGTGTCTGATGACCCAGCCTGCCAACCAAGATGACCGACTTGGCTTAAAATAGAACATAGGGGTAAAATGCAAGTTTTGTCTATTATTTTGTAACTATAATAGATAGAGAAAATCTGACAAGGGCATAAATGATCAGAATGTTGAAGTCTACCAATTGTTAATATGCGTCAAAACTGTCAGACGACTTCATATAGGAGTTATTCTCTTAAAATTTTTTTCTTTTTTGCCCATTATCTTGAAGACTATAATGGATAAAGAGAAACTTTAAATTGCAGAAATGATCAGAAGACAAGTTCTACAAATAAGTCTAATGGTTGAAACCTTCTGTCAAATCCTCATTAGAGTTATTGCCCTTTGAAGATGATTTTTACCAATTTTTTGCGTTTTTGCCTTGTATCATGTATATCTTAAAATAATATTATAGATAGAAACTTAAATGAGCAAATATGATCAGAAAGACAAGTTCTATAAGTTTTGTGCTATATTCACATTTCTTGATCTGTGTGTATACAGTGATAAAAATATTTCCCCTCTCTAGAGAAATATCTGTTCTCGGCAAATGATTGGTCGAAATTTAATTATGATGTCTGAATTTCCTATTGTGATGTCATGAAGAAAAAAAGCGACCATGCCTGATGACGTCACACATTAAGAACACAACTTTCTGTAATCTTTGAAAAGGAAGGATAACAATCATTAGAGAAATGGTTTTCACCAGTACAACTTGTGTATTACAATATTTCTCCTCTCTCAACAGTTAAATTTTAGTTATTTAAAAAGCTGGCAGGCCTCACGCTTTAAACATAAAAATTTAACCGTCTCTTGTTGAGAAAAATCGTAACACACATGTTGCAGTGGTGGAATATATATATCTACAATCAAGAAAATTTGGAGGAAATAGTCCGACGTCTCTTTTAGGAGTTATTGCCCTTTAAAATGATTGTTATGATTTTTTTGCGTTTTGTCTTACATGATAATAATTATAGATAGATAGACACAATCACAAAATGATCAGCAAATCTTCATCTTTCACAGGACAAATTTTGCCGATATAGTTAGTAGACTGTCACTCTCTATAGGAGTGATTGCCCTTATTTGAGTTTTTTTTTTACCCTCTTCTGTGTTTTGAGCAAAAACTAAATAAGATAGAAAGAAACTAAACAAACTAAATGATCAGCAAAGCAGATTTTTGTCATGAATTCTATTCTCGTCTACAATATTGGAGAGTGTCTTTTGTTGAATATGCACATAGACCAAGGTTAGCAACACAGCTCGGCTCTTTAGAGCCTCTAGTTTATTAATTAGTCCCCTACCGACGAAGTCGAAGGGGACTTTAGGTTTCCACTCTGTCCGTCTGTCTGTCTGTCCGTCTGTCCATCCGTCAGTGTGGCAAATCAGTTTTCCAGACTTTTTTAATCATGCTTGAAGATATTGATTTGATATTTGGTGTATTGTTTTATCATGACAAGTTACAGGTCAAGTTCGATTTTCACGATTTTAGCTTTTCTCCTTGTTCAGTTAAAACCCTTTCCCTAGAATTAAATTTTTGATGAAATACTTATGAATTACTAGATTTCTGTTCAAAGGGAATTAACTCATTTTTAGATCACCTGGCCAAAAGGGCCATGTGAGCTTTTCTCATCACTTGTCGTCCGTCGTCCGTCGTCCGTAAACTTTTACAAAAATCTTCTCCTCTGAAACTACTGGGCCAAATTGGACCAAACTTGGCCACAATCATCATTGGGGTATCTAGTTTAAAAAATGTGTCCAGTGACCCGGCCAACCAACCAAGATGGCCACCATGGCTAAAAATAGAACATAGGGGTAAAATGTAGATTTTGGCTTATATCTCTGAAACCAAAGCATTAAGAGCAAATCTGACATGGGGTAAAATTGTTTATCAGGTCAAGATCTATCTGCCCTGAAATTTTCAGATGAATCTGACAACTCGTTGTTGGGTTGCTGCACCTGAATTGGTAATTTTAAGGAAATTTTGCCGTTTTTGGTTATTATCTTGAATATTATTATAGATAGAGATAAACTGTAAACAGCAATAATGTTCAGCAAAGTAAGATCTACAAATAAGTCAACTTGACCAAAATGGTCAGTTGACCCCTTAAGGAGTTATTGCCCTTTATAGTCAATTTTTATACGTCCGTCAATTTTTGACGGGACATATTATAGTATACAAACGTCCGGTGTCCGTCTGTCCGTCTGTCCGTCTGTCTGTCCAGAGTAAACATTTCGCACCGTAACTTGAGAATGACTTATCCAAATTTCATGAAACTTAACATAGTTGTTTTTCATGATTGTCAAACGATGTGTATACTTTTTGGTGAAAATAAGGTTAAAACTTTTTGAGTTACGGGACTTAGTAACTAAAACAGGTGTGTGTTTTTTTTCACATGTCGCGCCGTATCTCAAAAACAATTTATGATTATTGCTTAAAACTTTACACACTTCTTAGTTATATTAATCTTAAGATCTGTATACTTTTTGGTGATTATTCAAAATTTTATTTTAGAGATATTGAGTATTTTGTTAAAAAAGGGGGAGGGGTTTTTCACATGTCGCGCCGTATCTCAAAAACGATTTATGATTATTGCTGAAAATTTTACACACTTCTTAGTTATATTAATCTAAAGATCTGTATACTTTTTGGTTTTGATTCAAAATTTTATTTTTGAGATATTGATTTTTTTTTTTTTTAAAGGGGGGTTTTCACATGTCGCGCCGTATCTCAAAAACGATTTATGATTATTGCTTAAAATTTTACACACTTCTTAGTTATATTAATCTAAAGATCTGTATACTTTTTGGTTTTGATTTAAAATTTTATTTTAGAGATATTGAGTTTTTTGTAAAAAAAAAGGGGGGTTTTCGCATGTCAGAAACTATTTATGCTTATTGCATAAAAATTCACACACAAGACGACGGGCGTATCATGCGCTCATGGCACAGCTGTTTATTAACCATTTTTCGTAAATTTTTGTAATCTTTTACAAAAATCTTCTCCTCTGAAACTACTAAGACAAATTTAACCAAACTTGTGCACAATCATCATTAGGGTATCTAGTTTAAAAAATGTGTCCGATGACCCAGCCCGCGAACCAAGATGGCCGACATGGCCAAAAAATAGTACATAGGGTAAAATGCAGTTTTTGGCTCATATCTCTGAAACCAAAGCATTTAGAGCAAATCTGACAAGGATAAAATTGTTCATTATGTCAAGATCTGTCTGCCCTGAAATTTTCAGACCAATCAGGCAACACGTTGTTGGATTGCTGCCCCTGAATTGGTAATTTTAAGAACATTTTGCGGTTTTTGGTTATTATCTTGAATATTATTATAGATAGAGATAAACTGTAAACAGCTATAATGTACAGCAAAGTAAGATCTACAAATAAGTCAACATGACCAAAATTGTCAATTGACCCCTTAAGGAGTTATTGCCCTTTATAGTCAATCCTTTACAACTTTCATAAATTTTGTAAATTTTTGTAAATTTTTACAAAATATTTTCCACTGTAACTACTGGGCCAAGTTCATTATAGATAGAGATAATTGTAAGCAGCAAGAATGTTCAGTAAAGTAAGATCTACAAACACATCACCATCACCAAAACACAATTTTGTCATGAATCCATCTGTGTCCTTTGTTAAATATGCACATAGACCAAGGTGAGCGACACAGGCTCTTTAGAGCCTCTAGTTTAATTTTCCCTAGAATTAAATTTTTGATGAAATAATTATTAATTATTAGATTTCTGTTTAAAGGGAAATAACTCTTTTTTTTTTAAAGATTTGTAATAGACATTGTATTAAGATAAATGACATTTTGGATTTTTTTCCTTTTCTTTAGTAAATTGTTTGAAGAATTTAGTGGTAGGTTTGCTCCATTACAATGATTTTTTAACCGGTAGGGGACTATGTATTGTCATGCAATACTCACAGAATGCTTGTTATTTTTTGTTTATGATTTCAACGTGTTTTGGCCTGATATTTTCAGAAATGTTACCCCTCTCATAACTGAACCTAACTTATGGAAATTGTATTACCCATGGTAAAATATCAATAAACAGTGGTCAATCATAAAGTATTTAATTTATTGAACTTACTTCTTGCAGATTACTACTTCTTCACTGGGAAAGAGGGAACTGTAGCAACATTGGATTGTATGCAAGAATATGTTGGGTATGATGATTACAGTGCCAGTGGATACACCTACCCAGGACATCCATACATTGTGGTGGATGAAGTCCGATATACATTTGAGGATTGTCAACATTATGACATATATGGTGTGAAGAACTTATGCGATAATGAGACTACTTTTTCCTTTTTGATTACTAATGAAAATGTTGGAAGTTCTTGTGGGACTGGTGGAGATGCTGGATTATACATACGCTACCACTGTGTTCGTAAGTTAGCATAATATTTATAATATCCATCAATTATCAAAGTTGATTTTGGAAGTAATACTAACTGCAATTTTACATAATTTACAATTTTCTTATGATAAGATTATCAGCCAAGTGAATCATATATATATCCCTTTTTATACGCCTGTTTATTATACGCCCTTTTACGGGGCGTATTATGGTTTACCTCTGTCCGTCCGTCCGTCGTCAACATGTCGGGCATTAACTCAAAAACACTTCAACCAATTTGCATAAAACTTTTGTGAATTGTTCATATCTATTGATGTGAGCTCTCTTTCGTTTTTTATAAAATTTAGATTTTACGTTTCTGAGTTATGGGGTTTTATTCATTGAAAAAGGGGGGATTTTCCAGTTTTCAGACAATACCTTTAAAGTGCTTTGAGCAGATTTCACTAAACTTTGGTGACTGGTTTATATCAATTAAGATAACCTCCCTTTAGTTTTTCAAAAATTTCTGATATGACATTGAGAAGATATTGAACTTTATTTGTAAAAAATGCGACGGGCGTATCATGCGCTCATGGCGCAGCTGTTTATTACATCTCCTGGCCCAAAAGGACAGAGTGAGCTATTGCCATCACTTGGCATTTGTTCTCTGTTGTCCTTTAACTTTTAAATAATCTTCTTTGCTGAAACTACCAGGACAATTGGAATCAAACTTGACCATTGTCATCATTGGTATATATAGTTTAAAAGACTTAAAGATTTGTCCAACATTGCTTAAAATAGAACGTAGATCCCCCATGTCCTGTGGACCTCAGGTTTTCAAATCATCATAGTTTTTCAAGTAGATATAAGAAGATGTGGTATCAGTGCAAATGAGACAACTCTCCATCCAAATCACAATTTGTTAAAAGTAAACCATTATAGGTCAAAGTAAAGTCTTCAACATGGAGCATTGGCTCACACCGAACAGCAAGCTATAAAGGACCCCAAAATGACTAGTGTAAAACAATTCAAACAGGAATGACTATATAGTAATAATGCTCCAATAAGTATTTGATATCAATATAACATGTTTGAAAATATTTTAACACTTTTACTTAGTCATGGTTTTTTGATTGATTGATTGTTGGTTGCTCAATATCCAGTGGCAAATATTTCATTCATGTTCAGGTAACCTCTGTACCATGGAAAATTTACTTATATCATTTGATTTCAGTGCATAATAGTTATTACTCCACTACCCCGTCCTCCCTCCGTCCATCCGTCTGTCTGTCCGTCTGTCCGTCCGTCCGTCTGTCCCTGTTTGATCAGTCTGGCAAATAAGTTTTCCACACTTTTTTACTTTGTGCTTGAAGATGTTGATTTTATATTTGGTATATAGTTTTATCATGACCAGTTACAGATCAAGTTTGAATTTTGTTCTGGTCTGATAATTTTGTGCAGAGTTATGGTCCTTTCCAAGAAATCAGTTTTTCACACTTTTTCGTCATGCTTGAAGATATAGATTTTATAGTTGTTATATTGTTTAACCATGACAAGTTATAGATCAAGTTTTAATTTTGTTCCGTTCGGATGGATTTTTTGCAGAGCTATGGTCCTTGGACTTAGAAAATACATGCAAGTATCAGTTTTCCACATTTTTTTCACATTTTGTTCCAGTAAAATGAAGTTTTAACCAATTGGGGACTATGTATTTCCATGCAACACTCTCAGTGTGCTTGTTAAACTACTTTATATAGGAATAATGCTTCAATAAGTGTTGAGTATAAATTAAACATGTTTGAACTGATGTTTTTAATAATGATATTTTGACCTTTGTGCATTGAAAAATAACAGCCCTCCTGACCCCTCAGTCTGGAAACTTTTTCAGTCTTATGTATTATTTTTGGCGGGAATGAAATAAATCATGCTTTTGAAGATCAAAACACTTTCAATCTTAAACTATAGAATCTTTAATTGATCTATACAAATCTACTGCTCAAAGTGAAAAAAAGAATTATGCTTGTAGGTTTGATATTATTGAATAATTTCAAATAACAACCAAACAATGTTTATATTTGGGAAAACATGAAACTGAGGTTGCTGTAGTGACAAGACAATGTTGGTGACCCCTAATTTTTTGCATTGTATTTTGTTCCCAAATGCATGAAATACCTTTACACAAAATTATAAGAAAAAATCACTGGTTTTTTGAAAATAATATGATGTAAATATGTGTAAAATCTTATTTATCATGTCACTTTTTTCTTACAGGAATATCAGTTTTTATGTTATAGTATATGATGAAATGAAGTATCAAAGTTTTTTTTGTTGTTGTTGAAATTATAGTTTTATTCCTTACTTATTCTTTTTCTCAGTTTTTTTTTTGCTTATAATACTTTGACAGGAGATGGAGGCTGGACTTCTTGGAGCTCTTATGGTAGCTGTTCTAGATCTTGTGGTGGTGGATACCAGACTAGGACACGATCTTGTACTAACCCTTTGCCAAACTACTTCAGCAAGAATCAAGCTTGTATGGATGATAGGGATTATCAGACCAGAAGATGTTACACAGGAACATGTCCACGTAATTGAATTTTACAACTTGATAAATGTTTGAAGAAATAAATTTTAAAGAATACATGTTTAAACATAAGAAAACGACAACAGAAAAAATGATCAGCAATGCAAGATCAACAAAAAAGAGATTTTTAACATAAATTCTATTCTAGTCTACAATTTTTGAGAGTGTCCATTAATTAAGATGCACATAAATCTAGGTGAACGACACAGGCCCATTAGAGACTGTAGTTTCATTTTTGCCTATTAACTTTATAACATAATAGATACAGAAACTTTATAACATAAAAGATCAGCAAGACCAGATCTACTAATGAAGTCAACATGGCCCAAATCGTCAATGGACTTTTATTGGAGTTATTGTCCTTTAATGACAATTTTTACCAATTTGCTTGCATTTTTTCCCAATATCCTGCTAACTAGAATAAAAACAAGGATAACATTTCATTTTTTTATTGATAAGTGTTCTCTACTTTCAGAATTTTTGTTTTACCCATGGATTAACCCCTCCATATCTTATTTTGTCCATTTTAATTCAATTGTTTTGCAGACTCTGGTAGTGTTTGCAGAAACTACTATTTTCAACCAACTTGTTATGATTATAACACCAAAGGGAAGATTGCTATCACATCGGCAACATGGAAGGAAGGATGTAGCTGGGATTACACAGATGTATCCCATGATGTTGCTGGGACTATTCAAAGCAGCTGTAATAATCATTATGATTGCTCTGTTAAGGTGGATGACAGTTTACAATCCTGTTATACCAGCTATTACTATACTGCATATACATATCAAGCATATCAAACAAGATGGTGCCTCTTCGGTGTATTTGGTGGTTTGATCTGTACTGGTTACTACACTGCATACAGAGTTGTCTCATATGCTGTATTATACAGACAAATTTGTGGTGTATTGTACTATGGATACACATGTACAAGTATGTATAGTCTTATGTTAGGGAATGATATACTAATAAGTTTGCAATAAATATTTCATGGAAAGCTTACAAGTTTGAAGTCTATTGGTGCTGATAAGGTATGATGAAATATATCTCCTTATGAATTGGGGTCAAATTTATGTTAGAATCAAATGCATTGAAAACATTTATCCAGTTTCCATCTAATTAAATAATGTGTACATTTTTAAAACCTATGCACAACAGCATGAATAGCTGATCAGTTTCAATTTCCTATAGATTAGACTATTTTTTCAGCATTTATATGTAAAGTAAGTTTAATATTAGGTCAGTATAACCACTAATGATAAGTCAATGATATTGGATGTGCAGTTGTATTTGCATTTTCAAGTATCATTTCCACGGATAATATACAGCCCCACTCCCTACTCATGGTTCATTGAATTTTACGTAGCTGACATGTTTGAGTTTGTGTTGAGTTTAATTTAAAGGGATGATAAGTAAATGATATTTGGTATGCAGTTGTATTAGCATTGACATTTCTCGTTTCCACATGGGTTATTTGGCCCTGTACCATCAATCATAGTTTATGTCTTTGAATGTTTTGTGTAGTTTACAATTTAAAGTATTGTTACGCCCCGTTGATTTGAAAGCTGATAATTTTACTGTGGTTTTACTTGTGTAAATAAGATATTCTCTATTTATATTATAACTGTGGTCTCCATTCCACACTTGATACATGCAGATGTCCGTTGTTGTGTTCTGATTCGTACTTTACAGAAGAAATAGCTTACCTGGACCTTACATTATAAACTGACTTCTTTAAATCTATATATCGACTTTATTTATGTGTGTAATTGTTCATTTTGTATTTGTTTATACTTAGTTTCAGTGTAACGCGCCAAATGTAACGTTACGTGTTCCTATTCTTGTTTATGAATAACTTGTGTATTACGTCACACGTAACAACGATTTTGTATAAAAAATGGAACTCATGTTCCTACTGGGAGCTTCTTTCCAAGAACCTCCATGCGGTTAGCAGTATATCTAAAATTATAATTTGCTGCACCAAGTAAAAGTGCTTGGTGATATTATTTAATAGACTTGATAATTAACTAAGTCTTCATATAAAAATGCTGACGTACTGTTTGCTCTGGTAAATCACTAACCATGCACCGAGTATGCTGAGTATTAGAAGGCAGTGCCCCAAGTAGATTTTCCTGCACCAACTACGCAGAGTATTAGAATGCAGTGTCCCAAGTAGATTTTCTTGCACCAAGTATGCAGAGTTTTAGAATGCAGTGTCCCAAGTAGATTTTCCTGCACCAAGTATGCAGAGTATTAGAATGCCGTGTCCCAAGTAGATTTTCTTGCACCTAGCGCTAGAAGAATTATTTTATTAACTTGGTGCAAGTAATGCACCTTGCTGTATTACTTATTGTATATATTATTAACGTATTTGGTTTCATGAACCACTGTATTTGTTGTATTGCTTAAACAGAAATAATACAATTTATGAACTCCAATATGATTTTTATTATTACTTCCTTCACCAGAGGCCCACATAAGTAATAAGTAACGACAGGTATCCTGACAAGAAAACCCCGGAACGTTACAGTATTGCCATTTTAATTTCAACTTTTGCTTTAAACTGTCAAATTTCATAAAGGAGAGACATAGTTCTGTGTCAACAGTGTATAAGTTATATTATATTCATTACACTTGGAAACTTTTGAAAAGTTATTGACTTTTTTAAAATTTCAAAAAGTTTCAAACTTCAGAATTTTATCTTTTGAGTTTTCTTTGTAGTGTCTCTGATCCTATGTCATCAACTATTGTGTCCAAAACATAAGAAACCCTTATGACTTGTAAAGGGCATTGAACATCCCTTATTGAACATTAATAATCCTTTTAACTTCAGGGCATATGATACAGTTACTTGCTAAGTAAAATGTTATTTATCACGACTTTAAACTTTGACAAATTGGGAAAAGATGCATTTTTTTAACTGATAGCCTTAAAACTAGTGTACATAGACCCTTCTTTTGCAAAATGACATTTGGCTTGATTATGTATAAAGATTACACTGAACTGCAGTCAAGTTTAGCCTTTGGTAATTCATTGATAACATTTTGACGTATTAAGTTGTTTGTTTGTTTGTTTGTGATACGCCAGAATGTTATGAATGAATTATCAAAGGCTAAACTTGACTGCAGTTCAGTGTGTTTGTTCCAATTTTCATAAAAATCACAAACGATTTTTTTTTTTAATTAAATAAATTTACAGCAAAAATGCAGCTTTTTTCTAAAATCATGATAATTTGATAAACATGAATTATTGTAAATTTTAGGCATACGTATGTAAAGAATATATTCTAAATACTTTAACAAGAAATCTGTTTGTGTTTGTCTTCAATAGCTTCCCTGTACTGCAAATAAACACAACATTTAATATTTTTAATTTTTAGTTCCTCAGTGGACTTTATGGAGTGAGTGGGATGGATGTACTGTTACCTGTGGCAGAGGTACCCAGTCTAGAACCAGAACATGTGAAAATGAACATACAACACTTGACGGTCATAGTAATGTTTGCGGACAAAGTGGTTCTGAAGTACAGACATCAGAAACCAGGGAATGTTTACTGGCAGGCTCTGTACCCTATTGTGCTTGTATGTATCTGCATAAACTGTCAAGAAATTAAAAGTAGATATAAGATTACTTCATTTAGAAGCCCAAACCTATTTGCCACTGTTATCATAGAAGTGTTCACAAATTTTCTTGCCACTGTGGTCAGGTGTGGAAAACACAATTGCTCAGGTGAAATTGGTGTAAATCTTACATTAATTAACCCCATATATGTGATTTATTCATTTGTTTGAATTTTGTTAAAGATACCAAAATTGAAATATGTTAATTCATTAGCAATATTTAAAACAATTAATTTTGCAGACTGTGATACTGGAACTACCCACAAGTACATCAGTATAGACTCCATGACATATAGCAGAGATACTACATCAGGTATGTATAGACATGATAATGGAAATCACTAAAAACTATATCAAAGGAAGAGCACTATAATAATTGCTGTTTTTCATCTGAAAAGTTTCTTTATGACAAATGCTTCAGCAATGATTTAAGATTGTTCCCTCCTTTGTTTCAAAATAGCAAGTTTTAAAAAAGACCCATGTCCTTGTTTTTGAGATATAATTAATTGAAAATTTGGTGAGAAATGATTCTCTCTAGACTTTTCATAAATTTAACATTGGCACCTGTTTTATTTCAAAAACCATGAAAAAATAACAAGGATTTTATAAGATTTACAAAACTGGCTTTTTAACTAATGTAATCAAATTATAAAAGAAAAGTAGATGTTGGAGGGCAAAATTTTTATTGGCACTACATGGATAAAACTAGAGAGTTCCAAATATCTGACAAAGAGTCAAAAACAAGAGTAGGGAAAATCCTTAATGAGTTAGCACCCTTACAGTATGATCAAGAAGGTGAACCAATAGGTGATAACATTATAATACATATTGATCAGAATATGAAAGGCTTTCCTGTACTGATTTTTATTGATATACACCTATCTTAGAAGGAACATATTCATGTTTATACGATAGTTCAAAATTGCTTTAACCAATTCTCATGAATTTTAAACACAAAATAAGGATTGACAGAAGAAAGTTTTCTTTTAATTTTAACAATTTCCATTTTCATTATTCCAGAGTCTGTGCTTCACTCAAAAATGTGAAAGCAGGACTCTTGCTGACATGTCAGTTTTCTAGTTTTGTAATGGTATAACTTTTTTATGTATCAATTTTAGGGAAGTTCCAATTTTTACCTATTTGAGACAATTAATTTTGCTTACATTTATCCTACATTTCTTCTTATATCTTTCAATATAAAGAATAAAATGATTTTTTTCCTAGTCATGTCATTTAAATGAATACAAATACGAATACTTTATTAAATACTTTATTAAACCAATCATCAGTCCATATAAGGCATGTTACATATAATAATTACAAATAAAAATAAGCATACCTGCCAACTTTTCAAAAAGGATTTTATGTGCAAGAGGACCTAAGGCTTCTCTAATACTGTCTTAAGTGTTTAAAACTACTACTATATTGTTTGGATGAGTATATATGTGTATATAATAAAGAATTTCAAAATCCAGGTCTACACCATTTGTGGGGGATATCCCCATAAATCGGGATAGTTGGCAGGTCTGAATAAGTAGAGAAACAATAATGACAATGCTTATGACAATATAAAGTTAACTTATAATGCTTATGACAATATAAAGTTAACTTATAAAGCAGTTGTTTTTTTTCATTTTTGTAAAACATTTATAACAAATTAAGGTAGCTGGGGTGTCTTCCTCCATCGTTGAATTGAAATAGCAGATAACAATCGGTCTATATCTTTAATGAAATGTGCAAATTTCGAGAGTAGTATGTAATTCATGTGTAAGACTTTTCGTGTTACTATAGAAAATTATGTGTTTTATCATATTTACGGCTGTACTTTACAAAAAACAGAATGATTGATTAATTTTTTTTCAACTTTCCACATAAGGGGAGATAACTCAGATAAAGCAACTTTTATAAAAGAATGTGTTGTGAATTTACCTATTTTATTATGTACCAAGAAAACAAGTCTGGTGATCCCATTTTTATACGACCGCAAAAAAAATTTTGTGGTCGTATATTGGTATGACGATGGCGTCGTCCGAAGACACATTGGTTTTCGCACTCTAACTTTAGTTTAAGTGAATGGATCTCTATGAAATTTTACCACAAGGTTCAATACCACAAAAGGAAGGTTGGGATTGATTTTGGGGGTTATGGTACCAACAGTAAAGGATTTAGGGGCCAAAAAGGTGCCAAAAATAAGCATTTTTGTAACTTCCAGACATAACTTGTGTGTTAGTGTATGGATCTCTCTGACATTGTACCACAAGCTTCCATATCACAAAAGGAATGCTGGGATTGATTTTGGGGGTAATTGCCTCAAAATTTTAGGAATTAGGGGCCAAAAAAGAGGCAAAAAACAAGCATTTTTCTAGTTTCATGACAATAACTTGTGTGTAGGTGTATGGATCTTTCTGAAATTGTACTACAAGGTTCCATATCACAAAGGGAAAGCTGGAATTGAGTTTGGGGGTAATTGCCGAAACGTTTAGGAATTGGGGGCCAAAAAGGGGTCAAAAATAAGCATTTATCTAGTTTCCAGACAATAACTTGTGTTTAAGTGTATGGATCTCTCTGACATTGTACTGCAAGGTACCATACCACAAAGGGAAGGCTGGGATTGATGATTGGGGTAATTGCCTCAATATTTTAGGAATTAGGGGCCAAAAAGGGGCAAAAAACAAGCATTTTTCTAGTTTCATGACAATAACTTGTGTGTAAGTGTATGGATCTTTCTGAAATTGTACTACAAGGTTCCATATCACAAAGAGAAAGCTGGGTTTTGAGTTTGGGGGTAATTGTCCTAAACGTTTAGGAATTTGGGGCCAAAAAGGGGCCAAAAAACACATTTTTCTAGTTTCCAGACAATAACTTGTGTTCAAGTGTATGGATCTCTCTGAAATTGTACTGCAAGGTACCATACCACAAAGGGAAGGCTGGGATTGAGTTTGGGGGTGATGAATCATAAGGGGGTTCAAAAAATTTGGGGGGGGATTTTTTTTTTTTCCTTTTTTTATTCTTTTAAAATTTTCCATTTTAAGTTGGTTATTTCTGATTTATATTTAAAAGCAAATAATAATGATATGGTAGGAGATACACACCAAACAGGATGTGTAAATTATTATATAATAAGTATTGTGCAATAGCAAGAAATTTTCAATTGCACAGTATTGCACAATAGCAAGAAATCTTCAATTGCACAGTATTGCGCAATAGCAAGAAATCTTCAATTGCACAGTATTGCGCAATAGCAAGAAATATCCAATAGCACAATATTGCGCAATAGCAAGAAATTGTCAATTGTACAGTATTGCACAATAGCAAGAAATATTTAATTGCACAGTATTGTGCAAAAGAATATACTTCGTATAAATTGCTTATTTCTTGACCAATTTCAATGGGGTTTTATTCTTGAATTCTTGGGGTTCTTTAATATGCTGAATCTAACCCTGTATTTAGTTTTTGGATTTTGGGCCCTGTTTTAAATAGGTCCACATTGAGGTCCAAAGGGTCCAAAATTAAACTTTGTTTGATTTCATCAAAAATTGAATTATTGGGGTTCTTTGATATGCCGAATCTAACTGTGTATTTAGATTCTTAATTTTTGGTTCCCTTTTCAAATTGGTCTACATTAAGGTCCAAAGGGTCCAAAATTAAACTTAGTTTGATTTTAACAAAAATTGAATTCTTAGGGTTCTTTGATATGCTGAATCTAAACATGTATTTAGATTTTTTATCATGGGCCCAGTTTTCAAGTTGGTCCAAATCGGGGTCCAAAATTAAACTTTGTTTGATTTCAACAAAAATTGAATATATGGGGTTCTTTGATATGCTGAATCTAACCATGTATTTAGATTTTGGATATTGGACCATAATAGGTGAATGTCCAATTTAAAATTTTTAAGTTCTTAGACCACATTCATTCTGTGTCAGAAACCTATGCTGTGTCAAATATTTAATCACAATCCAAATGCAAAGCTGTATCAAGCTTGAATGTTGTGTCCATGCTTGCCCCAACTGTTCAGGGTTCGACCTCTGCGGTCGTATCAAGCTGCGCACTGCGGAGCATTTTATTTCTTTTTCTTATCTGAAAGCATATTATTAGAGCTATCTTCTCATATTTTATCTTACAATTCTATTGTGTAGTTTTCTTTTTATCACACAAAATTGTGTTTTCCATTCATAATCTATATAAAATCGGACAATTTTGCACAACCTGTAGCATGAAAAAAAGCCCGGTGACCCATACTTTTTATTATATTTTTGAAAAAAGCATGATATAAACTATATTTTGACAAATTATTAAAAAATTCTTTGGATATTAATGAAGACCCCCTATCCACCTTAAAGGCACAGTGTGCATAATTTTTTTTCATGATCATGTCATTTAATGTGTTTTAGGAAATGCTGTCATGCTAGAGAGTGATATTGACATAGTCAGATGTTGTGGAAGAATATCATCCTTTCGATTCTATCCTAAAAATGCTGGAACTGTGAAATTTGTGGTATTTAGACCTACTGAAGATATTGATTATAAGAGAATTGCTGCAACTTACTCTGTCACAGTGGCTAGTAAGTGTTGAAATCAGAAAACAAAAAGAATATATAAGTTAAAATTATAACTATCAATATAAATTAATTACACTAGATTCACATAATAGACCACTTTCAAGTTCGTTGCATTTTCCGTCAAAAACTTTGGTTTTATTGAACATCATTCGTGTGTTTAGGGGCATTGCCACTTCCTTCCCATTTTGAGCGAGTGGTTGAAAAAATATGATGCTATATTGCACAAATTATTTGGCAAATTAAATTCTTATAATTGATAATCTGCACTACTGTCACTAGGGAATTGTGACTAAGTACCTACGGAACAAACATTAATCCTAGTTTATCCTGCATAATTACAATCATGAAGACACTTGATGAACTTTAATAGTGCAGGGATACAGGCGGTCCCTTCTATCTGGTAAATGATGTCATAAGAGCACGCATAATTAAATAACTTTTCAAGTGAAGGACATAACTTGAAAGTGGTCTATTGCATTTTCTTTGTTTTTTTCAATATCATTTCCTATGAAATCTTAGTAAACACTTTCATTACATTATGTAGGTCAAAACAACAGTTGCTATTTATTGCATAAAAATATCTGAAAATGATCAAAATTTTCCTTTTCTGAAAAATGAAATGTTTTGATAATTAGTAACATAGATATAAGAACTAGCCAAATTGTGTTTCACAAGAATTTTGTAACAATATTCTGTACTTTCTTTCTTTGAATTGATACACTGATCATTCCTTTCCTGTCCAATCTTTCTTTGTATTGACACACTGAGCTTTTCACTAATGTATCAAGTGTGTTTATTTAACAAGATACATCTTTATATTTATAAAAGGTGAAAGGTGAAGATTACTTTTTTTCTGGCTCACCTGTCCTTTGTCATAGGCTGAATTAAACTTAATTTGGCCACAATCATGGAGAATTGAGAAAATCTGACTGTGGCAAAACAATTCAGAATGTCCGTTTTGACCAAAATGTCACATTGGAAATTGCATTATATTTGCTCTCATGTATTTATTTCTCTTAAGATATTTCTAAAAAGTTTTAAAGAACAAAAAAAAAGATTTTAAAAAATGTGTCAGATTACCCCGCACGCCAGATTACATGGTTGAAATGGCAAAAAAATGGGAACATAGGGGTAAAATACAAGTTTTGTCTTTTATCTTGAAAAACATAATTAATAGAGAAAATCTGTCAGTGGCATAAATGTTCAAAATGATGAAATCTATTTACCTGTCACTTACCTCAAAACTGCTGGACAACTTCTTACAGGAGTTATTGCCCTTGAATTACAAATGTTACCATTTTTTTTCTTTCTGCCTATCATCTTGCAAAATTATAATAGATAAAGAGAAACTTTAAAAATGATCAGCAAGACAAGATCTACATGTAAGTCATGGTGGAAATAGACTGACAACTCTTTATTGGAGTTAGTGCCCTTTAATGACGTCCCTTTAGAAAGGTGAGCTACACAGGCTCTTTAGAGTCTCTAGTTATATTGATATACAGAATCAGTTAATATTTGATAAAAATATTCCACCAGGTGGAGATTTGAACAGTATGAAAACAGTTGTACTTGATGATGCAGATAAGATGACAATTGCCGCAGGTGACAGTATTGGATGGTAAAATCTTTATATTAGGAAGTACACCACTAATTCATGGCCCCATTGCTTTCTATGTTAAATTCCTCAATTTCAAACAGGCACAGCTCTTTTGTTTTAAGTTAAAATAAAGTGACAATCATTGCATGTCAAAGATTTAACACTTTATGGTGCCTTGTACTGAAAAAATCAACATACCTTTAATGGTATATAAGAAAGAACTGGTTCCCGGAACTTCGGATGTACCAAAACAGTATACTTCAGATCTGACAAACAGGCAAAATGTTCCCTCTTTTTTAAATTTCATGCAATTTTTTTATTATTCAAAATTATAAGTCAAAAAGTGTTCTACAATAATCACCAGTCATTCAGCTTTCATTTGATACCAAAATTACCTAAATATTCTACATATTTTGAAAGTTGCACCCATGCGTAGGAACTATTTTGTGTTAAATATGTACTACTTTCTGGTATGTGCTTTCTGGCCGGGCCCGAATTAGTGATGTTACACCATTAGAGTCATATTTATATACTAATGATTATATCTAAATATTACTATAAATAATTTTTCTAAAGAAAATGTTTGAAGACCTCAGACAAACAAGGAAGACAAAATCAAATATATCATTGCCTATTTTAAAATATCTGACAATTTAATGTCTTGTATATATATATCTAACAAATGAACTCGACCTTCAATCAATCTGGTCAATGTTATTTCATAGATTCACATTACTTGATGGTTTTCAATTTTAAGTGGCCTGTTTTTATACGACCGGAAAAAATTTTTTGTGGTCGTATATTTGTATGACGTTGGCGTCGTCGTCGTCATCGTCCGAAGACACATTGGTTTTCGCACTCTAACTTTAGTTTAAGTGAATGGATCTCTATGAAATTTTACCATAAGGTTCAATACCACAAAAGGAAGGTGGGATTGATTTTGGGGGTTCTGATACCAACAGTTAAGGAATTAGGGGCCAAAAAGGGGCCAAAAATAAGCATTTTTGTAACTTCCAGACATAACTTGTGTGTTAGTGTATGGATCTCTCTGACATTGTACCACAAGGTTCCATATCACAAAGGGAATGCTGGGATTGATTTTGGGGGTAATTGCCTCCAAATTTTAGGAATTAGGGGCCAAAAAGGGGCAAAAAACAAGCATTTTTCTAGTTTCATGACAAAAACTTGTGTGTAAGTGTATGGGTCTCTCTGACGTTGTACCACAAGGTTCCATATCACAAAGGGAAAGCTGGGATAGATTTTGGGGGTAATTGCCTCCAAATTTTAGGAATTAGGGGTAAAAAAGGGGCAAAAACAAGTATTTTTCTAGTTTCATGACAATAACTTGTGTGTAAGTGTATGGGTCTCTCTGACGTTGTACCACAAGGTTCCATATCACAAAGGGAAAGCTGGGATAGATTTTGGGGGTAATTGCCTCCAAATTTTAGGAATTAGGGGTAAAAAAGGGGCAAAAACAAGTATTTTTCTAGTTTCATGACAATAACTTGTGTGTAAGTGCAAGGTTCCATATCACAAAGGGAAAGCTGGAATTGAGTTTGGGGGTAATTGCCCAAAACGTTTAGGAATAAGGGGCCAAAAAGGGGCCAAAAATAAGCATTTTTCTAGTTTCCAGACAATAGCTTGTGTTCAAGTGTATGGATCTCTCTGAAATTGTACTGCAAGGTACCATACCACAAAGGGAAGGCTGGGATTGTTTTCGGGAGTAATTCCCTCAAATTTCAGGAATTAGGGGCCATAAAGGGGCAAAAAAACAAGCATTTTTCTAGTTTCAGGACAATAACTTGTGTGTAAGTGTATGGATCTTTATGAATTTGTATTGAAAGGTTCCATATCACAAAGGGAAAGCTGGGTTTGAGTTTGTGGGTAATTGCCCTAAACGTTTAGGAATTTGGGGCCAAAAAACAAGCATTTTTCTAGTTTCCAGACAATAACTTGTGTTCAAGTGTACGGATCTCTCTGAAATTGTACTACAAGGTACCATACCATAAAGGGAAGGCTGGGATTGAGTTTGGGGGTGATGAATCATAAGGGGGTTCAAAAAATTTGGGGGGGATTTTTTTTTCCTTTTTTTTCTTTAAAATTTCCATTTTAAATTGGTTATATCTGATTTATATATAAAAGCAAATCATAATGATATGGTTTGAATAGGTAAATTAAAAATTTTAAGTTCTTAGACCACATTCATTCTGTGTCAGAAACCTATGCTGTGTCAAATATTTAATTACAATCCAAATTCAGTGCTGTATCTAGCTTGAATGTTGTGTCCATACTTGCCCCAACTGTTCAGGGTTCGACCTCTGTGGTCGTATCAAGCTGCGCCCCAGCGGAGCATTTTATTGCAATATTTTCTCCTTTGAAATTCCTTAATTTTGAGAACTATAACATCAGGATTTTTCTAAATGATGACTAAAGAATTTTTCAATGCTATTCATTGGATCTGTTCTGAGTTATTTATCCATACGGTTTACAGGTTTGATAACGCTGCAAATATTATTGCTTATGATACATGTACTTCAACCTTGGATCCTGATGCCAACTCAGCTATTGCACTCAACTATCAAACAAACTACTGCCCAACAAAAACTTACAGACTGACCCTTAGTGATCCAGTAGATGGTGCTAGGATACAGTATACAACAGGTTCCAAATACACAAGATTTTATGCCTTGGAATACAAAATCACAACAAGTAAGTGATCACTGCATTGTACATAATAAGGGTCCTGATTATTTATTTGTGGATGGCCTAATTAAGGTATCAGCTTGTTTGTCCATCACAAACTTCAAACCCCTTGGACTAATGATATGAAACTTGGCATTATTATTCACCACTTTAAGGTGTTTCATATAAAAGGAAGAACACTAAATGTCTATTTTGTGTAGTCAGGTTACTGACTCATTAGTGTATACCTCACTTCTAATTACATTGATATTATGTAATGACAGACAGTAGCCAATGGGAGACAACTCTGTTTTCTTACAAGTAAAATAATTTATGAAGTTTACATGACTTTAGTTTATAGTTACTCTTTCATTGATTGCAGTACAAATTGCTGTAAAAAATCTAATTTGTTATTTATCTTCGATAATAATAAACTAACTTAAAACATGTATTTCCCAACTTGCCATGTTCATGAGCTTAAGGAGTTAACAATACCTTCCAATTAAGGATGTTCACTACTCTGTTTCAAAATAACAAGCTTTTTAAAGACTGTTATAAGTTGATAGTATATAAATAAAGAAACTAAAAAAGCAGTAAAAAATGAAGGGTCAGTGTGCTTGTTTTCGAGATATAAGCAACTGAAAATTTGGCGGGAAATAATTCTCTCTAGATTTTTCATACATTTAACATTGACACCTTTTTTCTTTCAAAAATGATGAAAAATAACAAGGATTCTATAAGATTTTCAAATATGACATTTTAAACTATATGTAATCAAATTATGGAAAGAAAAGTAGGGGTTGGTGGGCAAATTTTTTAATGGCTCTACATGGATAAAACCAGAGGATTCCGAATATCTGGAAAAAATTCAAAAACAAGAGGAGCGAACATCCTTAACTATTGTAAATTCCAACTTACACATTGTTATGTCCAACATTGATTTACATTTTTACAGACCCCCAAGAAAGACTGTGGACTATGGACATTTTTAGCTAAAGCTTTAGGCTCAGCCCAAAATTTAAAGCATTAATTTCATTCAGAAGTTTAGCCAGTGCTGTAAAATGCTTAACCAATCCAGTTTGAATTTACTTTGTGTTTGCAGTAGCTATATCAACACCTTTATGTTTCAGATACAGCACCAATGTTAGCTATGAGTTCTCCCACCACTGTGTCTATACCAGACCATACTCCCATTGACACCAGAGTTATTGACCTTTATTTTAATGATACCGATTATGGTGACTGGTATGTCAATATATACTCAGAGAGTCATTCATATTTCTACTATGACTCTACACTAGGTATGTATAATGTATAAAAAGTAGTAATGTTAACAGTAGATTATTTTTTTTACCATGACACAGTCTGTCCTTAAAACTTTTTGTCAGATTTTTCTCTCCAACTACCATTGATACCTTGAAATATGGACCCAACATCAAAATATTTTGAAATGTTTTAAGTAATTTTGTCATTTTTCAGCAAAATTTTTCTAAAGAAGGTATTTAATTTGTGTAATGAGCACCTCCTACAGTTTTCAGATTCTTGAAACTTCACAGAAATATTGCACTTCCATTATCTTTCTGCCTGTTTTTATGAAATTGTTGGTGGATTCCCCCCCCCCCATTTTTCAAGACTGGGGAACTTAAGTCATTATCATCAAAATTTACAATAGACAGTACCAAATATGTGTACCGTACCAGGGTAATCAACTCCTCCTTAATTTTAAAGGGAAGACCATTGAAGCTTTTCAGAAATATTGCACCCATATTGAAGTTAGGTACATGTTATTAATGAATTGTTTGAGGATTTTTACCTGTTTTTCCAGACTTGTGAATTCAGGCATTTCTTCATCAAAATTTAAAAAAGGGTACCATATTTTGTGAAGTCAGTTCAATTCTTTCTTAGAGGCAAGACCATTGAAACTTAATTGAAAGAATGCACTCATATTGAAATTGTGCACATGCTTTTATTAAATATTTTGAGGAATTCCCCCCATTTTTCTACACTTGGGAACTTAGTAATTTTATATCAAAATTTTTTAAAGAGAGTACCAATTTTGTGTTACATCAACCCACCTGCAGTTTCAACTCAACATTTTGAAACTTCACATTAAGTTTTGCAACTCTCGAAGTTGTGCAGCTCCCATTATGTTTATTCTGTTTTGTAATCGATACATTTCATACAACCTGGCAATTAGAGTCTTTGAACCATTTAATTATTGAAAATGAGTTTTGAATATAAGAATGCTCATTTTAATACATTTTTACAAATTTTAAACAGACACAGTAAATGTGAAAACTGTCTTACCAAAAACAATTGGAACACATGAACAGGTTCATGAATTTATTGTGTGGGCAGAGGATTCATGCTATAATAGAGTCACAGGAACTGTTACCATAACAACATACAATGAGGTTAGTTATAAGAACCAACATTTATAGCTTTTTAAAATATATAGTGAAAAGTCTTTTTAATTTAACTTTTGTTTGTGTGTATGTACTGCCATTCTGTTCTCCTTTTTTGGAAATTTTTTATTCCAAAAACCATGTCTTTTATTGATACATCATCATCTTTTTAAATCATAGAATTAATGTCAGGTGACAAGAACCCTTGTATTACACTTCAGGTAGAGAAATTTTTGAGTTTTAGGTTAAACTTTATTTCTGAGAAATATCTTCTTTTGCTGTGAGCAGCAGTTAGTTACAGAAAATAGTGATGTTCTATTCATTTTTATACGACCGCAAAAATTTTTTTTTTTTTTCATTTTTTTTCTTTTTTTCCTTTTTTTTTTCTTTTAAAATTTTCCATTTTAAGTTGGTTATTTCTGATTTATATTTAAAAGCAAATAATAATGATATGGTAGGAGATACACACCAAACAGGATGTGTAAATTATTATATAATAAGTATTGTGCAATAGCAAGAAATTTTCAATTGCACAGTATTTCACAATAGCAAGAAATCTTCAATTGCACAGTATTGCGCAATAGCAAGAAATCTTCAATTGCACAGTATTGCGCAATAGCAAGAAATATCCAATAGCACAATATTGCGCAATAGCAAGAAATTGTCAATTGTACAGTATTGCACAATAGCAAGAAATATTTAATTGCACAGTATTGTGCAAAAGAAGATACTTCGTATAAATTGCTTATTTCTTGACCAATTTCAATGGGGTTTTATTCTTGAATTCTTGGGGTTCTTTAATATGCTGAATCTAACCGTGTATTTAGTTTTTGGATTTTAGGCCCTGTTTTTAAATTGGTCCACATTGTGGTCCAAAGGGTCCAAAATTAAACTTTGTTTGATTTCATCAAAAATTGAATTATTGGGGTTCTTTGATATGCCGAATCTAACCGTATATTTAGATTCTTAATTTTTTGTTCCGTTTTCAAATTGGTCTACATTAAGGTCCAAAGGGTCCAAAATTAAACTTAGTTTGATTTTAACAAAAATTGAATTCTTGGGGTTCTTTGATATGCTGAATTTAAACATGTATTTAGATTTTTGATTATGGGCCCAGTTTTCAAGTTGGTCCAAATTGGGGTCCAAAATTAAACTTTGTTTGATTTCAACAAAAATTGAATATATAGGGGTTCTTTGATATGCTGAATCTAACCATGTATTTAGATTTTTGATTTTTGGGCCCCGTTATCAACTTTGTCCACATTGAGGTCAAAAGGGTCCAAAATTAAACTTTGTTTGATTTCATCAAAAATTGAATTCTTGGGGTTCTTTGATATGCTGAATCTAACCATGTATTTAGATTTTGGATATTGGACCATAATAGGTGAATGTCCAATTTAAAATTTATAAGTTCTTAGACCACATTCATTCTGTGTCAGAAACCTATACTGTGTCAAATATTTAATCACAATCCAAATGCAAAGCTGTATCAAGCTTGAATGTTGTGTCCATACTTGCCCCAACTGTTCAGGGTTCGACCTCTGCGGTCGTATCAAGCTGCGCCCTGCTGAGCATTTTATTGCATTTTAGGATAGAAAATATAAAATAAACTTGTGGATCAAAGGCACTGATTAATGAAAATTTCAGAAATAATAGTGAGGTTTTTATTAATTCGAAAAATACGATTGGGTGAGTATTGTAATAATAAAAACTTTCATTCTGATATCTAATACATATATCTGTATCCAGATTTTCCTGAAATCGCATTAATTAATTTCGTATTATTGTTTATTTCTCAAAAATCGCAATAAGAAATGCTCGCAAAATTTTTTGAATTGATAGTATTGAATATTATACATTACTGTCTTTTGGTTGGCCGAAGTGAATATCAGTTTTTCAAAAGTCAATTAAACCACATATTTACCTAAACAAAAGACAGTAATTGTTTTATTCCATATTCTGAGAGAATGCCGAGAGAAAAGTATGTAATGACAATTATTTACCAAAACCATTTGTACATCAAACGATTTTAACATAATTATACACATAAAAACACACGACGTTTTGCGCGGTGAATATACTTTTTCAGCAGGTGAATATGCTTATTTATTCAAAATTCCATTTATATAGAAAAACCTACTAAAGTTTTATCAATATGGATTAATTATCTTTATTAACAGCCTCCCTACTTCCCAGACTTACCAAAAACAGCTGTGGTTGATGAAACTGACACAGGAGATCTGGTACCCTTCACTGTTGTTGATGATTATGGTGATCCTACTGATAACTGTATGATATCATCAACCAGTCCTTCAACAAGCATGTTTGTTTTAAATGGTAAGAAGCTGTGTTTAAAGATATTTCTGGGACAGATATTATTATATTTGATGTACCTTCTTTCCTTTTTGTGTTTCTATTTATTTTTTACCTATTGCTAAAACCTGTGCTCAGAAAAATCTGGACATTTTTTTATGTATGGAATTAAAAATCACATTTATTAAAAGTAATTTGTTCTGAGTAAACATTTTATAAGTTGTACTTTACAAGGGATGTTTGGTCAAATATTGTCAAAATACACAAAAATACTTTCCTATTTTGAAAAAGGGTAATACATTAATGCATGCTAAGTATAAAAATAAGATGTGCTATGATAGCCAATTAGACAACTATCCATCAGAGACCAAATGACGTAGATGTAAACAACTATGATCAGCCTTCCTTCCAACAATGAGCAAAAGCCATACTGTATTTTTAGCTATAATTACTCTGTCATGATTTAGATTTGTTTGTCATTAACTACTAGGGTATGTTACACATGCTGCAGAAAGTTTGTTTTTTTAGGCAAATTCACATATTTTTCTGTATTTACAATTTACTTTAGAAACTTTGTATAAACTCAAAAGATGCACAAACCTTCAAATTAATTTTAGAAAAAAACAGCACTTGTTCAATGACATCATTTAGTCTACAAAGCAAAAATTCATGCTATTTTATTTTAGAATGATTGCATTTTAGATTATCAATGTTAGTAGATATTCATGACATGTCAAAAATCAAGGGTACAGGATTTTTTTTTCATTTTGTTTAATTTTTACAGAAAATTACTAAGCAAATGTTGTGAGAAGCACACTAGAATCCCTGTTTATACAGGATGAATTTATTAATCATAATGTTATAAAAAATTTTATTGCACAATTTTTCTGCATACCCTTTTTGGTTTAGGTTGGAATGTTGCATTGTCAAGTTCAGCTACTATGAATAAAGATGCTGGTGCTGAGTATACTGTTGATATAGAATGTAATGATGGAACAGATACCAATGGTAGTTATATAGTGATCCAACTTAGGAGGAATATTACAGAGGAGGGAGAACATGAACGTGAGTTTACACTGTGTTCCAACTGAAACTTGTCATCATCAACTAGCTTAGTTGATAAATATTTATGACCAAAATTTAAAATTATTGTCTAACTATCATATTAATATCGCTAAAGGTTGAGAACATGAATAGGAATATATCTTGTCATCCAACTCAAGGGAACATTTGTTTACTTATTTATAACGTCCGTTTTCACTGAACTAGTACACATTTTTGTTTAGGGTCCAGCTTATTTATTTATTTTGAAGCCCTGACATCTGGGTGCAGGATTTTCTCACTGTGTTGAAGACCCATTGGTGGCCTTCAGCGTTTTTTTGCTCTTTGGTCGGGAGGTTGTCTCTTTGACACATTCCCCATTTCCATTCTCAATTTTATTTATTATTTATTTATTATTAAGCTATCTGTCTGAGATTAAGACCAGGAACATTAGTATACTTTTGTTATCTAACACTGTTCTAAATGTGAGCATATCTTGCTATCAAGATTGAGGATGAAAGAATGAATTTGAGTAATTCTCAGTAACAACCAAAATCATACACTGGTCCACCAATGTCCTTGCAAGTACCAATTCATAAAGAGATGTTTTTTTTTTAAAGTATGATGTTAAAACCAGGTGATGGTCAGGTGAATTTCAGGTAATGACTCCTGTAGCAAGTTACTTCACCTGAGCAGTAAGCAATATGGATATCATTACCATAAATAAATCTATTATAAAGCACCTAAAAATAAAGTTCAAATTAATCTGACCAGTTGCTAAAAAATTGATGAACACATGATCCGAGGCTTGTACATTCATATTTTGAAATATTTTAAGAATAGAGAACAATAGTAGAAACTGTCATCTTTTTTTTTGGTCAAAAGTTAAATCATAATCTGTAGACTGTATTCATATTCCATGGTAAAAATCCTTGCATCAAGTTATATACCAATAATTTTAGATTTTAATGATATATATTCATAATGATCTAAAAGATTGAAAATATTTGTTGTCAATAAATGTCAAGTAGCTATTATAGATTAAAATTTTTCTATGTATCTGTCTCTGTTTATTTTGATTCTTGGTAAGAATCTTCACTTCAGAATGGGCATCACTGTCACACAGATTGTCGGTACATGGTCAGGTCTCTTTTTAAATAATTTATTTGATTTGTGATAAAGGTGAATTGCTCTTGAGAATTTGATACCTAATAAAAAATTATTTTAAGATAATAATTTTGATGAATTTTTACAGATTTTATCAACATAGTTGAAATCAAAAATCATCAGCATTTTTATTCTTCTATTTTTCAGACAATTATTTTCAGCATTTGTGTTCTTCTATTATTAAAACCACCATCATCAGCATTTTTATTCTTCTATTTTTCTAACAATCATTTTCAGTATTTGTGTTCTTCTATATTTCAGCTATAAATCATCATTTGTGTTCTTCTATTTTGTAGTCCACTATTATTACAACCAAACAGAAGGACAAGTAGCAATATTAGATTGTAGGGATGAAGTCAGAAGTTATGATTCCTATACAGATTTTGTTCCCCCAGAAGATGTGTATATAGTCATAGATGAGGTCATTTATACTTTTTTTGATGGTCGATGTATTCATACAGCTCAATATGGAGTTTACCATCAGTGTGAGCGGGTACATAAAACTACGTGTACTTTTGACGTGACAGGGTCAAATGTTGCTAGCTCATGTGGTAATACACTTGAGAAGATAGGTGGATTATTTGTTCGTTACCACTGTGTCAGTAAGTTCTATATTTATCTTATCCTTAACTTTATTTTGTTATTATAATCTTTAAATATGAGTGATGATAACAATTTGACTACAATTCAGGAAAAAAATATTGAGAAAAAAGGAAAAACATGAGAAGAAAAAATTTTTTTTTACTTACCGTTAAAAGGCTTGTATAGTCCGCGGTTTTATTCTCCAAAATTGACCCTGACAGCAGGGGTGCGGACTATAGAGTACAATAAGCAAGAAATAAGAGAGAAAATTTCAATTTCGCGATTTGGTTTGTTTACGTTCCGCCATGTTTGTTATTGACATTGTAGAGGGCGCTCTTATCATTTTTCAAACCAATAATTTTACCCAATCCATATTAATAAGTTATTTTTATTCAATATCAAATTAATACTGATAAATTTAAAAATTAAATGCTTCATTACAAAATACTTGTTTCTTTTCAATGCATTGCTAAATATAAACTGGTATCTGCTTGAATGAAATCGTACAAAAAAAGTAAAAAAAGACGACCGTAAACCAGCTTACGATGTGTAAACTACAAACGTAATCGGTTATTATTCGTTCCCGTTTTGGTGTTTCCTATTGACAAATATGTTTTGTATTAGCTTAAGACCCTTCAAACATTAATGTGATAGATATATTAAACACTGTTTTACATAAGGAGGGAACTGTTTTACTTTCAAAGTCGTATTATAGTGATGTCTATTATGTACGGATTTCACCTCTCACTGGGTTTTTTCATCTTTTACACGTGCTTTTCAAACTTCCGGTTTAAACATACACAAGTTTCTAAATTGTTTTTTGTGTGATTTAGACTTATTTTAACCAGCGTGAAGTGTTTTAGAACCATTTACAAGCAGTTTCAGCTTCTGTTTGGTGATGGAAAATAGGTTTTTCCAAGAAAATACCGCAAACGACCACACACGATTTAAAATTACCGGAGGTTCATTAGACCTTTTCTAACAGTTACAAAAATTTTTTTGCCTGAAATTTCGTGGGGAGAAGGGGGTGCGGACTATGTACCAGTGCGAACTTTACAAGCCCGATTATGGTAATTGCATTCCAGTTTGATTTTTTGAAGAACAAATTTTAAATTTTTGAACCAAACTTAGATTTATTTGAATTTTTCTTTATTGATTTGATAAGATAATAAGAAAAGTGATTAATCTTTTGAATAGGAGAAGGAGCTTGGACTACATGGGGAGAGTGGGGTGACTGTAGTAGAAGTTGTGCTGGTGGCTATGTCCAAAGGTTTAGAAATTATACCAATCCTGAACCAAATTTCTTTGCTGAAAATGTTGCGCGTGAAGATGAACTTCATTATGATACTAAAAGATGTAATACGCATGACTGCACATGTAAGTAGATTAAATCAAAACTGTATCAGTACTGGCATTAATTTAATTGATCTTATGACCTTTGTATAATGAGGTCATTCAGCTTAAATATATGTAGAAATGTAAATGAATATAACCTTATAACTTCTGTATGTTGTCATTGGTTTGGTATCATCCTCAGATTTTACTGTCTGGTTAGAATGTGATGATAAATCTGATCCCCCCTCCCCATTTTGGGAGTTTCCATGCTTTCTGCATATTAAAGACCCCTTTTTGCAACTTTTTGAGGGGTCAATATAAAGTCACTGACCATTTGAAAACAAAGATTTTGTCATGATGCATTATTTTTTTTTCTCCAGTGACAGTTAAAATTTCCATTCTTTCATTTTGTTTGCTTCATTTTGCAGAACATTTCCAACTTATACAGAACTTACATAATTGATGTAAGAGGAAGGTTGAGTAAAGAGTAGATCTCAGATGGGCTAGGTCTAACACTTCTTTAAGTAATATTTTCAAACCTGATTTCTGATCTCAAGTTCTTAGTGTCTAGATTAGTTAGTTGGTAGTGTATACAGTTTAATGTCCTTCACAAAAACTTTTAAAAGCTCTTAGTCTGAAGGGATTGCAGAGTTTTGTATTTATCTATTTATATTGAAAAGCATAAGAAATGTTAGGCAGTATACATGTATAAGTTGAATTCTGCTGCTGTATATTGAAGAATGTTCGGACACATTATTTCGATTATTATCCTTATTTTATGTTTTAGTCAATGGAGCTACCTGTAGAGATGAAACTTTCACAGCAGTTTGCAGAGATTTTGATACAAATGGTAGAATTTCAATACTTGGCAGCACATACACATATGGTTGTGCCTGGAACTACAACACAGCTGACCCGTCACATGATGTGACATCAGCTCTTGAATCCCACTGTGGCAATCGTAACACATGTCCAGTTGTTGTCAGTGACGGTAACATGCAACAATCCTGTAGTTTAATGGATTATATGACAGACAGTTTTACATATGAGTCAATGTATTGGTGTGAACAAGATGGCTGGTATTCATGTTACTCTACGATATCAGACTCTAACAGGAAGTTGAATTCTCTGTCATACTGTGGGAAGCTGTACTGGGATTATCAATGTACAAGTGAGAATTTACTGCTGTAATTTCAATTCTATTGCCCTTCTACTGTGAATTCATTATTATTCGTGGGATACCAATTTTCATGAATTTCGTGGGTATAGGTAAACCATGAATTTAAAAGTTTAACAAAGAACAACTATTCCAAAGACTCGTATGCAGACTTTTGCAAAACCATGAAATCAAATATCCACATAAATAAAATTTGTCCTCAATCCATGAAAATTGGTATCTACAAAAAAAAATGAATCCACAGTATTTGTAAAAAACTCCTCTTATTCAAATGAAATGGAGCCATTTAACATTCAGTTACCAGAAAATGCAAATTATATATGTTTAAATTAATTGATTGGTGATTGCTTTATGACGCATCATTTACCGGGTATGTTTAAATATCTATGTACAGTATTTGATAAAAACTCTTGACATCATATTCGCTGATTTAATTGAAATTACAAAAAACTAGTGTATGAAAAAGGTTAACATTTAGATTATATGTAATTGTTTCTCTATTTTCAACCAAAATTTGAGGAATGATAGATTTGTAATCTCATCAAACAAACTGGTTGATGACCTATCACCCACATCAAAAGTACTGACTCACTACTAAAAATGGAAAACTAAACCTAAAAAACTCATCAATAGAATTATAATGCAACCATTATTGAAAATAATAAAGTTGAGAGAGAAAAAAAAGTAACTGTAACAAGACCAATTTCTACCAAAAATTTAAGGAAGCTATGCATATATATGATCACCATTAAGAATGATCACTGATAATCCGGCCCAAGAACACAGTTATTTCGTAGTGCATTTCTTTTAGACAAAAAACGCAAATTAAAAAAATCGCACCTGCAATATCCAAAAAAGATTTTTACAGTGTAGTGTACTACTTTTGGGACAAATTACATCAAAATTATTGAAAAGTCTATCGGCTGTAACTCAAAATATGGATAATTTTATGTTAAGGGGTCTGTAATTCAGTTTGACAGCTTCAGACATACTAATTTTTGACCTTTTCAAACTGGACCAAATCACTACTTTACCTAAAAAATCATGCCCCAAATATTTTTTACATGTAATTTCATCCCCCTACTTACTATTTTAGGCATAAAATATAAAAAATAAATTTGGAAGGTGTATGAAAAAAATTTGCAAGTTATACACTGTCCACACTAGGGACTCTATTCCTAGACAACGAAAATCAAAGGACCATAACTGTGTCCCCGGACCATCCAAACTGCCATTGATTGCTTATGGAATTCCAAAGTTCAACTCTTACAAGAACTTCCAGATTATATGAATGTACATCATTGATAGCAATCACAGCATAATTTATTTTAAAATCTGATAATAAAAATATATCATAAAAAAAAACTCATTTTTAATCAAAACTACAAAGGCTTCTATGGCTGCATACTATTTACATGGTTTAAACAAAGAAACTATAAAGTTAGGGTCTGATTATTTTTTTGTTCTATTTTAGTACCTCAATGGGCAATGTGGGGTGATTGGTCATCCTGTACTGTAACATGTGGTCAAGGAACTCAAACCAGGCAAAGGTCTTGTGAAAATGACCATACAACCCTTGATGGATATAACAACTTGTGTTCTCAGGATGGATCAGAAAAACACAACCAAGAAACTCGGGGTTGTCTTCTAAAAGGCAGTCAGCCTTACTGCACTTGTTAGTATTCAAATGTTATTTGAACAAAAATCAATCTATGGTTATCATTTTTTGTTATTCTATGCTTGCCGTATTTAAAAATCATTTTGAATAAAGGTAAATAGCAATAATATGCAAACCAAAAATAGACTTCCAGAGGTCACCATTACAAACGAATGCTTTTATTTTTGATACTGTTTGTGACAAATTAGAATTACTTATACATACATTTGGTGACAAGAAAATATAAAAAAAATTTAAAATCTACTGTCATACTGTAAATGTATTTATATTTACTTCATCAGTAAGGCAGTTGAGAAAATGATAAAAAAAAAATTTGATCTAGACAAAGGTCAAAATTACAATGTCAAAGTATTATATTTATGATATCTTGAAAAAGTGCAGAAAACAATATTCTCATCAAACCATAAATAATTCTTTCATGATTTCTTCACTTTATAGATCAATTTTTACCCTACTTTTTTTATTTGTAAAGCAACAGTGGTGGTGATTGTTAATTTTTTTGGCCAGAAGTAAGAAATTTGTTTACGATAAAAGCCTCAACTTAGAAATATAAATCCAATCTTGGTACATGTATAATTGTGCCTTTCCCACTGAAATTAAGTCCCGTATAAATAGACTAACCTTTTTATTCAGGCCTAGTTCATTACACATAGGAGTTTATATGCATTGACGGGGTTGCATTATAGATGGTGGAATATTGTACATTCCTTTTAATTATATTAATTGATTTATTTATTTCAGATTGTATAGATGAGTGGCATTACCCTTATAACCAAATACCAGTATCTAGCATGGCAAATGGTTATAGCGATAGTTCATCTGGTAAGTACTTGGATACTGAGAGGTGTCTGCATTTTTTGTAATGAGGACATGTACGTATGTTTTAACGTAGTATTGGAGTTAAAAATTGTTGAAACCAACTTTGATTTAAATATATGATATAAAGGATTAGGTTCACAATCAATATTAGCCCTTAATTCCTTGAAATTTAAGTTAATCATAAGCATTTGGTGAAAAATCTGTAAAAATATCAGTCAAGTACAAAGTTAACAAATGTTGACACATTCCACCTGATATGATGTCATTGTGATGTCATGTAATTGTACAGTCATACTTTTGACTATTGTTGTTAAACATGTAAAAGCTTATCTCATCAAAATGCAATTATATTTGCTATATACCAAAATGATAAGATTTGCTATTACAAAATAGGTTCAATAAAGTTGTCTTTGTAATTCTTCTGATTTCATTTGCACAAAATTGTTTTTCTCTATATATGTATAATCCATAGAAAATACTGGTCATGCATTTTGTGCAATATAAACATATTTGCAAAATTTTCTTTTATTTCACTCTGCCATGCATGGCTAACATGATGTTTTATCTTTGGGGGTCTATAATATTTTCAGAAAATGATATTTTACTAGAGCGAATATATGAAATCATCAAATGTATTAAATGGTTATATATATCAGATTTGTTATTATGTACAATATGATCTGCATGGTAACATCTTTTTTTATTTTTAAGCATAATCTATATTTCAGGAAATGCTGTTTTACTGGAGAGTGATTATGACATTATTAGATGTTGTGGATTGATATCACAATGGGTATTCCGTCCAGCAAGGTCTGGTTGGGTAACATTTGTTGTATGGCGACCTACAGGATTTCCTGGTGAAGATGAGTACAGAAAGGTTATTGGAATTAATTCCTATAAAGTTTCTAGTAAGTTATAAAGACTTTCTTAATAAAAAAAGATACAGTGCATAGATCTAAATATTTGTTGCCTATATTTTTTTCCTATATATTTCATATAAAATCACAATTTTTCATAAAATTATTTCAAAGGTGTTTTTTAATCTTTTTCTTACTTAAAATAAGACTCATGTGAAAATCAATAGAAAATAACAATCTTCACATCGTAATTCGTACCAAATAAACAATGAAATGTGTGCCAACTTTCATTCTAGCGGTACATAGTTGATAAAAATCTAACCAGAGATGATCCCACAATTATTTTTTTAGAATGTGGTTTTATATGAAATGTATTGCAAAAAATGCAATTGACTAAAACTCATGTCCATGCACTGTAGCTGTAGAATTAGCTTTTTATTAATTTGTCCAAAGGTCGCAACATTAAAGAAAACAGTTTACAACCAAACTCGTACACATGGTTATTTTGTTCATGAATGGTCAGTTCAATTTGGAATCAATCTACAGCTATTGAAAAGATATCATGTTGCTCTAATGAATTTATCCTAGATTAGTTCTGGGTTCCATGTGAGCCATTTTAGTTCAACCACTCAACAGTGAAATAGAATTGAAAAGTTTAAAAAAAAAATATAGTAACACTTATATGATTTCAACTGTAAGACATTACTTTTCCAAAAATGATATATAGTATTAATTAGTTAATTTTTAGTTGTCTTTGAAGCATTCAATTAATTAGCATTTTAAATATTACAAAATGACATGGTAGGGGATGCAATTTGTATGGAAATTTAAAGAATAATAAAACCGCTCATCCATAAAAATTTGTTTCTTTATCAGTTCAAAGAAACTTTTAATACAACATGTCTTTCAATAATTATACTTCATGTATATGCGATAATTTCTATAAAAAATCACAATGTTGTCTTTCGCAGTTGACAGAAGCAGTAACGTTTTTATGCCCCCGCCGTAGCGGTGGGGGCATTAAGTTTTACCCTTGTCCGTCTGTACGTACGAACGTACGTACGTACGTACGTCCGTCCGTCCGTACGTCCCAAAATTGGTTTCCGTTCTCTAACTTGAGTTTGCCTCAACCAAATGTTATGAAACTTATACACAATGCTTATTACCACAAAACACAGATCAAGTTTGAATTTTGGTGGCGTCACTGTAACCGTTCTAGAGTTATGCGCCTTTATAAATGGAATAATTGCAAAATTTTTAGTTTCCATTCTCTAACTTAAGTTTGCCTCAACCAAATGTTATGAAACTTATACACAGTGCTTATTACCCCAAAACACAGATCAAGTTTGAATTTTGGTGGCGTCACTTTAACCGTTCTAGAGTTATGTCCCTTTATAAATGGAAAAATTGCAAAATTTTTAGTTTCCGTTCTCTAACTTAAGTTTGCCTCAACCAAATGTTATGAAACTTATACACAATGCTTATTACCACAAAACACAGATCAAGTTTGAATTTTGGTGGAGTCACTTTAACCGTTCTAGAGTTATACCCCTTTATAAATGGAAAAATTGCAAAATTTTTATTTTCTTGTAAATATCAAGTGATTAAATTAAAATTGGAGTTATCTTCCTTTGTCCATGATTATAGTTGAATCAACTACAATCAATGCTTTACACAATGCAATGTTTAATTTTGACTTCCACTGATAAAACACAGATCAAGTTGAATTTGGGTAGTGTCACTTTAACCATTATTGAGGTATGCCCTTTATAAATCGAAAGATTGCAAAATTTTAAGTTTCCATTCTGTTACTTTAGTTTGCCCCAACCAAACATTATGAAACCTATACACAATATTCATTACCACAAAACTAAGATCAAGTACAAATTTTTTGTTTCCGTTTTCTAACTTTAGTTTGCCTCAACCAAATGTTATGAAACTTATACACAGTGCTTATTACCACAAAACACAGATCAAGTTTGAATTTTGGTGGCGTCACTTTAACCGTTCTAGAGTTATGCCCCTTTATAAATGGAAAAATTGCAAAATTTTTAGTTTCCGTTCTCTTACTTAAGTTTGCCTCAACCAAATGTTATGAAACTTATACACAATGCTTATTACCACAAAACACAGATCAAGTTTGAATTTTGGTGGCGTCACTGTAACTGTTCTAGAGTTATGCCCCTTTATAAATGGAATAATTGGAAAATATTTAGTTTCCGTTCTCTAACTTAAGATTGCCTCAACCAAATGTTTTGAAACTTATACACAGTGCTTATTACCACAAAACACAGATCAAGTTTGAATTTTGGTGGAGTCACTTTAACCGTTCTAGAGTTATACCCCTTTATAAATGGAAAAATTGCAAAATTTTTATTTTCTTGTAAATATCAAGTGATTTATATTAAAATTGGAGTTATCTTCCTTTGTCCATGATTATAGTTGAATCAACTACAATCAATGCTTTATACAATGCAATGTTTAATTTTGACTTCCACTGATAAAACACAGATCAAGTTGAATTTGGGTAGTGTCACTTTAACCATTATTGAGGTATGCCCTTTATAAATCGAAAGATTGCAAAATTTTTAGTTTCCATTCTGTTACTTTAGTTTGCCCCAACCAAACATTATGAAACCTATACACAATATTCATTACCACAAAACTAAGATCAAGTACAAATTTTTTGTTTCCGTTTTCTAACTTTAGTTTGCCTCAACCAAATGTTATGAAACTTATACACAGTGCTTATTACCACAAAACACAGATCAAGTTTGAATTTTGGTGGCGTCACTTTAACCGTTCTAGAGTTATGCCCCTTTATAAATGGAAAAATTGCAAAATTTTTAGTTTCCGTTCTCTTACTTAAGTTTGCCTCAACCAAATGTTATGAAACTTATACACAATGCTTATTACCACAAAACACAGATCAAGTTTGAATTTTGGTGGCGTCACTGTAACCGTTCTAGAGTTATGCCCCTTTATAAATGGAATAATTGGAAAATATTTAGTTTCCGTTCTCTAACTTAAGATTGCCTCAACCAAATGTTTTGAAACTTATACACAGTGCTTATTACCACAAAACACAAATCAAGTTTGATTTTTGGTGGAGTCACTTTAACCGTTCTAGAGTTATACCCCTTTATAAATGGAAAAATTGCAAAATTTTTATTTTCTTGTAAATATCAAGTGATTTATATTAAAATTGGAGTTATCTTCCTTTGTCCATGATTATAGTTGAATCAACTACAATCAATGCTTTATACAATGCAATGTTTAATTTTGACTTCCACTGATAAAACACAGATCAAGTTGAATTTGGGTAGTGTCACTTTAACCATTATTGAGGTATGCCCTTTATAAATCGAAAGATTGCAAAATTTTTAGTTTCCATTCTGTTACTTTAGTTTGCCCCAACCAAACATTATGAAACCTATACACAATATTCATTACCACAAAACTAAGATCAAGTACAAATTTTTTGTTTCCGTTTTCTAACTTTAGTTTGCCTCAACCAAATGTTATGAAACTTATACACAGTGCTTATTACCACAAAACACAGATCAAGTTTGAATTTTGGTGGCGTCACTTTAACCGTTCTAGAGTTATGCCCCTTTATAAATGGAAAAATTGCAAAATTTTTAGTTTCCGTTCTCTTACTTAAGTTTGCCTCAACCAAATGTTATGAAACTTATACACAATGCTTATTACCACAAAACACAGATCAAGTTTGAATTTTGGTGGCGTCACTGTAACCGTTCTAGAGTTATGCCCCTTTATAAATGGAATAATTGGAAAATATTTAGTTTCCGTTCTCTAACTTAAGATTGCCTCAACCAAATGTTATGAAACTTATACACAGTGCTTATTACCCCAAAACACAGATCAAGTTTGAATTTTGGTGGCGTCACTTTAACCGTTCTAGAGTTATGTCCCTTTATAAATGGAAAAATTGCAAAATTTTTAGTTTCCGTTCTCTAACTTAAGTTTGCCTCAACCAAATGTTATGAAACTTATACACAATGCTTATTACCACAAAACACAGATCAAGTTTGAATTTTGGTGGAGTCACTTTAACCGTTCTAGAGTTATACCCCTTTATAAATGGAAAAATTGCAAAATTTTTATTTTCTTGTAAATATCAAGTGATTTATATTAAAATTGGAGTTATCTTCCTTTGTCCATGATTATAGTTGAATCAACTATAATCAATGCTTTATACAATGCAATGTTTAATTTTGACTTCCACTGATAAAACACAGATCAAGTTGAATTTGGGTAGTGTCACTTTAACCATTATTGAGGTATGCCCTTTATAAATCGAAAGATTGCAAAATTTTTAGTTTCCATTCTGTTACTTTAGTTTGCCCCAACCAAACATTATGAAACCTATACACAATATTCATTACCACAAAACTAAGATCAAGTACAAATTTTTTGTTTCTGTTTTCTAACTTTAGTTTGCCTCAACCAAATGTTATGAAACTTATACACAGTGCTTATTACCACAAAACACAGATCAAGTTTGAATTTTGGTGGCGTCACTTTAACCGTTCTAGAGTTATGCCCCTTTATAAATGGAAAAATTGCAAAATTTTTAGTTTCCGTTCTCTTACTTAAGTTTGCCTCAACCAAATGTTATGAAACTTATACACAATGCTTATTACCACAAAACACAGATCAAGTTTGAATTTTGGTGGCGTCACTGTAACCGTTCTAGAGTTATGCCCCTTTATAAATGGAATAATTGGAAAATATTTAGTTTCCGTTCTCTAACTTAAGGTTGCCTCAACCAAATGTTTTGAAACTTATACACAGTGCTTATTACCACAAAACACAGATCAAGTTTGAATTTTGGTGGAGTCACTTTAACCGTTCTAGAGTTATACCCCTTTATAAATGGAAAAATTGCAAAATTTTTATTTTCTTGTAAATATCAAGTGATTTATATTAAAATTGGAGTTATCTTCCTTTGTCCATGATTATAGTTGAATCAACTACAATCAATGCTTTATACAATGCAATGTTTAATTTTGACTTCCACTGATAAAACACAGATCAAGTTGAATTTGGGTAGTGTCACTTTAACCATTATTGAGGTATGCCCTTTATAAATCGAAAGATTGCAAAATTTTAAGTTTCCATTCTGTTACTTTAGTTTGCCCCAACCAAACATTATGAAACCTATACACAATATTCATTACCACAAAACTAAGATCAAGTACAAATTTTTTGTTTCCGTTTTCTAACTTTAGTTTGCCTCAACCAAATGTTATGAAACTTATACACAGTGCTTATTACCACAAAACACAGATCAAGTTTGAATTTTGGTGGCGTCACTTTAACCGTTCTAGAGTTATGCCCCTTTATAAATGGAAAAATTGCAAAATTTTTAGTTTCCGTTCTCTTACTTAAGTTTGCCTCAACCAAATGTTATGAAACTTATACACAATGCTTATTACCACAAAACACAGATCAAGTTTGAATTTTGGTGGCGTCACTGTAACCGTTCTAGAGTTATGCCCCTTTATAAATGGTATAATTGGAAAATATTTAGTTTCCATTCTCTAACTTAAGATTGCCTCAACCAAATGTTATGAAACTTATACACAGTGCTTATTACCACAAAACACAGATCAAGTTTGATTTTTGGTGGAGTCACTTTAACCGTTCTAGAGTTATACCCCTTTATAAATGGAAAAATTGCAAAATTTTTATTTTCTTGTAAATATCAAGTGATTTATATTAAAATTGGAGTTATCTTCCTTTGTCCATGATTATAGTTGAAACAACTACAATCAATGCTTTATACAATGCAATGTTTGATTTTGACTTCCACTGATAAAACACAGATCAAGTTGAATTTGGGTAGTGTCACTTTAACCATTATTGAGGTATGCCTTTTATAAATCGAAAGATTGCAAAATTTTTAGTTTCCATTCTGTTACTTTAGTTTGCCCCAACCAAACATTATGAAACCTATACACAATATTCATTACCACAAAACTAAGATCAAGTACAAATTTTTTGTTTCCGTTTTCTAACTTTAGTTTGCCTCAACCAAATGTTATGAAACTTATACACAGTGCTTATTACCACAAAACACAGATCGTTTGAATTTTGGTGGCGTCACTTTAACCGTTCTAGAGTTATGCCCCTTTATAAATGGAAAAATTGCAAAATTTTTAGTTTCCGTTCTCTTACTTAAGTTTGCCTCAACCAAATGTTATGAAACTTATACACAATGCTTATTACCACAAAACACAGATCAAGTTTGAATTTTGGTGGCGTCACTGTAACCGTTCTAGAGTTATGCCCCTTTATAAATGGAATAATTGGAAAATATTTAGTTTCCGTTCTCTAACTTAAGATTGCCTCAACCAAATGTTTTGAAACTTATACACAGTGCTTATTACCACAAAACACAGATCAAGTTTGAATTTTGGTGGAGTCACTTTAACCGTTCTAGAGTTATACCCCTTTATAAATGGAAAAATTGCAAAATTTTTATTTTCTTGTAAATATCAAGTGATTTATATTAAAATTGGAGTTATCTTCCTTTGTCCATGATTATAGTTGAATCAACTACAATCAATGCTTTATACAATGCAATGTTTAATTTTGACTTCCACTGATAAAACACAGATCAAGTTGAATTTGGGTAGTGTCACTTTAACCATTATTGAGGTATGCCCTTTATAAATCGAAAGATTGCAAAATTTTTAGTTTCCATTCTGTTACTTTAGTTTGCCCCAACCAAACATTATGAAACCTATACACAATATTCATTACCACAAAACTAAGATCAAGTACAAATTTTTTGTTTCCGTTTTCTAACTTTAGTTTGCCTCAACCAACTGTTATGAAACTTATACACAATGCTTATTACTACATAGTACAGATTAAGTACGAAATAAGGTGGCGACACTTTTACCATTCTTGAGTTATGTCCCTTTATAAACATAAAAATTGCTGAATTTTTTAGTTTGTTTCAACTTAATGTTATAAAACTTATACACAACTGTTCTAGAGTTATGCATGTTTACAAATAGAAAAATTGCTGAATTTTTAGTTTCTGTTCTCTACTTAAGTTAGCCTAAACCAAATGTTATGAGACTTACACACAATGCTTATTACCACAAAACTAAGATCAAGTTCAAATTTGGGTAGTGTCACTTTTACCATTCTTCAGTTATGTCCCTTTATAACTATATGATATGCAAGCGGGGGCATCATCTGTGTCCACATGTGGACACTATCCACATTTATTTTTTAATATGCTAGTTATTGAATTTCAATTCATGTTGAGCTAAGTAAAACCTCAAGTTTATAAAAAAGCTAATACGTTTATCATATTAAATGTCTTTCCAATACTTTTGGTTATTAAGATACATGTATAGTTAAAGCTGAATAAATGATCAGTTAAGATATTTATTTTTGCCATGCAAATTGATGCAGCAGCTACTTCAAAGATTCAAATTGTCATCCTTCCCTAGAAATTAGAGTATTGTTGAAAATATTTTATAGCAGTTTTGATGCCTTTAACAAGAAAGAAACACCGTGACAATAATGAAAAAAATACTTTAATTATTTATATTAAAAGGACTATGAAGTTCAAAAGATAATATCTCCATAAAAGAATTGTTCAATACATTTACCAAATATTTTATATACTGTTTTTTTTTAAATTTTAGCTGGTGAGGAAAATACTGTAGTGACATACACACCTGGTACAACAGAGAGGATAGCTGTTACCAATGGTGATATGATTGGCTGGTTTGTATTCTATCTTCTATGGGTCCAATTGAATATTGGTATAAATGACAAATGTCTGAGCCTACAATCAGAGATTTGTAAATGATGTTTGATTTACTCAGGCAGAGATATTTGCATTATGGTTTATTCACAGTAAAAATATATTCACATGAATGCCAAATGATATGTATGCATGGTAATATTTACCATGAGTATGAATAATGATGTTTACAATATAAATATAATGATAGTGTGTTATTTCTATTTTTAGTTTATCTGTCCTGTAAACTGTTACAGTATTTACACAAATTTATGATAGGAAGAGACTTTTTGGTTCTTTCATGAACTTTTATTTTTAACTATGATCAAAACAGCCTTTGTGATTACTGGTGCTATACTCTGGTTATAATCCACCAATATTTCTACATATTCATTGATTTAATTGCAATATAATCTTGAAGCTGAATTGTTTCCTAGTCTCATGGTAGCATGCTAGCCTTGATTGTGGGAGATTGTGGATTCGATCCCATGCAGTCTCAAGCCAAAGACTCAAAAATGATGTTTTGCTACTTCTCATGTCAAGAGTCTGCATTGAGGAGTAAGAGCAATGATTGGTCAGCTTGGAGTCATGATATTAATGTATAAGTTTTATTTTGGTGATAAATTCCACTCAAGCAACCTTGGCTATATTGTGGAGGCTAGGTTTTGTTGGTGGAGGATTCTGGACTATCTGGAGAGAACCACCAACCTTCTGTAGTAATGTATCAGAGTAGGGTGCACTTTTTGCCTGTGGACTGTTATATAAAACTCATTGTTATGACCAAGTACCAGTACTAAGCCAAATATCTTCATATCACAGTCCTTAATATGCATGTAATATTTTCTGCTGGACATTTAGAATCAATCAGTAAATCAACTAATCATGAACCTTGTGTATATTTTTCAGGTATGACAGTAGCAGTAATAACATCATAGCCTATGATGAGTGTGATCCATTATTATCACACTCCACAACAGATCATATCTACTTCACAAAGAATTATTGTCCTACAAAAACACGTAAAATTACAATAGGTACTCCTGCAGTTGATAATGTAGAAGATTGGAATATTACAGCTCTGTCAGGGATAGTTTTCGCTGTCCAGTATTATATGGTTGCTAGTAAGTCATTTGTATTTGAAAATAAAAATAAACAAAACTTCTGTATATGTAAAAGCCATTTGATTAAAGATTGCAGATGATTAATACATGCCTTCAAAAATTTGAAGGCTGAAATTTCATTGGCTTATGTAATAATAAAGTAAAACGGAGTGTTGTCCGATCCTTGTTAGACATAGGATCTTTATTTTAATCAGATTGAATTCAAATACAGGTTAATATAGAAATAAGGAGATGTGGTATGATTGCCAATGAAACAACTTTCCACCAGAGTCCAAACGACATGAATGTAAGCAGCTGAAGGTCATGGTATGGCCTTCAACAACTTGCAAATCCTATGCCATAAAGTCAACTTTAAAACCTCAAGCATAACAAAATGTGAAACAATTCAAAAGCAAAAAGTAAAGGCCTGATTTATAACAAAACAAATATGACAGATAGCAATCAACGATTCAAGAATGGTATATCCAAATTGCAAGGATATCAATGGTAGATTTAAATTTTTTTTATTTCTGTCATTTGAATAACAAGAAAATTGCCTTGGCTTTCTATAACCAATAGTTGTAGGGTGTCAGAAATATTTTATCGCATTCTGTCTTCATTTCAGAAACTTGAATTTAAAGGCCTATAAATTAAGGAAAAAATATCTCTTTTCACTTGAAATTTGAGCTATATTTTCAGAAAAGTATTGGAAAATTTAATTTAGTGTTTTTACATAAAACATGGAAATTTCAAACTTTAATATCTCTAAAAGGAAGTTATGAGGTATATGTGTCTTTGCATATTTGGATAGTGTATATCAAAATTGACTTTGTGTCAAAATTTCATTACAAGATAAGTCAAAAAGAGATCTTTTTTGTATCATATGACCTTAAATCCCAAAATAATGTTGCCAACTCATTCAATACTGGACAGATTTTATATTTGAACACACTACAATAGAAACTGTAAAAAGGGTTCAAATTTAGGAAACAAAATTAGCTACATTTGCCAAAGAAAATCATTATAATACGTAAAAAGTGCATTAGAGTCAATATTTTTTCAGACACGCTACCATACTTCACATTGCCAGAGTATACCAAAAATGTACCAGATTTTTGGACAAAGGACATCAATGTAATGTCATTCTACTTCACGGATGATGACTATGGAGATTATTTTGCTGATATACACCCAGATTATGACCATGAGTATTTTTACTTGGACCCTACCAGACGTATGTAGTTATGTTTGTTTATATTTGATATTTTTGGGAAATAATTCATTCATATATTGTCCATCAGTGAACACCGTGTTATCTATTCTAATTATTACAAAATCACATGATACCAAATTGATTTGAAGTCCATTTCGAAATGTATCTAGTGGTGCTTGAAACCAAACATGATAACAATAACGGTACTAATTTTACTGTAATTTTACTGCACCAAATGCACATTTCGACAATAAATCTCTCTTTAGTGATGCTTGAGGCCAACATATTTGAAATCCAAATCTTATTTAAAAAAGAGCTGATATACAAAAAGTATAGCCAAAGCCAGATATACGAATATCATGCAGAAATATAAAAAGTTGAAGAGCAAGAAATCAAAAATAACACCCAAACAATGACACCTATGTAATGTGCAGTTGGTTGTTTACTTAATTTGTCCATTTATAGTTATAATGCAAGTTCAAATATTGGTTATATGTTTTTCTTTAAATGAAAAGTATAACTTGATTAATGTGACATCCTTTCAAACCAGTTTTTTGTCTCACCTTTGATGACAGTGGCAATATTGGGGGCATAAATATGCTTATCCAGGGCAATTGCAGCAGTGTTGATAGTGTTACATAATAGTATAAAACAAAATATATGTGAAGGTAGACAATCTGTATATAGTATATAAATGGCATACAGTCTGATATTTTTGTCTGACATATGCAAGTTCACATTGAGCTCATCTTCATCAGGTTCCAGACATCTATGGTGGTCAAGGGTCTGGAAATGGTCATATTTGCCACACATGAACGAATCTGAAATCTATTAATTTGTCCTAAACGACAAATTGGGATTTAGGACAAATTTTATTTTCTTACAGAAATAATTTCGGTCATTTCGTGCAGATCGAGTTTCTTAATCACCATGTTGCACTTGTTTTTGTTTTGTTATCCTATTCCTGTAATAAAACTGCCACTCCAGTACAGTATTATGATCCTGAGGGCCCTCCTAATAACTATATTAATGCCTTCGGGAAATACTATCTAATGATCGCTAATCACTTTTTACCTGTGTTTTTACAGCTCTTCTATAAAAGCATGCAAAGCAAACCTTTGATCAACTTGCTTGCTATGTTTGGTTGGATGTTTGCAAACAATAGGTAGGCAGAGTTTCAGTCTGTTTTATATATACTGGGATTTGATTGGACAATAAAAATTGACATGCAATGAAGTTAATGTTTATTGTCCAATCAAATTCCATTATATAGTAAACAGACTGAAACAGACTACCTACCTTTTGTTTACAAACATCCAAACAGACATAGCAAGCAAGTTGATTAAAGGTTTGCTTTGCATGCTTTTATAGAACAGCTGTAATTTACACCTGACATTGATCACAAGCTCAGAACTAATATTTTAAGAAATTAAAATTCCATGACAACTGTCTTCATTATTTAATTACGTTTCAGCAAAGACAATCATCAATTCTGATTTAAAAATTAAAACTTAATTTAATTTACTTAGAAAAAAGTAATTGTTCACTATAATACACATGCTTTATTTACTATGTAATACGCATGCGTGAAATTCTCTTCAGCAGATTAGACATATTATCTTAAAATGCAAAATGATTTCATGCTAAAAAAACAAGTGCAACTATTATCTGTAATATTCAAACACTTTTAAAGGTAAAGAATTAAAAAGCCGTTGATTTCCTGTCAATTTGATAAACAAAAAACGAAAACCGGCAATGAGTCGGAATTACTCGTACTTTAGTATTGTCGCGAAACATCTGGTTTTAATTTCGTCTTCAAAATCGAAAGAAACGTTAGGGATGTTTGAAAAATTAACCATTTAGAGTCATTATAATCGTTTCAATTTTTAACTGTTGCCTTCCCTTAACTGTTCTTGAACGTTTTTTAAAAAAAGGTAAGAAAATTCATGAAGTTAATGCGATGAAACAGACAAAACAAGTTGGTTGATGCTATGAATCTAGTAGTAGTGTGATTCTACAATTTTTTTTTAAAAAGGCACCAACTTTTAAGTTATCTCAAAATGACCGAAATTGTGTGAAAAAATTTCCAGATCCTTGATTGTCGTCATCCTGTAATGCAGGATTTCAATATCATTGCATACTCTATAGTTCAATTTTGATACTTGGTATGTATGTTCACCAATACCAGAGAGTGTCATTTGAATCTTGATATCTCCACCAATTTTTATTTTTCAAAATAAAGTTATCTCAAAGAATTAAAAAAGAAAGCTAGTAGAGTACTCTGAAGTGAAGGGTAACAATATTTCCTTGCCAACAAGTTTTTAAACATCTTTGAGCTGGCATCCAGTAACTGCAGTCATTCTTTGATTTTGTATTATTTGGTATATTGTTTGTGCTGAAACTTTTCACTAATACAAACTGAACATTAAAAAAAAAGAATTTTGTCATTGGTAAGCTGAAAGGACAAAGCCTGTTTTTTTCAGCAAAGTGAGTCGGAAATGAACGATTTAATTTGAGAGGTTGACAGATTTTTAATGCATCAATACAACGTTTATATATTTGATTTTAATCTTTTCAGAACAAATTCGTACAAAGACTGATATTTTCCATGAACATACAGTGCGCAATCACTATTACACCTTCGTTGTGACAGCTGTAGATTCTTGTCACAATCAAGTGACAGGAACTGTAACCATAACAACCTACAATACGGTATGTATTTAATGTATCAGCATCATTTTTGTGGATCTATAAGGAAATATAATTATTTGTCAGATACATGTACAACTTTTAATGGTTTCAAAATTCATGAAATACAAACTTTTTACTGAATTATAATTTATTACCCTAACCATGCACTTTGTCAATATAAAACACAGTGGTACTGGAATGAAATCAATTGTCATATTCATTTTTGTACTGCCAATTAAGTTGGAATGTCTGTCTGCAAGGTAAAGGTGAATGCTATATATTTAGATGACTACAAAGGACACAGGTTAAATTTTGCCTTTGTCCTCATTTTCATGGTTCAGTGAATGCTTAATTTTTTTTTCACATGAAATTTACACTTAATATGAGTATAAGAATAACTATATTTGGTATATTTGATCCTTGCATGGTCTATATGCATGTCAGACAGCGTTCAACCGACCTTGACTTCATTTCTTGGATCAGTGATCCAAGTTAATTTTTTGTCTGTCAAGTCTATATCTCAGAAACTCATGCAGGGTTCATCTGACCTTGACCTCCTTGTCTTGTTTCATTGGTCAATTTTATTATTTTTTTTAGGTTAGTTTGGTCAGTTTCTAAGATACTATAATCAATATTTCATCTGTATTTAGTTATGAGATGACATAGTTACATGTCTGTCTGGCAGAGTTCATCTGACATTGACCTCATTTTCATGGTTCACTGGTCAATGTTATATATAAAAATAAGCAGATGTGGAATGATCAGTTTCTCAAATACTATAATCAATAGGTCAGCTATATTTGGTGTGGCTGTAAGGTGTGCTTGTCTGTCTGGCAGGGATTGTTTGACTTTGACCTCATTTTCAAGGTTCATCAGTTAAAGTTAAGTTTTCCTAGGTAGGTCAGTTTCTCGGAATCTCTTAAACAACAGGTCAACTATATTTGGTTAATGGAATGATTGTAAAGTGTTCATGTCTTTCTGGTAGGGTTTATCTGACCTTGACCTCATTTTCAAGGTTTATCAGTCAACATTAGGTATTTGTGGTTGAAACTGTTTTCCAGATATAGTAAGCAACAGATCAGCTATTTATGTTGTATGGAATAATTGCAAAGTCCATCTGGCTTGCTTCATCTGACCTTGAACTCATTTACATGGATCAATGATACTGTTAGGTTTATGTGATACTTGTAGAAAAATTTTATCTTACTTAAACACTTTCAACATAAATTCAATCATGATCAGTAAAGTTGGTGACACATTTTAGGGTGTGGCTCTTGTTTTAAATAAGCATATAGCTAAGTAATTTCAAGTATATGCTAAACTTATATGCTCATCATCTGTGTCTTGCAGACACATCAAATGTAAAAAAAACTTTAATTTCTTTTCAAATCTCCTGTGTCTTAAGTGCCGAGTATGAACAATAAAGTATGCTTTAAATTTTCTTTTGGTTTTACAGCCACCTTTTATGAACAATCTGGATGCATCAGTGAACATATCTGAGTTTATGACATATGGAGAGATCTTTACTGTGGATTTTGAAGATAAAGAAAATGATTCTTTTACTTGGAAGATTAATAGAGTAGATCCTTCATCAAAAAAAGATATATTTTATTTTGAAGGTATGTGTCTATGTTGTTTTTATACGACCGCAAAAAATTTTTGTGGTCGTATATTGGTATGACGTTGGCGTCGTCGTCGTCATCGTCCGAAGACACATTGGTTTTCGCACTCTTACTTTAGTTTAAGTGAATGGATCTCGATGAAATTTTACCATAAGGTTCAATACCACAGAAGGAAGGTGGGGATTGATTTTGGGGGTTATGGTACCAACAGTTAAGGAATTAGGGGCCAAAAAGGGGCCAAAAATAAGCATTTTTGTAACTTCCAGACATAACTTGTGTATTAGTGTATGGATCTCTCTGACATTGTACCACAAGGTTCCATATTACAAAGGGAAGGCTGGGATTGATTTTGGGGGTAATTGCCTCAAAATTTTAGGAATTAGGGGCAAAAAAGGGGCAAAAAACAAGCATTTTTCTAGTTTCATGACAATAACTTGTGTGTAAGTGTATGGATCTTTCTGAAATTGTACTACAAGGTTTCATATCACAAAAGAAAAGCTGGAAATGAGTTTGGGGGTAATTGCCCAAAACGTTTAGGAATAAGGGGCCAAAAAGGGGCAAAAAAAAACATTTTTCTAGTTTCCAGACAATAACTTGTGTTCAAGTGTATGGATCTCTCTGAAATTGTACTTCAAGGTACCATACTACAGAAGGAAGGCTGGGATTGATTTTGGGGGTAATTGCCTCAAAATTTTAGGAATTAGGGGCCAAAATGGGGCAAAAAACAAGCATTTTTCTAGTTTCAGGACAATAACTTGTGTGTAAGTGTATGGATCTTTATGAAATTGTACTACAAGGTTTCATATCACAAAGGAAAAGCTGGATTTGAGTTTGGGGGTAATGGCCCTAAACGTTAAGGAATTTGGGGCCAAAAAGGGGCCAAAAAACAAGCATTTTTCTAGTTTCCAGACAATAACTTGTGTTCAAGCGTATGGATCTCTCTGAAATTGTACTGCAAGATACCATACCACAAAGGGAAGGCTTGGATTGAGTTTTGGGGTGATGAATCATAAGGGGGTTCAAAAAATTGGAAAGGGGGATTCTTTTTCCTTTTTTTTTTCATTAAAATTTTCCATTTTGAATTGGTTATTTCTGATTTATATATAAAAGCAAATAATAATAATATGGTTTCAGTAGGTAAATTAAAAAAATTTAAGTTCTTAGACCACATTCATTCTGTGTCAGAAACCTATGCTGTGTCAAATATTTAATCACAATCCAAATTCAGCGCTGTATCAAGCTTGAATGTTGTGTCCATACTTGCCCCAACTATTCAGGGTTCGACCTCTGCGGTTGTATCAAGCTGCGCCCAGTGGAGCATTTTATTATACAAGTCGTAATATTATCAAACATTAACATCATGGTGTTAGTGGTGGGTATAAGGTTTTTGAAAACTAGATATTTGAAACCTTTTTAACAGGCTGATATCCAGTTGAATTTAAACAAAAGAATTGAAACTCTCTATTAGAGAAGGTAAAAAAGGACAAGTTGGTATATTTGGATTATTTACATCAGTTTCTATGGTCTTTAAAAGTTAAATGAAGGTGCATAATTTAGAATTTTACTCTTAAATACTGTAAATTCAGAAATTAATGTTAGGTTTTTATTATTGCAAATAATGTGACTGGGTGAGTATCGCAATAATAAGAACTTCCATTCTGATATATGTTGCATACATGTGTATGCAGATTTTTTCTGATTGATACACGGGTTATTCAGTGTGCAACACATTTTTGATGTTATTTCTTCATAGACAGAAAAATTATTACAGTCATTCCTTAAATAATTTATTTTGGATGTAACACGTCTTCTGATTGGCTGAGAGTGTTTTGTCTATCAGCTCATAGACATAATTTTGTCATGTGACAGTGACGTCATCAACGTTTTTTCATGATTTACTCCTTAAAAATGGAATTTAGAATTAAATTATAAGGACTGATTGCAATATTTTTTCTGTCTTTTCGAAATAACCTAAAAAATGTGGTGCCCACTTTTAAATAACCAGCGACGCGGGTTATTCAGTGTACACCACATTTTTGATGTTATTTCTTCATAGACAGAAAAAATATTACAGTCATTCCTTAAATAATTTAATTTTGGATGTAACACGTCTTCTGAGAGTGTTTTGTCCATCAGCTCATAGATAATAATTCTAAAAAGGCGTAAATCATGATAAAAACGTTGATGACATCACGGTCACATGACAAAATTATGTCTTTGAGCTGATAGACAAAACACTTTCAGCCAATCAGAAGACATGTTACATCCAAAATTAAATTATTCAGTTATGAAGCCCAGACATTTCTTGGTTTCAATTTATAATGTACAGTATTTTTGGAATAGTCACATTTTATATTTCAAATTTAATATTTATTTTATTGGAAACTTGTGAAATATAGATTCTATATACCTCATTTATTAAAAAGTATACCTATACTTTGAAGTGTTGATGGCATTTTTATGTTAAAACTGGGTTTTTACTGATAAAACATTATAGTGTCAACTGTTAACTTGAAGAATGTATTTTACAGGTACAACAATAATGTTGGTAAATGGGACAGTCCTAGACACATCAATTCTACAATATGAATTACAAATTCAAACAGATGATTATGACAGAAAAAGAAATAAATATTTGACAGTGGATGTAATAGTTACTCCAGTTTTAGAACCCAGTAAGTCAGAATTTATTGAAACCTCATCTCAAACTTGTTCCAATTGTTAACTTTTTAATTTTTTTTATAGAATTGGAGATTATCAAAATATGGCACTGTTTCCTTTTTCAATGAATAGTGAATTACTGTGGATTCATTATTTTTCGTTGGATAAACATTTTTGTGGATTTCGTGGGTACAGGTGAACCACGAAATTACATGTTCAAAAAATGACAATTTTTCTATAGATTTGTATGCATACTTCGGAAAAACCACAAATTTAAAAATCAACGAAAATGCAAGTTTTCATGAATCCATGAAAATTGGTACCCACGAAAATACAATAAAACCTGGGTAAACAGGAACCCTGAATAAACTGGTTTCCTGTCCATTCCTGTCGAAAATTGAAGTCCCATGTTTTCCCCTTCAAAGTCTTTGTAAAAATACACCCTTTAAACCAGACCCTGTGTATTCTGAATTCCTGTCTTATTATACAGTCCCAATACTCTTAAATACATCAATAATTACCTGTCAAAACCGGTTTGTTTAATTAGTTAAACATGATAACAGTATTGATCAATATGCAATCAAATCATTATTGTTTATACAAGATGGTTTTTCAGGGTGATCAATTAGCAAGGTGTTAAATCGTGATTTTACAGTAGTGAGCTTTATTATTGAAATTCTATTAAGTTTTAATTAAAAGAAACTAAAAGAAACCCATAATATATCTCGGATGGGATTTACGTTGTAACTTTGATAAATTTTTCATATCGCAGAGTAAGAAATTTATGTGTTTTCGAAATGCTGGGTTCCCTGTTGTGAACCCCAAAACCAATGACCCTGATAATGAAGAAGACCCCGTATATATGGTATATATAAAACATGTTGAAAAAGATGTTTTGACTATTTTACTGTGCTAGGTAATTTGACCCCCTCCTCTTTACCGGCCCTTTTTCATAGTCCCATAGCTGGCCGGTTTATACAGGTTTTACTGTAAATGAATCCACAGTATTACAATTCAAAAGGTTAACACTGTAATATAAAATGAAGAAGGTCAATAACCTCTATAAGTCTTTGGTTTCCTTGGTTATACCTGATTGTGATGACAGTCCAAACTAAAACTTTAAATGAAATGAAATTGATTTTATTATTTATTTTTTAACACATTTTATGTGTTATAATAAGGAGATAACTGTATACTGTATCATCAGCTTGGCCTTCGTAAAATGTAAATTTTACTGTCTCAAATTGAGTTTATTTAAACAGATATTTACTACAGTCAAATCAAGATTTACGAAGGACAAGCTTAAGATACAATACAGTTATCCCCATTCTAATGACACATTTTTTGGCTTAAAAATGCCATACTGTGGATTCATTTATTTTCGTGGGTACCAATTTTTGTGGATTGAGGGAAACTTGCATTTTTGTGGATATTTGATTTCGTGGTTTTGCCAATGTCTCCCATTTAAGCCTATATAGAATTTGTAATTTGTTAAATATTTAAATTCATGGTGCACCGCTACCCACGAAACCCATGACCATGAAAAATTGGTATCCAACGAATAATAATGAATCCACAGTAAATGAAAAAGTCAGTGAAACATAATTTTTATGGATAATTGAAATTGAATTCTTAGCACTAAAATAAATGAATAAGGATGTGAAGAAATTTCAGTTCAAATTTGTTTGCTTGTTTTACAGTATATTATGAATACAGTTCTGTGGAAGGTAACACAGCTTTATTAATGGAATGTGCCAATGAGGTCATACCTAAAGAAACTTACACAGACTACATTCATCCTCTTGATGTGTTCATAGTTATTGATAACGTAACATATGACCTTGCTAGCCATTATGGATGTCTTCATAATTTGACCTATGGTGTCAAGGACAGGTGTGATAACAAAACTACTTGTTCCTTTCTTGTTTCCAATGCCAATGTTGCCAGTCAATGTGGAACAGAAGGGGCTGCTGCATTGTGGGTCAGATATCATTGTGTCAGTAAGTACTAAAAGATCTAGGTCAAAAATATGGACAATGAAGAACAGAAAGAGTGAGACAAAAAATTTCATATATATGTATATATTTTTTTCTGATTTTGTCTGTTATAGCTCATATCAGTAGATGTAACTTTTCTTTAGTAGCATTCAAATTGATGTTTCCTTAACATATAAAATACAAAATGTACTAGTGTCATTTATTACTGCGGATTCATTAATTTTTGTGAGGCCTAACCAATTTATGGGGATTAAAGAAAGATTTTATATTCTTGGATATTAAAAAAATTTGTTTTCTAATATGTAGTCTAATGACATCATGCACATTTTCATTTTCTCCTCATTTGATAAATCTTTTTATCCCCGGCTTAGTATATTTCTAGGATTTTGATTGGTTAACGCACGTCGTTACAAAACCCATAGCCCCTGGGTGTTGCTAACCCATATTCCCGGACGTTGCTATCCATTACCCTGGTGGACGTCACGCGCGTTTTCCTTAGTTCCATGGTTGTTCCTTGTGAAATATAGAATTCTGTAGAATATCCATGATGTCTGTAATTAGATATTTAATCAACAAACAAATATGTCGAATTCCCCAATTTCAATATAAGATTTTTATAAAATGAAAAAAAACGTTGCTTTCACGTTACACTTTGTGGTCTAATTTCTCTAAAAATTGCCAGATTTGAACTAAGACCGGGGATAAATTCGTTATCTACGTTCATATCCATAGATATGGATATTTTAACACCCTTCAGTACCCTGTACACCCTTCGGCTTCACCTCAGGGTGTACTTAGATACTTCAGGGTGTTAAAATATCCATATCTACGGATATGAACGTAGATAACTTATAGTATCAACCTCTTCAAAAGTCATGCAATAATTGTATTAAAGTTACCATTATGAGACCTTTCACCTTATAAACCTTAAGGAATGCAGACCAGCCGTTTGACCCTGTATCTGATTTTACAACAATTATCTTTAAGACATAATACATTAAAATGTCGAACCCTTTATGTTGTTAAAGATTTCCCATTGATATAATTTTCTTTGATGTATGAATTTAAGGATCTATGTTTTGTATATGTTAATAAGACAAAAACCAAACATTGTCTTCAACTTCTACATAATATTAAATTTTAATTGAGAAATTACATCTTTTGTTCTGACATTCATATGGAGTTTGTTTGATATTTCAGGAGATGCAGCTTGGACGGCCTGGAATAACTGGCATGACTGTACGAGAACTTGTGGTGGTGGTTATAGAGTAAGATATCGTAAATGTACCAATCCACCAGTCAATTATTTTGGCTCAAATCGGAGCTGTGAAGACAGTATAGATAATGAATGGGAACAGTGTAATACACATATATGTCTTTGTAAGCTATTTATTTATTGAATAATATGAATATGTGGGGAATATGTCAATGATACAGCAAACAAATAATAAAAATATGGCATCATACAGTCTACAACAACAGGCACATGTATCTATAAAATGTCAAGCTCTCAATCATCATAAGTAGCATGTTATCACACAAATTATTTTATGTGACAAGGGTTCATTCAATGGCAGATCCAGGGGGGACATAGAGGCTGTATCCCCCCTTTTTAGCTCACTGGGGCCCAAAGGGCCCCATGTGAGCTTATGCCATCACTTGGCGTCCGTCGTTGTCTGTTGTCGTCGTCGTCTGTCGTCGTAAACTATTTAAAAAATCTTCTCCTCTGAAACTACTGGGCCAAATACCTTCAAACTTTATTTAAATGTTCCTTAGGGTATCTTGTTTATAAAAGGTATCCGAAGTTTTGATCCATCGACAAACATGGCCGCCATGGCTAAAAATAGAACATAAGGGTCAAATGCAGTTTTTGGCTTATATCTCAAAAACTAAATCTTTTAGAGCAAATGTGACATGGGGTAAAATTGTTCAATTGGTCAAGATCAATCGGCCCTGAAATTATCAGACAAATCGAACAACCCATTGTTGGGTTGCTGCCACCGAATTGGTAGTTTTAACAAAATTTTGCAGTTTTTTGTTATTATTTAGAATATTATTATAGATATATATAAACTGTAAGCAGCAATAATGTTCAACAGAGTAAGATCTACAAAAAAGTTAATATGACCATAATTGTCAATTGACCCCTTAAGGAGTTATTGCCCTTTAAAGACAATTTTACACAATTTGTTCATCAAGTTTGCTAACATTTAAAAATCTTCTCCTCTGAAACTACTGGGCCAATTACCTTCAAACTTTAACTAAATGTTCCTTAGGGTATCTTGTTTATAAATTGTATCCGAAGTTTTGATCCATAGTCAAACATGGCCACCATGGCTAAAAATAGAACATAAGGGTCAAATGCAGTTTTTGGCTTATATCTCAAAAACTAAATCTTTTAGAGCAAATGTGACATGGGGTAAAATTGTTTAATTGGTCAAGATCTATCAGCCCTGAAATTATCAGACGAATCGAACAACCCATTGTTGGGTTGCTGCCACCGAATTGGTAGTTTTAACAAAATTTTGCAGTTTTTTGTTATTATTTTGAATATTACTATAGATATATGTAAACTGTAAGCAGCAATAATGTTCAGCAAAGTAAGATCTACAAAAAAGTTAATATGACCAAAATTGTCAATTGACCCCTTAAGGAGTTATTGCCTTTTAAAAACAATTTTATACAATTTGTTCATAAAGTTTGCTAACATTTAAAAAAATTCTCCTCTGAAATACAGGTGAGCGATTCAGGCTCTTGAGAGCCTCTTGTTGATTGCAAAAAAAAAATAATTATATCATGTTAGTCACAATTTATATGATTTTTTAGAATATACAAGTTCAACAAGTTTTTCAGTATATTAATTATAATCAGTTTTATGAAACCTTTGTATGTAAAGAAGAAAGTAAAATAACAAAAATACCGAACTCCGAGGAAAATTCTAAATGGAAAGTCCCTAAGCAAATGGCAAAATCAAAAGCTCAAACACATCAAACAAATGGATAACAACTGTCATATTCCTGAGTCACTAAAGAATCACGCCTCATTGATTTGAGGTTGAATCATTTTTAAAATGCAGTAAAATTCATACATTATTAAATCAATACAATATATGCTAGACGGCTTGGAAATATGCAAATGATGACTTTAGAGTCTTTTTCATTCAGAAATAAGACTAAGTACAAGACATTTGTCTGCTCCACAATACAGGCAGACATTGTTCATTGGTTGTTGGCACCAAGATAGAGCCCATATTTCCTTTTCAGATTTGAACTACTGTACAATAATAGGAAAACCTTATATGAATTCAAATATCAGAAGAGGTGAAAAAAAATTATTAGGGGGTCAGTACATTTTCATTAGTGTGACGACATGGAATTGGTTAGATCCCTTTAAATACTAGTGTTTTCAATGCAGTTTTGAGACAGAATAAACCAGTTTGAGTATTAAAAATAGATTATTGTCCACATTTAAAGCTTACCTGACCCAAATGGCCATGTGTGATTTTCTCGTCACTTGGCATCTGTCGTTCCGGCATCATTGTCTGTTAACTTCTACAAAAATCTTCTCTTTTTTTACCATTTTTTTTTAGTTTTTGCCTTATATCTTAAAAAGTATAATAGATACTAGAAGATAGAAACTTAAATAAGCAAAAATTATCAGCAAGACAAGATCTACATTTTAGACAATACAGCAGATATTTTCCCACAACTCCTTATTGGAGTTATTGCCTTTTAATGAGGATTTTTTTACCATTTGTTTTTCTTTTTGGCTTATATGATAAAAATAATAATAGATGAATAGGAACTTTAAATAACAAAAATGTTCAGTAAGGCAAGATCAACAAACAAGTTAAAATTTGCCGATATAGTTAGTAGATTGTCACTCTTCATAGGAGTGATTGCCCTTACTTGAGGATTTTTTTACCCTGTTTTGTGTTTTGAGCAAAAACTAAAGAAGATAGAGAGAAAATAAACAGACAAAATGATCAGCAATAAAAGATCATGAATTCCATTCTTGTCTACAATGTTGGAAAGTGGTTATGCACACAGACCTAGGTGAGCGACACAGGCTCGTTAGAGCCTCTACTTATCTTATTTTAGGTAGTATGGCTGACATGAAGAAATGACTTCTTTAAGTTATTCAGTTACATTTTTGTATTTTCAGATAGTAGTGAAACATGTCGAAATGACTACTTTGATCCAACATGTTACATTTATGATACCAATGGAACATTAGCCATTACTAAAAGTAACTTCAGAGATGGCTGTGCTTGGGACTATAACACTGAGGATCCATTTCATGTGGTTCTTTCTGTTGTAAGAGCAGATTGTGAGAACCATTTTGATTGTAGTGTATTGGTCAGTGATAATCTGTATCCCTGTTATACTGATGAGTACCAGACAGTTAATGAGACTTATTTGGAATATCACCGTAGTGGTTGGGGATGGCTTTCTTACACAACTACAAAATGGAGATACTACACAACGCGAGTGATTTCAATTTGTGGTGTCTTGAGATGGAATTATACTTGCTTAAGTGAGTCTCTTACTATTTGCTTAAATTTTTGCAATTGAAAATGACAACAAAACCTGTATCTCATATTGGTAAGCATTGAAATGTTTGATACCATGAAAATATTTGATTTGATACTTTAACAGTTTGTACTCTAAATAGTTAAATTGGTTTTCTTTTACTTGACCTATTGGTTTGCACTGTCAAGAGTCATTAACCATAAAAAGTTTGAGTGTGAAATTGTGGTTTTTTCTAAGTGAAAACTCTTCAAAACCCTTACTGCTTGGGAATTAAAAAACCCTTACTGCTTGGGAATTAAAAAACCCTTACTGCTTGGGAATTAAAAAAAGAGATTGTTTGTATACATTATACTAGATTTCACTTAATATTTAGATGTTTAGATGTTTTTAAAGAAAATATATTTCAATCAGTCCAAGCAATATTTTTGCTGAAAAAAGACAAAATAAATGCATTGGGAAAAAAATGTAGTTATTTAATCATATTTTGTGTATATAAATTTGATACTTCTTCCTAGTTCCTCAATGGACTCAATGGTCTGAGTGGTCTGACTGTTCCCAGACATGTGATAGAGGATTCCAGGAAAGAACACGTATTTGTAAAGGGGATACAGAATCTGACACAGAGGATGGTTACGTTAACAGATGTGGACAGAGATATGATGAAACTCATACACTGGAGACGAGAGAATGTTTATTACTAGGGAATCATCGTTATTGTACTTGTTAGTACTTGTTAGCACTTTCACATACATACATACATGTGTAAATATAATGTGAAGACTGGTAAAACAACAACACTTTAGAGATTGATGCTGTAATGTAATGAGATCAACAGTTTCAGTACTTAGGTCACTGTCATCAGGATAAAAACAACGAAAACAGAAAATCAAGCTGAAGTACTAAATCGGGAAGTGATGCATTACTAGAATACATTACTTTTCCATAGACATTTTCAAATCATAACATATAAACAGATTATCTCAGATATTAATCCAATAATAATATGTTGTAGTTAGAGCTTTTATTCTATGTTCAGAGTCTGAACATAGAATAAAAGCTCTGATCAATGTCTGGTACAAAATAGTTACCTGTTGCGTGTAAATTATGATCTTATCGTTTTAAATACATTTTTTCATAATCTCGATCTGTTCTGCTAAAAAGGAGTTCGATTTAAACCAGGAATGTTTGTCATTTGAATAAAAAAGTAACTTCCAAAAAGATCGATTGATGTCCGGCACAAATAGTTTACCTGACACTGGTGATCACAGGTAAATCTCACCTGTTAGACACTTAATTTAACCTTGAATGTAATGAGAGGGGATTATAGTAGGGCTTGTTTATTGAGCACTGTCACTTTAATGACTGGAAAAATGTGACTGTTTAGGGCACAAGGTCAAATCAAAATGGTTGATTTTTCTGAACGTTGAAATGGCAAACCTATATGTGATGTCTGTTTCATGTTTTGCCCAGTCGGACAATGTCCGATAAATTTATATTTGTCCTGCAAATAAGACCGTTTTGGAAGCCGTGGTTCAGACCAAAAAATTTCTGATAGAATTGGTTCTAATAAAATATTGCTACTGAAAGTGTATTGAAAATCCTGTGAAAGATTTTTCATAATAACTTTTCCACAATATTAACAGATTGTGAAGACAGAACATTTATTTACGGTGATGAAGTGCCTATGAGAACTGCAGAAAATGACACAGATGAAGGTAAGTCAGACATTAACTTTACCAGACTTTTTAGCTGTTTCTTACTATATTAGAAATCCTTGATTTTTAAATAATCACATATGTAGCTTCATTCTAATCAGTTTAAGTTATTGTTTCTGTGGATTCATTTATTTTTGTGGGTACAAATTTTGTTGGTTGGTTGACTAAAAATTAAACTATTTTGGAAGTTTGATTACATGCTTTTTATACGACCGCAAAAAAAATTTTGTGGTCGTATATTGGTATGACGTTGGCGTCGTCGTCGTCGTCGTCGTCGTCGTCGTCGTCGTCGTCGTCGTCCGGCGTCGTCGTCCGAATACACATTAGTTTTCGCACTCTAACTTTAGTTTAAGTGAATGGATCTCATTGAAATTTTACCATAAGGTTCAATACCACAAAAGGAAGGTGGGGATTGATTTTGGGGGTTATGGTACTAACAGTTAAGGAATTAGGGGCCAAAAGGGGCCAAAAATAAGCATTTTTGTAACTTCCAGACATAACTTGTGTGTAAGTGTATGGATCTCTCTGACATTGTACCACAAGGTTCCATATCACAAAGGGAATGCTGGGATTGATTTTGGGGGTAATTGTCTCCAAATTTTAGGAATTAGGGGCCAAAAAGGGGCAAAAAACAAGCATTTTTCTAGTTTCATGACAATAACTTGTTTGTAAGTGTATGGATCTTTATGAAATTGTACTACAAGGTTCCATATCACAAAGGGAATACTGGGATTGATTTTTGGGGTAATTTCCTCCAAATATTAGGAATTAGGGGCCAAAAAGGGGCAAAAAACAAGCATTTTTCTAGTTTCATGACAATAACTTGTTTGTAAGTGTATGGATCTTTATGAAATTGTACTACAAGGTTCCATATCACAAAGGGAAGGCTGGGATTGATTTTGGGGGTTTTCCCTCAAAATTTTAGTAATTAGGGGCCATAAAAGGGCAAAAAAAACATGCATTTTTCTAGTTTCAGGACAAAAACTTGTGTGTAAGTGTATGGATCTTTATGAAATTGTACTGCAAGGTTCCATATCACAAAGGGAAAGCTGGAATTGAGTTTGGGGGTAATTGCCCTAAACGTTTAGGAATTTGGGGCCAAAAAGGGGCCAAAAAACAAGCATTTTTCTAGTTTCCAGACAATAACTTGTGTTCAAGTGTATGAATCTCTCTGAAATTGTACTGCAAGGTACCATACCACAAAGGGAAAGCTGGGATTGAGTTTGGGGGCGATGAATCATAAGGGGTTTCAAAAAATTGGGGGGGGGGGATTTTTTTTTTCCTTTTTTTTCTTTAACATTTTCCATTTTAAATTGGTTATTTCTGATTTATATATAAAAGCAAATAATAATGATATGGTTTGAATAGGCATACATGTGAACCTCCCGACGGGAGTACAATAATCCCGTTTTCAGGGGTCTCCTCCCCCCCTCCCGTTGAAAAAATCCTGTGTATGAAATTTTTCATGAATGAAAAATTTCTGCCCAACATAACATCTCAGGCATCTGGTGTAACTGACATTACCTGAAGTTATATTTTACCTGTAAATCAATTAACATGCATAATTATATGGCTTCACTTGTCAGCTTGGGTGTCAAACATACTGGTAAGCAACGATTTTTACCTCAGGCTAACTGCCGTTGTGTAACAAAAACTGTGTATTTATTGGGTTACTTCCCTTGATTTATCCTGTTTTAAGTTACTTTCCTTTTAATAATGAAAATTTTTAAAAGAATATAAATAAAATATAAATTGAATAAATAATCATAAAAGGATGGTTATTAAATGATTTTAAATGTCTTAGGACAAATAAAAAAATAATAATTTGAAAATTATTTGAGGATTCTATACTTCCTTTTAAGGCTTAAATTGAAATTTATATAATAACTATGACCCTAACTTTACAGATAGAATGAATTTCTGAGTTTGCAAATAAAAACTATTTGCAAGAGAAAAAAAAAAATAAAAACTATTTGCAGACAGCTAAACAAATGTTCTGGTTGCAATGATTGTTTTATAGAATATGAAGTAAAAAATTTAAAGAACATACTGGAAAAAAACAATGTTAGATTGAACATGTAGAATATAAAGATGGAGAAACTTTTTAAGTACAAGGGTACTATAAACATAATAAATTGGTTGGAAAGTTGAAGAAAACACACTTTAAAAGACCATTTTTACAGCACACGGTTACATTTACAACAAAATTAATGTCGATTAAAAACCTCCTGATCTGAGTCCTAATCTCCTGACCAAAATTTCCCAATCTCCTGATCTGAGTTTCACAGTCCATCACATGTATGAATAGGTAAATTGAAAATTTTTAAGTTCTTAGACCACTTTCATTCTGTGTCAGAAACCTATGCTGTGTCAAATATTTAATTACAATCCAAATTCAGTGCTGTATCAAGCTTGAATGTTGTGTCCATACTTGCCCCAACTGTTCAGGGTTCGACCTCTGCGGTCGTATCAAGCTGCGCCCCAGCGGAGCATTTTATTGCTTAAGTCTGCATACTAGTCTATAAATAATTCGTACTTTTTTAAACATTTAAATTTGTGGTTAAAACCATACCATTGAAATTCAAGAAAATTGGTATCCCACAAGTAATGATGAATCCTCAGTACTCATAATTCCAGAACTAAATTTCATGGATTTTATGATCACTGACAAATGTCAGGCCCGTAGCCAGGAATTTCCAAGGGGGGGGGGGGGGGGGTTACATGGACACGCAAAGCTCACTTTAACAGTTACAATTCAAACAGAACGTCGACTTTAACAGTGCTTATTTGTTTTCAAGGGGGGTTCGTACAAACCCCTCGAACCCCCCTGGCTACGGGTGTGAATGTCTGATCTAAAAAATATTTCTGGAACTTTGATGTTATGAAATCAATAGTTTTAAATTCTCTATTAAACTTTTTCGTATGCAACCAAAAAGTTTTTATATGAATCCACAACCAAAGTTTGTTAAGCAAAACAAATTTATATTATTTTGTCAAGAACTATTTGAAAATGCATTGAAACTACAGTCTTAAAGATGTTGTTCCCTTAGCAATATGGATTTCAATGAAATATTTGTTGAAATTCCTAACAGATTAAATATTTAGAAAATTGAAGGGTAATGTGATTAAAATTATTCTCTTTCAAGACTACTCATGATAAATGTTAAATTATTGGTATTTTCTTTTTTTTCAATCTTTCTGTGTCATAATTTTTAAGATCAAGCTATTTGACTGAAATGGCTTTTTCTCAATTGAATAGAAAGAGAATGCAATAATATAATGAGCTGACATCATTGACGTTGCCTAAGAAAGTAGCAATAAACAGATTAACCTTGGTCTTTCAAAGTCCATGGAGTTTGTCAGCTACATCTCTTCTCAGGGCAGTCCCCCTTTGATGAGTTTATAGCTTAGACACTTCCACTTATTTTCAAAACTAGAGAAAATCTTTTAATTGTTAATTTGGGAAATGTCAGAGTGTTGAACTTTTCATGATCTAGTTTATAGCTATATAATGAAATTGTTTTTTTTTTCTAGGAAATGCCATATTGTTGAAGAATGATATAGACATCATTAGATGTTGTGGATTAATTGCTTATTGGGAATTTTTCCCAGTAAATCCTGGAACTTTGAAGTTTATAGTGTGGAGATCTATTGGTGTAGATAACTACTATGAAGTTATAGGAACCAATTCTGTCAATATCTCAGGTAAGTCCTTCTCTATCTTGTTATGGTGAAATTCTTGTATGGAGATCTGTTGGTTAACTTGGATATTACTAAAGTATAGGTCAAATGCTATTTGTAATGATATGAACAAATAAGGGAGGAAATACAAAGTGGGCAATAAAAAACCATAGGTGGAAGATAGACCAACAAAACCAGGGCCAAAAAAAAAATAGATGAACAAACAACAGTATACCAAACAATACACATAAAAAGTAGTTCCTGCTCCACTGGTGGCACCCATCATTGTAAGTTACCATCAATTATTAAACATTTAATGTTAATTGTTTAGGGTAAACTACAAGTTCTGCCAACATAAAAGGAAAAAATATGTATCCTTATACAGAGTTGTTGTAATAAACTTTGTTGTAAAGCAAGTAGGACAAAGGTAATTTTGCTAAAGTCCATTTAGAAGTCATGCCCTATTTGACTCAATCAGTTATGTGCGATTGATTATGGAGAAAATAGTACAATTTTAACACGTACTGAATATACATGCAATGTTAACCACTGGACATAATACAAGCAACAGTCAATCAACTAATCAATCAAATTTTATGTGTTAATGATAAAGTTTCAAGCCATGATAAAGTCATTTGAAATGTTGAAATGTTGAAAGGTGAGTTCTGTCATTATTGTCATCACATTTGTCAAAATAAGGGATAGATCCTTGATTGTTCTGTATAGAAATAAGAAGATGTGGTATGATTGCCAATGAGACAACTTTTCAACAGAGTTTTAGATGACTTGAATGGAGGCAATTATTGGTCACTGTACGGCCTTCAACAATGAGCAAAATGCATACTGTATTGTCAACTATAAAAGTCCCCACATGATAAAATATGAAACAATTATAAAGAGAAAACTAATGAACAAATATGACAACCCAATGACAACCAGTGAATTTTAGGCTCTTGACTTTGGACAGGCATATAAAGATTGATTGGGTTAAACATGTTTGTATATTTTCCCATTTCGCAAATGACTACCCTACAGTGAATTCAGAATATGTTGAACAATGGGGGGAAAATGAAGATAAATTATAACTATTTGATGAAATACTGAATACAAATAATGTAATCAAAAGTTAGAATGTGAGATTTTGTTTTTGCAAAAAGTATCCAGTTACAATTTTCCAAATAATAAAAACATAGCAAATACTTCTGAATTTACAGTAGCTGTCTGTATCAGTCATCTGTTGGAAACACTTATTGTACTAACTTAATCTGGGACAGAAGGACTTTTTTTGGGGGCGGGGTCATCGGACACATTTTTTAAACTAGATACCCTAATGATGATTGTGGACAAGTTTGGTTAAATTTGTCTTAGTAGTTTCAGAGGAGAAGATTTTTGTAAAAGATTACAAAAATTTACGAAAAATGGTTAAAAATGGACTATAAAGTAAATAACTCCTTAAGGGGTCAACTGACCATTTTGGTCAAGTTGACTTATTTGTAGATCTTACTTTGCTGAACATTATTGCTGTTTACAGTTTATCTCTATCTTTTATCATATTCAAGATAATAACAAAAAACGGCAAAATTTCCTTAAAATTACCAATTCAGGGGCAGCAACCCAACAACGGGTTGTCCGATTCATCTGAAAACTTCAGGGCAGATAGATCTTGACCTGATAAACAATTTTACCCCTGTCAGATTTGCTCTAAATGCTTTGGTTTCAGAGATATAAGCCAAAATCTACATTTTACCCCTATGTTCTATTTTTAGCCATTGGGGCCATCTTGGTTGGTTGGCCGGGTCACCGCACACATTTTTTAAACTAGATACCCCAATGATGATTGTGGCCAAGTTTAGTTTAATTTGGCCAAGTAGTTTCAGAGGAGAAGATTTTTGTAAAAGTTAACGACGACGGAAGACAGACGCCAAGTGATGAGAAAAGCTCACTTGGCCCTTTGGGCCAGGTGAGCTAAAAAGAGAAAACATAAATAAAAATTACACCTGCATAAGATTGTACCAGTAATTAGAATAGAAATTTCTTAAATTTGACAACTATATTAACCACTTCTTATTTGTTTGAAAAAATCCTAAGAAACTATCAAGAATAAAAAAGACCTATGGTTAGCAAAGTCAACATATACTGAATGTTTTAAATAGGTCATTGTGATTTCTATATTTGGTTTTCTTGCAAAAAACAATAAAACATGTTACGAGAAGTATTTTTTTCATTTTATTTTTACAGCCTCAGATGTCAACAGCGTTTTTATGTTTACACCTGACGATTCTGACCGTATTACAATCATAGCAGAAGATTTGATTGGATGGTAGGTTAAAGAAATAAAAATGTATAAGAATAACATATAGAATGGATTGAATTGAAGATAGCATAAAATATAAAAATGTTTGATGTTTTGATTGATATGGTAACCATTGTAATTTTAAAAACTCATATATGCTTTGATCAGTACATGTACATATTAAATTCAAATTCAATCAAGGAAAGGCAAAAATCTCATTAAATACCAAAATGTAGCCAACTATCTTAAGTACTTTATTAAACACAGTTTAGGACAGTATTCTTAGGGAGGCATGCATATTGATTTCAGATCTGCTTTCATTCCTCCCTTCTTCCAACCTGTTTAAGGTAGTTTACCATGAAGTTATTGTCACATGAGCATGAAACTTATACACATAAAATTGAGAATGGAAATGGGGAATGTGTCAAAGAGACAACAACCCGACCATAGAGCAGACAACAGCCGAAGGCCACCAATGGGTCTTCAATGCAGCGAGAAACTCCCACACCTGGAGGCGTCCTTCAGCTGGCCCCTAAAAAAATAAGTATACTAGTTCAGTGATAATGGACGTCATACTAAACTCCAAATTATACACAAGAAACTAAAATTAAAAATGATACAAGACTAACAAAGGCCAGAGGCTCCTGACTTTGGACAGGCGCAAAAATGTGGCGGGGTTAAACGTGTTTTTTGAGATCTCAACCCTCCCCCTATACCTCTAGCCAATGTAGAAAAAACAAACATACAACATGTTCATTATGATTTGAACTTTATAAAATATATGTCCACTTAGGGGTTTGATTCTGGTTTTTCAGTTCACTGAACAGGGATATTTGATAGTGTGTGTGAGCTGTCTTATAGATACATATTCTTTATTGCTTTATTGCTATTCTTCATCTTAACAGTCATTGGAAGGCCCTCAATCATTAATTGAAAAGCTATTATCAACAATTATCAACAGGGTCAAGACAGTCCAAGCTTAGACTTAAGTGGTAGACTTTGTGGATAACTGCTGGATCAGCAATTTAACAAACAAAGCATAAGTGATCCATAAATTACATAGATAACTGACAAATTCTATCATTTGCTACCTAAAGAGACTTTGATCATACTAACAACAAAACTGTGATCATAAAAACCAAACTTTTATCCTAACAACTATGAACAAATAATTCAAGATATCATCAAGACCATTATAGGAAGACTTAACAAAGGAATTTATTGATGTTGAAATTAGCTTTAAGAATGGATGAACAATATAAATATATCCAAAACTCTGCCGAAAATGAGATATTGTGAAAAAGTATAACCCTCATAAAATATCTCATAAACAATCACTCAGTGATATAATCAAGATCATTCATCTCAATGAGGGATATGTTTTATGTAACTATAAAGCAAAAAAGATATGCTGTTGTCATAATTTTGGAAAAGAAACAATGTTGGGATGATATACAAAATTTAATCTGATTTTTTTTTGCCACTACAGATCTTACATGTTTTTTTTTCACAGGTCTATGATAACTCAAATTTGCATTGTCCAAATAAAAAGACATTAATTAAATGTATATGTTTATAACTATAGTGTCCAAATAAAAAGACATTAATTTAATGTATATGGTTATAACTATAGTGTCCAAATAAAAAGACATTAATTTAATGTATATGGTTATAACTATAGTGTCCAAATAAAAAGACATTAATTTAATGTATATGGTTATAACTATAGTGTCCAAATAAAAAGACATTAATTTAATGTATATGGTTATAACTATAGTGTCCAAATAAAAAGACATTAATTTAATGTATATGGTTATAACTATAGTGTCCAAATAAAAAGACATTAATTTAATGTATATGGTTATAACTATAGTGTCCAAATAAATAGACATTAATTTAATGAATATGGTTATAACTATAGTGTCCAAATAAATAGACATTAATTTAATGTATATGGTTATAACTAGAGTTTGCACCTTGTAATTGAAAAAAGTTCAATTTATGATTGATAAGATGACATATGTATCATGCACTCCTGGTAGATCTGTTTACTAAACACCTAAATGTAAGATTTGTTCTCAGGTTTGATGATGGCGCCAATATTATTGGCTATGACAACTGTAGTTCTGCTTACAATGCATCAACAACTGATCATCGAGACTTGCGTCCAAATTACTGCCCAACACAGACCTATAAAATGACATTGGACAAGGAACCAGAAGATGAAGATGTGTTTATGTTGTCTGGTAACCGTTGCATTGACAGAGTGCATGTTATGCAGATAACCACAGTAGATAGTAAGTCTTTGGAATGAACAGTAAGATATGTTTTCTTATATAATCTGTTATAAGTTTCAATTTTCTTAACATCAGTTTATTCAAGGAACTGTTAATGCAAATAAGGATTAATCTTATCAATTTATTAATTAAATAAAGAATGCATTTTTCTATTCCAGATACTCCTCCATATTTCAACATTTCAAGATACGACAAGACAATACCTGACCATTCATCTATAGACTTTAGTATTATGGACCTTTACTTCAATGACACAGATTATGCTGACTGGTTTGTTGATATTGAACCAGAGTATGATGATGATCCTTATTTTTACTATGATACATTTTCTAGTAAGTATTTTGATATTGATAAATGAATATTTCTTGATACTAAACAGCAATTAACAAATTTGATTAATGCTCTCATAGTTGATTGATAACTGTATTATAGGTTAATAGTCAATTTGTATGTATTTTTAGTACTGCAGTTTAATTTTGCTTATACTTCGTTTAAAACCTATACTTTGAAACTTGTTTTAATTAAACACTGCTTAATCTGGTAACCTTTTTAAACCGAACCCTGCTTAATCTGAAAACCTGTTCAACCAAACCCTGCTCAATCTGTTAACCTGTTGAAACGAACCCTGCTTAATCCGGAAACCTGTCGAAACCGAACCCTGCTTAATCTGGAAACCTGCAGAAACTGAACCCTGCTGAATCTGAAAACCAGTCTAAACTAGAACTCTACTTGTATTAGAACATATAGGGAGTATTCTTAAGTAAAAAGTACCAAACTGCAAGGGAAATTCAAAACAGAAAGTCCTTTATAAACAGCAAAATCAAAAGGTCAAACACATCTAACGAATGAAAACAACTGTCATATTTCTGACTTGGTACAGGCATTTCCTTATGTAGAAAATGGTGGATTAAACCTGGTTTTATAGCTAGCTAAACCTCTCACTTGTATGACAGTCACATAGAATTCCATTATATTGAAAATAATGTGTGAGCAAAACAAGCAGACATAATAGGTAAAAATGTCAAAAATTGGGGAACAGCAGTCAACATTGTAACATAATCTTAATCACTATAAAACAAATAACTGTTTCAACAAAGAAACACAAAATTTAACCTGTATAACTAAACTCTTGTATCAGGAAATACAGGAGTTGCCTTTAGTAATTTAACCTCTGTAAACTAAACTTTTGTATCAGGGTATACAGGGAGTATTCTTTAGTAATTTAATCTGTGTAACTAAACTTTTGTATCAGGGCATACAGGGAGTATTCTTAAGTAATTTAACCTGTGTAAACTGAACTTGAGTATCAGAACATATAGGGAGTATTCTTTAGTAATTTAACCTGTGAAAACCAAACTTTTGTATCAGGGCATACAGGGAGTACTCTTTAGTAATTTAACCTGTGTAACTAAAATCTTGTATCAGGAAATACAGGAGTTGCCTTTAGTAATTTAACCTGTGAAAACTAAACGTCCCGAAATTGGTTTCCGTTCTCTCACTTTAGTTTGTCACAACCAAATGTTCTGAAACTTATACATAATGCTTATTACCACCAAACACAGATCAAGTTTAAATTTGGGTGGCATAACTAACACTGTTCTCAAGTTACCCCATTACTGTTTGGACAATGAGAGCACTTGAACACCCAAGCAATCTATAATGAGAACATACAAATACACCTCTCATTAAGTTTCAAAAGAAAACAAAATGTCTATAGGTATGAACTAGTGCATTGACCTTGCATATTTACAAGCGGGGGCATCTGTTTCCCATGGACACATTCTTCTTTTATTTAACTTTGTAAACCGCACCTGTCCAAAAGGATTCAATTCAGACAAATTTCACTGTTTAAATATCAATAAATTGGACAAGAATATCAACCCTTTCAGAAAAAAATGTGTCCATAAAAATTTACATATCTTGAAGATATCATATACCTTAAACAACATACTTATGGCCATTTGCAAAACCCTACAATTCTATGTTGCCATTTTTATTGGTATATTAGCCTAGAAAATAGATATTTAGCCTTGAGAATTGAAAGGCCAGTTTATCCCATTCATACAATAGGAGTTGATTAATTTGGCTTCATGCCATTTTCCTTGTCCAAAATATTGGACACTACATTGTTATTCCATGACCAAACTGACTGAGTAAAAGTTCAAGGTTTATTGACACTTATTCTGTAATCATAGTACTCAGGTTGCTTAAGATAGTTTTTGACTAATTTCTCTATGTGACAAAGAAATATTTATAAAAAGTAACAGATTAAAACCACAAAATACTGCATTCTATAGCTAGACAAGTAAGGGCTGTTCCATTAAAACATATGCAGGGTTTCCCTTGGGTCAATTTCTTTTTTCGTCACCTCTTTCGCCAAAATGATATTTTTTTCGCCACTCTCATTTTTCTTCTTCGCCAAGTCACATTAATATATTTTTTATTTTGTACTTGTTTTTCTTCTTTCTAACAAAATAAAATTCTGGTTGCAGCAGTGTTGTCTCATTTATTAAAATTCCACATGTCTTTTTATATCCTACATTGTAATAAATGAACACTCAATCAGAACAAAAATGTCTTGAACTTTATTAAAATTACTGTAAAATTTGACTTTAGGTAACACAGGATTCATCTTTAATCAGTTTATTGAATACTTCCTGTCTAGTCAAAGGACAAAGAAAAAATTTGAACATTTTCTTTAAAACAATAGTTTTTGTCTCACCTTGATGGATTCAAAAAGCAAGACATAGGTATGCTGTTTCCAGTGGCGGCAGCAGTGTCAACAATGTATTATTTTGTGATTAGGTCTAGTTTATGGTGAACCACTAGTGGTAGGTCAATGATATTTGGTATGCAGTTGTATTAGCATAATTTGGCACATCTCATTACCATGGAGATTATTTGGCCCTGCTTCCACACCAGCATACAAAAAGGGTCAAAAGTACATCCCAGCAAATTACAGACCAATATCTCTTACATGTATTTGCTGCAAGATCATCGAACATATTGTTACCAGCCATATTATGAAACACGCAGAGGCAAACAACATCCTTTATCCACTACAACATGGATTTCGAAATAAACGATCCTGCGAGACGCAACTCTTAGAATGCATTGATGACTTAACGAAGAACCTTGAATTGGGAAAACAGTCTGACCTACTGATACTAGACTTCTCAAAAGCATTCGATAAGGTATCCCATAGCCTGCTCCTACATAAACTCAATCACTATGGAATCAGGGGAAAGACCAACAGCTGACACCTACAGTCAGACCTTGATAAACTGGCACTATGGGAGGAAAAGTGGAAGATGGAGTTTCACCCAGAAAAGTGTAGCGTACTGACTGTCTCCAGAAAGAAAAAGCCAATCAAATGGGACTATGTATTACATGATCATGTACTAAAACATGAAACATCAATTAAGTACCTGGGCTGCACCATCACAAGCGAACTAGACTGGGGAGAACACATCAACAACATTACCAGCAAAGCCAGCAGAAGCCTTGGTTTCCTCCACAGAAATCTACACATCGGCTCTAAAAGCATCAAAGAGCAAGCTTACAAAACCCTAGTAAGGCCCCAACTAGAATATGCCACAACAGTATGGGACCCATATCATCAGAAACATATTGACCAAATTGAAAAAGTTCAATGGAGGGCTGCGCGATACGTCACCAAGTGCCACAGAAACAGATCAAGTGTCACGGACATGATTAATGAATTGGGTTGGAAAAGTCTCCAAGAACGATGCAGAGAGGCCAGGCTTGCAATGATGTACAAGATCGTCAACGACAAAGTAGCCATCAACAAAGACATGTACCTCCAGAGACCAACCAGAGTATCCAGACATACACAACAGCATGGATACATGGTACAAACAGCAACCAAAGACTGCAGGAAATGGTCCTTCTTTGTGAACACCACCAAAGACTGGAACAAGCTTCCCCCGGAGATCGCCACAGCACAGTCATTTGAGACATTCAAATCTCAAATGACCAACCTTACAAAATAAGATGAACATTTGTTTTTATCCTGTTTTTAACCATGCAGAACCAATTTGCCAGTATATTCAGAAAGTTGAATGTGGGCAGTATATGGAAGAAGAAGAAGAAGATGGTCTATTGACTTTGAAACTTTGCTTAGTTCATATATATTAGTTTGTGATTAGGTCAGTTTATGGGGAACCACTAGTGGTAGGTCGATTATATTTGGTATGCAGTTGTATAAGCATTGGCATATCTCATTTCCATGGAGAATATTTGGCCCTGCCCACTCAGTCATGGTCTATTGACTTTGAAACTTTTTCTTAGTTTTCATGTATTAGTTTGTGATTAGGTCAGTTTAAGTGGAACTGTTAGTGGTAGGTCAATGATAATTGGTATGCAGTTGTATAAGCATTACCACATTTCATTTCATTGGAGAATATTTGGTCCTTACCCCTCAGTCATGGTCTATTGACTTTGAAACTTTTGCTTAGTTTACATGTATTAGTTTGTGATTAGGTCAGTTTAAAATGAACCACTAATGTTAAGTCAATGATATTTGGTATGCAAATGTATTGGCATTTGCAAGTTTCGTTTCCATGGAGATTATATTACCCCACCCCCTCATTATGGTTCATTGACTTTGAAACTTTACATAGTTTACAAATTAATGTTTGTGTTTATAGGTTTGTTTAAAGGGAACAACTTATGAAAAGTCAATGGTATTTGGTATGCAGTTGTATTAGCATTGGCACATCTCATTTCTACGAAGATTGTTTAGCCCTAGGCCTGTACCTTCAGTCATGGTTCATTGACTTTGAATATTTGCATAACTTGCATGTTAAAGTATTGCTATTTTAATTTCAACATTTGCATTATCACAATAACAAAAAGGTGAGACATATCTCTGTGTTAACAGTTTATTTTTTTTGAAAGATTGTTAAAAGTAAAAATTGAGACATAAAACTATCATGTTTTAAAAAGGTGCACCATTAAAACAATTTTCAAGTATAACCCACTTCAAAACAATTATTGTTATCAAAGTTGTAAAAACAATCCTTCAGGTGAAATGTAATGCCCATTTTCCACACATTTTCATTAAACAATATAATTAACACCTTTATTAATTAGTCTGTTGTTGCCGATTGCTATCAATTGCAATCAGCTGATTATTGATTTTCTGACAAAATCGATATGAGTTCAAGGTGAAATACGAGTATAGTCTAATCAGGGAAAAAGTCAGAGAAACCTGAAACAAATTTCAAAAAGATGGACGAAGTGGAACGTTATATTTCTTTTGTCAATCATGATTTTTAATTGCCACAATTATATTTTTCTTGGAATATGTGCGAATGGTGACCGCCAGTGGAAACCCTGATTTGTGGTACCCAGGAAGAAGGCACTTTGAAAATGTAGTAAACACCTAAAGAGGCAATTTTAGAATTTTGCTTTCTTCTGCATAGTACAAAAAAATATAACACCTTACCATAGTAGTGATTTTGAAGTCCCAGTGTTTGTTTTTTATGAAACAGTCATAATTTATTTTCTGCAGAAAGTGTACATGTCAAAGATGAGCTACTCCACATCGTTGGTGAACAGAACCAATACCACAAGTTTATAGTATGGGCTGAAGATTCTTGTTACAACAGAGTAACAGGAACTGTTACAATAACCACATTCAATGGAGTAAGTTGTCAACATTTTTTGTCATAAGTAAAGACATATTTTTTAAAAGGTGACTTCTTTACTTACACACATCAGGTATGATGGGCTGAAGCAATCAATGTTGAAAAGGAAATATTTTCTGTTGTTGGGTTATTTCGGCAATTTGATAAAAGTGTAGTCATTAAACTTTGATGTACGGGTATATGAAAATAAGGATGTGTGGTATGAATTTCAATGAGACAACTCTCCATCAGAGACAAAAGGATGAAGATCTAAACAAATATAGGGCACTGTATGGTCGTCAACAATGAGCAAAACCCATATCCTATAGGAAGCTTTAAAAGACCTCAGCAATGACACAATGTGACCCAATTCAAAAAGGAAAACCAACCTCATGATTTATGCTAAATACAAATAAACCAGACAGCAACCAATGACAACCACTGAATTACAGGCTCACTTGCAATCCAGTAAATTGAACCAGCCATATGCAAGTGTATCAATTTTTGATAAAAGCCACCATTCATATGCAAGTTAACCATATAAAAATGCACTCCGCCTGGAGCAGCTGGATACAACTGCAGAGGTCGAACTCTGAACAGTTGGGGCAAGTATGGACACAATATTCAAGCTTTATACAGCTCTGAATTTGGATAGTGATTAAATATTTGACACATTATAGATTTCTGACACAGAATAAATGTGGTCAGATAACTTAAAAAGTTTGAAATGGGACATTTAATCTACTTAATGGTCCAATATCTAAAATCTAATTCCATGGTTAGATTCAGCATATAGAAAAAAAAAAACATGAATTCAAACAAAGTTTAATTTTGGACCCTTTGGACCTTAATATGGACTAATCTGAAAACAGGGCCCAAAATTAAAAATCTGAATGCACAGTTAGATTCTGCATATCATAAGTAAAATGGTAATTGTCTACCTGTACTATATATGTGCTCTTGTATGCAGTGTAGTATGTTTTTGCATTATTAGTCCCCTACCGACGAAGTCGAAGGGGACTTTAGGTTTGCACTCCGTCCGTCTGTCCGTCCATCCATCCGTCTGTCCATCTGTCCATCTGTCCATCCTTCAGTCCGGCAAATCAGCTTGTTACCCTTTTGTTTATGTATTATTATCTTTTAAAAAGTGTGTATTCTTATATGTAGATTAGAAGGCCACAGGGCGGATTAACTGTTTTATTAACTGTGTAACCTTCTGAAAATGAAGAATTTATTATTATTATTATTATTATGAGCGAGCCTATATAGATTTTGTATGTTATGGAACACTTAAACTTGTGGTTAACCTCACAACACAATACACATGAACTTTAGTGCCCAAGAGTAACAATGAATTCACACTGGATATATTCTAAATAGTCCATTGTGTTCTAGAAATCAAAGTTTTACTGAATATAACTTTCTTTTTTAGCCTCCAACGTTTCCTAATTTACCAAAGACTGCATTGATTAGCGAGTCTAAGACAGGTGAACTGTATACATTTACAGTCGATGATCCATCTAACGGACCTGACATTATTACATGTGAAATGTTGAGATCTATTCCAAGCTCAGAAAGCCATAAGTTTTATCTTGAAGGTATACCTTTTGAGTTTAAGAATCAATAAAGTTGTGTTAAAATGTTAAAACAGTATGTGGGTAACAATTTTGTCCTATGTTTACTTAACCTTCAATGTATAATATTTATACGCCTGTTTAGGGGATTTATTATGGTATACCATTGTCTGTTCGTCTGTCCGTCCGTCTGTCCATCCGTCGTCAACATGTCGGACATTAACTCGAAAACACTTCAACCAATTTGCATAAAACTTTAGTGAATTGTTCATATCTATTGATGTGAGCTCCCTTTCTTTTTTATAAAATTTAGATTTTACGTTTCTGAGTTATGGGGTTTTATTCATTAAAAAATGGGTGATTTTCCAGTTTTCGGACAATAACTCAAAAATGCTTTCACCAATTTGCAAGAAACTTTGGTCAATTGTTTATATCTATGGCATGAGCTCCCTTTTGATTTTTATAAATTTTAGATTTTATGTTTCCGAGTTATGGAGTTTTATTCATTAAAAAAAAAGGGGGATTTTCCAGTTTTCGGACAATAACTCAAAAATGCTTTCACCAGTTCTCATGAAACTTTCTAGAATTGTTTATATCTATTGTTGTAAGCTTCCTTTCAATTTGTATAAATTTTAGATTTTACAAATCCCTTTAGTTTTTCACAAATTTCTGATATGACATTGAGAAGTTATTGAACTTTATTTGTAAAAAATGCAACGGGCGTATCATGCGCTCATGGCGCAGCTGTTTATTTTGTCTTGCCTCGATGAAGCGGTGTAGGCGAGACAATTTATTAGGTTGTGATTAGTTTAGTGTAAGGGGAACCACTAGTGGTAGGTTAATGTCATTTGGTATGCAGTTGTATTAGCATCTGCAAATCTCATTTCCATGGAGATGATTTTGCCCTGCCCCCTAAGTTATGGTCAATTGACCTAGTGAAATTTTTGCTTAGTTTACATGTTTAAGTTTGTGATTAGGTCAGTTTAAAGGGAATCATGAATGGTAATTCAATGATTTTTGGAATGCAGTAATGTTGTATCAGCATTTGCACATCTCATGTCTATGAAGATTATTCTTCCCCACACCTTCTATCATGGTCTATTGATTAAAGCTTTTGCAATTACTTTACATGTTTAAGTTTGTGATTATAGGTAAGTTTAAGATGAACCACTAATGGTAAATCAATGATATTTGGTATGCAGTGATATGAGATCATTTGCACATGTCATTTCAATGAAGATTAATTGGCCCTGCACCTTTAAGTCGTGGTTCATAGACTTTGAATGTTTTGCATAGTTTACATATTAAAGTTTGCCATTTTAATTTCAACATTTGCATTATATGATCAAAATTACATACAGGTGAGACATATCTTTGTGTCAAAAGTTTTTTTTAACAAATATAATATGCTGGGGATTTTAAATATTCAATTTATTAGCCATTACTATTTCACAAAATTTTCTACTAGTACAATAGCGCATTTTTGGGAAATTTTAGGAGCTTTATATATCTGCATGATTTTTCACCCCTTTAACAAGTCATTATTTTGAAGAGAAACTTTAAAATATAGTTCACGTATGTCCATGCAGGGTAAAAAGCTTTTGTGTCTCAAGAGAAAATAGCATTACTCAGTCTTATAATGCTGTCATCATTCAAATTTAACCAAAACAGTAGCAGTGAATAAATGAATTAAAGATATGACAAATCTGCCTATTCTTTATCATTAAAAGTTTATTTGAACATTTTAAGGCTGGATTCATCTACCTCACAAAATCTTGTCAGTGGCTGTAGGAAGTTTTAACACTCCTAGCTGTTGACTTTGTTTACCTAAGAAACCAATTTTGCTTGATAAATGAAGAGGATACCAAGAAGATTGTGCTGTGAGCATGAATACATTTGGATAAAACAAGCTCACAAACCAATACAAAACTATACCGTCAATAGACAAAGACATTCTCATTTATGTTCTATTCACCAATTCAAAGATTAAGATGCGAATGCATGTACTATTTCTCACACATATATTTGTATTTTACATATTTCTAGGGAAAACTATTTATTTGAATGAATCAGCTACACTTAGCCGAGATTTAATTCCTGAATATGAGATTGTTATAGCTTGTACTGATGGGACAGATACATCAGAGACTTATCTCAGAATAGAACTAACTAAAGACCAATCAGATGCAGAGGCACCTCCAGGTAAGATACATCAGAGACTTATCTCAGAATAGAACTAACTAAAGACCAATCAGATGCAGAGGCACATCCAGGTAAGATACAACAGAGACTTATCTCAGAATAGAACTAATTATGGACCAATCACATACAGAGATACAGAGGCACCTCCAGGTAAGATACAACAGAGACTTGTCTCAGAATAGAACTAACTAAAGACCAATCAGATACAGAGGCACCTCCAGGTAAGATACAATAGAGACTTGTCTCAGAATAGAACTAACTAAAGACCAATCACATACAGAGGCATCTTCAGGTAAGATACAACAGAGACGTGTCTCAGAATAGAACTAACTAAAAACCAATCACATACAGAGGCACCTCCAGGTAAGATACAACACAGACTTGTCCCAGAATAGAACTAACTAAAGACCAATCAGATACAGAGGCACCTCCAGGTGAGATACAACACAGACTTGTCTCAGAATAGAACTAACTAAAGACCAATCAGATACAGAGGCACCTCCAGGTAAGATACAATAGAGGCTTAACTCAGAATAGAACTAACTAAAGACCAATCACATACATAGGCACCTCCAGGTAAGATACAATAGAGACTTATCTCAGAATAGAACTAACTAAAGACCAATCAGATACAGAGGCACCTCCAGGTAAGATACAACAGAGACTTAACTCAGAAAAGAACTAACTAAAGACCAATCACATACAGAGGCACCTCCAGGTAAGATACAATAGAGACTTATCTCAGAATAGAACTAACTAAAGACCAATCAGATACAGAGGCACCTCCAGGTAAGATACAACAGAGACTTAACTCAGAATAGAACTAACTAAAGACCAATCACATACAGAGGCACCTCCAGGTAAGATACAACAGAGACTTAACTCAGAATAGAACTAACTAAAGACCAATCAGATACAGAGGCACCTCCAGGTAAGATACAACACAGACTTGTCTCAGAATAGAACTAACTAGAGACCAATCAGATACAGAGGCACCTCCAGGTAAGATACAACAGAGACTTAAATCAATAGAACTAACTAAAGACCAATCAGATACAGAGGCATCTCCAGGTAAGATACAACAGAGACTTGTCTCAGAATAGAACTAACTGAAGACCGATCACATACAGAGGCACCTCCAGGAAAGATACAACAGAGACGTGTCTGAACCTCCAGGTAAGATACAACAGAGACTTGTCTTAGAACCTCCAGGTACGACTTATTATAAATGTTGAACAATTATTGATTTTTGTTTACATCTTTGCCTTACGTCATCAAAGTTCTTTCTTATAATGAATAATTGCAGAATCTGTGTAAATACTCCCATATTGAATTATTTTTGTCATTTAGATATGAGGTAAAGATATTCTGCTACAAGATGTCTTTAAAAAAGATATCAATGTGAGTAAAATATATTTTTTTGGTAAGACAGTGGCTTATGATTAAGTCTGCCTATGTGGAAAAGGGCAACTTTAGGTCAAATATGTAAATTTCAACATGTTTTTGACATCATAGTGTCAGCACAAAGGCACTCTTGTTTTCAAATTATATCATACCATTCATTTATCAATAAAATAAGGGTTTGAAGAAATTCAAGAATTTATGATTGTTGCATTTTCAGGGGCCATATAATGACTGTTATTATAACCCTTACTTTAACAAAGACCATCAAAAAATAACTGACATGAACGCAAATTCCCTGAAAAAAAAACATTACTGAAGACAACCACAGATTTACTGAAGACAACCACAGACAAGGTTCCCGACTAGGGACAGAATTATGAAGATGCATCAGTTAAAAACTAGTTTATTTAAGCTTTCAAATTTGATCTAAGTTTTATGTAATCAACTTCTCCTACAGTTTTCAACCCAGATCCTTGAAACATCACATGAAGATTGCACATATGGTGAAGTTTACACCCAATATAATGGAAGTGTTTGGAGGAATTTTTATCATTTTTCCAGACTTGAGAACTTAGTAATTTTTCAAATATTTAAATGTTTCTCTATTGTTTCAAAAACATTCTGTGCTACCCAGCTATTTGAGTCTTTGATCTATTTTTTATTTTGTGTTGGGGGTATGGAGGGGGCATGGTTTTTTTTTAATGAGTTATTTAATGCTTCATTTCTTGTAAAAAAAGTTCTTTAAGAAGGGAGGTGAAAAAAATCATTGAGATCAAAAAAATTTCTTGTTCCTGTATGGTATTGAAAAAATAGTGAGTTTTTTATTGAAGTTGAAAACAAATTATTGTCCTAAGAAAAAAACCCAAGAGATGAATGGTCGGTGTCTTACAAAACTGATTTGAAATGTGTGGTGTGTTGCATGCCATCTCCAAAATAATACATAGATATTAAAGCAGAAATGATAAAGTCCATGTTTAAGTATGGGAAACCCTAAAAATTACTCAGATCTAAAATTTAAATAGCAGGTGAACACGCAACTTAGTTTCCTGAAGAATAATTTTTGCAAGTTTGGTTGAATTCTGTCAATATGAAAATAAGGAGATGTGGTATGATAGCCATTGAGACAACTATCCACCAAAATCCAAATGATGTCAATTTAAGATACTATAGGGTACCGGACGGCCTTCAACAATGAAGAAACCCATAGTGTATAAGTCATTTTTAAGGAGTTGGGAGTTAACAAAATGTGATGTGGTCAGGGACACAAGACAACAGAGGTGATCCCTACGTGTCAGTACAGCTTCCATGTAGGAGACACAATAATTCAGAACTGTTTAGATTTTAGTACTGACCTTATGATGTTCTTTATTCTTATTAAATTGTCCAGATTGAGGATATTATACTTTATGTTGTTCCTCTTTCTGATTGAGGATATTATACTGTTTGTTGTTCCTCTTTCTGATTGAGGATATTGTACTGTATGTTGTTCCTCTTACTGATTGAGGATATTATACTTTATGTTGTTCCTCTTTCTGATTGAGGATATTATACTGTTTGTTGTTCCTCTTTCTGATTGAGGATATTATACTATTTGTTGTTCCTCTTACTGATTGAGGATATTATACTGTTTGTTGTTCCTCTTTCTGATTGAGGATATTATACTGTATGTTGTTCTTCTTTCTGATTGAGGATATTATACTGTATGTTGTTCCTCTTACTGATTGAGGATATTTAACTGTATGTTGTTCCTCTTAGGGATCATAGATTTATTCTTACGAGGAAGCTCCGAGCATGCTCGGAGGATGCTCAGAGCTTTTTCAGTAGGCTCTTCTCTGCAGTTTATGTGAAAATAATTATCATGATCCATTAAGATGTCAATCAAATCTACACCACTTCTATAATAAGGAAAGTAGAGCATTATAGAGGAAGCTCAATTAACACCTGTGTAAACATCTAATCTATTCAAATACATTTTGCCTGAAATTTTAAAAAACTATAGAATAGATTAGAAATTCTTCAACAGTACTGTGTAATGCTTGGAAAGAAATCTCATGTCTCCACAAAAAGTGAAAGTCATTTAACAAAAAATATACAATTATTATATTTTTAAAATAATCATTTCTTTTTTTATAATAAAAAAAATTCTCAAATTTTATAATTAGATGATATGATTTAAATATAGTTTATATTATATAATATGCTACATAAAAGTTATCAAGACACAAACAACAGTCAGGGGGCGATACTAAACGAGTTATTTTTTTTAGTTACTTATATTAATAGGTATTTTTTGTTTTTTTTAAATTATTTGATATAATCTCAATTGTTATTTTAAATGTCAAAAGTGGACTAAATGTAGTTTTTAAGAATTTTTATATCATTTCATTAAGTAAAATTAAGTATTTATCCAACTTGAGATGAGTATAGAGAGATTACTTTAAAAATAATGACAAAAATATTACTTTTATAAATTATTTTATACATCTTCGAAAAACTAAGCATACTGACAATTATTTAAGGAACATATGTAATTGTTTTTGATAAAGATTTCAAATTATAAATAACTTCAAGTCTTAATTAAATCACAAGGTTCCATCCATTTATATTTGTTCATCTCTAAGATTTTGAAGGAAAATGTTATTTTAATAGCCCCAAGAGACCAATCTATGACCAAGAAGTGTGGCATCAGAAAGGCAATTAGTGTTTCAGGAGGATTTAAATAGTTTTATACTGCATGGGGAAAATAACCAGATGTGAAAATTTGTTAAAGCTTGTAAAACCTGTATGAATGGACACCTATAGAAATAATATTAACAGAAGTTACTTATTCATGATATATAAGTAATATTTGAAACAACCTTGTTTTCAATATAACTTGTATAGGTTATTTTGAAAATTACTAGTTTAAGTAATGCCCTTAACTAAACAATGGTATTTTTTTTTTTATAAAATAGCAAAGTTAGTTTTTTATATAAAATATTTTTGCAATTTTAGGGGATATGGCTACTAAAGCTTGTAAACAGAGAAAAAAAAAGGGGGATAGAATTTGGTTGGTTAATTCTGGTGATATCTTCTTTCTTATATGCACTGAAAAATTATGTTGTTTTATTACTATAGTACAGGACAAGAAAAAACTTTACTCATGTCAAGTATTTCTTTATTTAAAACATAGATAAATTCTGCACATATTTTTTGAAAAATACCAATTAAACAAAGACTGATAGGGGGAAACAATTTTATATTAGATTTTCATTCAAGTACAGGTCAGGATAAAACTTCACTTATATAATTATGCCAAGTATTTCTTTATTTAAAATAAAACCAAATCTGCACTATTATAAAAAAAATTACAATTAAAGTGAGACGTACTAGAGGGAAATCAATGGTGGTATTACCTCCTCAACTTTTCTTAGAGTAGCCATAATTTTTTTATAAAAAACTAACTTTGCTATTTTATAAAAAAAAAAAAAATTATCATTGTTTTAATAGTTAGGGGCATCACTTAAACAAGTAATTTTCAAAACTACTTATACAAGTTACATTGAAAACAAGGTTGTTTCAAATATTACTTATATATCATGAATAAGTAACTTCTGTTAATATTATTTCTATAGGTGTCCATTCATACAGGTTTTACAAGCTTTACCAAATTTTCACATCTGGTTATTTTCCCCATGCAGTATAAAACTATTTAAATCCTCCTGAAACACTAATTGCCTTTCTGATGCCACACTTCTTGGTCATAGATTGGTCTCTTGGGGCTATTAAAATAACATTTTCCTTTAAAATCTTAGAGATGAACAAATATAAATGGATGGAACTTTGTGATTTAATTAAGACTTGAAGTTATTTATAATTTGAAATCTTTATCAAAAACAATTACATATGTTCCTTTAATAATTGTTAGTATGCTTAGTTTTTCGAAGATGTATAAAATAATTTATAAAAGTAATATTTTTGTCATTATTTTTAAAGTAATCTCTCTATACTCATCTCAAGTTGGATTAATACTTAATTTTACTTAATGAAATGATGAAAAAATATATATAAATTAATATATATTAAGTAACTAAAAAAAATAACTTGTTTAGTATCGCCTCCTGACTGTTGTTTGTGTCTTGATAACTTTTATGTAGCATATTATATAATATAAACCCTATTTAAATCATATCATCTAATTATAAAATTTGAGAATTTTTTTTATTATAAAAAAAGAAATGATTAATAAATATAATAATTGTATATTTTTTGTTAAATGACTCACTTTTTTGTGGAGACTTGAGATTTCTTTCCAAGCATTACACAGTACTGTTGAAGAATTTCTTATCTTTTCTATAATTTGTAAAATGTCATGCAAAATGTATTTGAATAGATCAGTTGTTTACACAGGTGTTAATTGAGCTTCCTCTATAATGCTCAACTTTCCTTATTATAGAAGTGGTGTAGATTTGATTGACATCTTAATGGATCATGATAATTATTTTCACATAAACTGCAGAGAAGAGCCTACTGAAAAAGCTCCGAGCATCCTCAGAGCATGCTCGGAGCTTCCTCGTAAGAATAAATCTATGATCCCTTACTGATTGAGGATATTTAACTGTTTGTTGTTCCTCTTTCTGATTGAGGATATTATACTGTTTGTTGTTCCTCTTTCTGATTGAGGATATTGTACTGTATGTTGTTCTTCTTTCTGATTGAGGATATTATACTGTATGTTGTTCCTCTTACTGATTGAGGATATTGTACTGTATGTTGTTCCTCTTTCTGATTGAGGATATTATACTTTATGTTGTTCCTCTTTCTAATTGAGGATATTATACTGTTTGTTGTTCCTCTTTCTAATTGAGGATATTATACTGTATGTTGTTCCTCTTTCTGATTGATGATATTGTACTGTATGTTGTTCCTCTTTCTGATTGAGGATATTATACTTTATGTTGTTCCTCTTTCTGATTGAGGATATTATACTTTATGTTGTTCCTCTTTCTAATTGAGGATATTATACTGTTTGTTGTTCCTCTTTCTAATTGAGGATATTGTACTGTATGTTGTTCCTCTTTCTGATTGAGGATATTATACTTTATGTTGTTCCTCTTTCTAATTGAGGATATTATACTGTTTGTTGTTCCTCTTTCTAATTGAGGATATTATACTGTATGTTGTTCCTCTTTCTAATTGAGGATATTGTACTGTATGTTGTTCCTCGTTCTGATTGAGGATAATGTACTGTAGGTTGTTCCTCTTTCTCTTTGAGGATATTATACTGTTTGTTGTTCCTCTTTCTGATTGAGGATATTTTACTTTATGGTTTTCCTCTTACTGATTGAGGATATTATACTGTATGTTGTTCCTCTTTCTGATTGAGGATATTATACTGTATGTTGTTCCTCTTTCTGATTGAGGATATTATACTTTATGTTGTTCCTCTTTCTGATTGAGGATATATTACTGTTTGTTGTTCCTCTTTCTTATTGAGGATTTTTTACTGTATGTTGTTCCTCTTTCTGATTTAGGATATTATACTGTTTGTTGTTCCTCTTTCTAGTTGAGGATATTGTACTGTATGTTGTTCCTCTTTCTGATTGAGGATATTTTACTGTTTGTTGTTCCTCTTACTGATTGAGGATATTGTACTGTATGTTGTTCCTCTTACTGATTGAGGATATTATACTGTTTGTTGTTCCTCTTTCTGATTGAGGATATTATACTGTTTGTTGTTCCTCTTTCTGATTGAGGATATTGTACTGTATGTTGTTCCTCTTACTGATTGAGGATATTTAACTGTTTGTTGTTCCTCTTACTGATTGAGGATATTATACTGTATGTTGTTCCTCTTTCTGATTGAGGATATTGTACTGTAGGTTGTTCCTCTTTCTGATTGTGGATATTGTACTGTATGTTGTTCCTCTTACTGATTGAGGATATTATACTGTATGTTTCTCCTCTTTCTGATTGAGGATATTATACTCTTTGTTGTTCCTCTCTCTGATTGTGGATATTGTACTGTATGTTGTTCCTCTTTCTGATTGTGGATATTATACTGTATGTTGTTCCTCTTTCTGATTGAGGATATTATACTGTTTGTTGTTCTTCTTTCTGATTGAGGATATTATACTCTTTGTTGTTCCTCTCTCTGATTGTGGATATTGTACTGTATGTTGTTCCTCTTACTGATTGTGGATATTATACTGTATGTTGTTCCTCTTTCTGATTGAGGATATTGTACTGTATGTTGTTCCTCTTTCTGATTGAGGATATTTTACTGTATGTTGTTCCTCTTACTGATTGAGGATATTTAACTGTTTGTTGTTCCTCTTTCTAATTGAGGATATTATACTGTTTGTTGTTCCTCTTTCTAATTGAGGATATTATACTGTTTGTTGTTCCTCTTTCTAATTGAGGATATTATACTGTATGTTGTTCCTCTTTCTGATTGAGGATATTATACTGTTTGTTGTTCCTCTTTCTAATTGAGGATATTATACTGTATGTTGTTCCTCTTTCTGATTGAGGATATTATACTGTTTGTTGTTCCTCTTTCTAATTGAGGATATTATACTGTTTGTTGTTCCTCTTTCTAATTGAGGATATTATACTGTATGTTGTTCCTCTTTCTGATTGAGGATATTATACTGTATGTTGTTCCTCTTTCTAATTGAGGATATTATACTGTTTGTTGTTCCTCTTTCTAATTGAGGATATTATACTGTTTGTTGTTCCTCTTTCTAATTGAGGATATTATACTGTATGTTGTTCCTCTTTCTGATTGAGGATATTATACTGTTTGTTGTTCCTCTTTCTAATTGAGGATATTATACTGTTTGTTGTTCCTCTTTCTAATTGAGGATATTATACTGTATGTTGTTCCTCTTTCTGATTGAGGATATTATACTGTTTGTTGTTCCTCTTTCTAATTGAGGATATTATACTGTTTGTTGTTCCTCTTTCTGATTGAGGATATTATACTGTTTGTTGTTCCTCTTTCTGATTGAGGATATTATACTGTTTGTTGTTCCTCTTTCTAATTGAGGATATTATACTGTATGTTGTTCCTCTTTCTGATTGAGGATATTATACTGTTTGTTGTTCCTCTTTCTGATTGAGGATATTGTACTGTTTGTTGTTCCTCTTTCTAATTGAGGATATTATACTGTATGTTGTTCCTCTTTCTGATTGAGGATATTATACTGTTTGTTGTTCCTCTTTCTGATTGATGATATTGAACTTTATATTGTTTTATCTTTTTCAGAATTTATTCAGATTGAGTCTGGTCTGCTGGCTTCCTTGTCAGTTACTGTAGTAGTGGTGGATACAGTTACAATGTACTCGATGATAATGAATTCATTAGTCTTTGTTCCATGACATTGATATGTGTAAACATTGTCTACACAGAAATTCTGCTTTTCAGAAATAAATACATGTGTTGAAGCATATAAATGTTGTATCAGAAACATATAATACAATAATACAAGAGATTGGCAAATAGTAGAAATCATGTGATATAAGATTACTTGCAATTTGATTGTTTTAAATGTTTAAAAACAAATCTTTATTTTCTGAAAAATCACAAATAATTTCTTAATACCTTCAATACCCTATCAAGAAATCGTTCAGATTTCCATGTTTTATAAAGTCACATTTGTACTATCAAAAACAAAAAAGAAGTACCAACCACCCCTCTTTCTATGAATTTTCAATACTGTGGATTCATTATTATTTTTGGAATACCAATTTTTGTGGATTTTGTATGTAAACCGCAAATTTAAATGTTCAAAGAAATACAAATTTACTATAAGTTTCTCACTTTCTGTAGAGATTTTGACAAAACCATGAAATCAAATACCCTAAAAACGACAATTTTTCCTTAATCCACCAAAATTGGTATTCATGAAAATTCATGTCATTTGTTGACTTTCATTGTTCATAGAATCTTTATTTGAAAAGATGCATTTTTTCAAACCTTTTAAAACATATCTTGAAAAATCTCAAAATAATATGATTAAAGAGAAGGAATATGTGATTACATGAAAAAGAGGTTTGAAAAATAATGAAAAAGCACTATGGTATTTCAATAGATTATATGGCCATTTAATGGAGTTGCCAATCTCTTGTATTATATGTCTCTGGTTGTACAAAATAAAATTATGTTTAAGTGGTCACATCTCTCATTGTCACATTAAAAATTATTGATTCTACCACAATACACTATTGAGTAAGATATTTATCATTAATATTTGAAAATCTACCACCAAGAGTTGATAAATATTGTGATCTACAGGGTTGAGTTGATGAGTCTGCTTCTCTATCAAATAAAAAAAGTTAACTTATTTTTAAGTTTCATCTATAGAAATCTCAAAAATACCCAAATATTGTGCACATCATAGAATATCACTCTAACTGGTTTAAAAGGATTTGCACATATTTTTAAAAAATTTTAAATGATGTTCAATCAAATAATTTTTTCTAGCTCACCTGTCAAAATGGGCCAAGTGAGTTATCAACATCTATTAGTGTCTGTCATCTTCAACTTTTCAAAAATCTTCTCCTAAAACTACTTTACAAATTTCAACTTAACTTGGACTCAATAATTCTTGATCCTTTAATTTGGTATCTTATATAAAGTTTGACAGTATGCTCCTGATCAGTTAGTTATTGCACTTATGATAACAGCTAGTGTCTTAAATTTTGTATAGGGGTTAACACATATTTAAATTGTATATAAATTAGAGAAACTGTTTTATAATATGTATATATGGATTGGACTGTATAAATAGTGTTGCACAAAGTGAAATTAAGAAATCCTGTGTGTAGTCAGTTCTCTACTTGTTCTCTAATAATGGCGATTTTGAAAGAAAATTTTTGTTCTCCTTTAATATGCAAATCATTGAAGAGCATTAAGACTAAATACTCTGTAGAAACAAGCTTTTTTTACAATGTATTCTTTAAAAGAAAACTTCATGCGTTAGGTCATCCCCTTTATACAGATGACTGTAAACAAATATGTAGTGTCTTTATTATATTTATAACATTGTATCATTTCATCATAAAATCATGCAAGATATATAGAACCATTCAAGGAAACATTTTCCTTTGAGATTGTGCAAATTCTTTCCTATCAAATAGTGAAGTTTTTTTTATGTTGTTTTATAATTTTAATCAGTTGAGTATTTTTGTGAATACAAATTTAGTGTTTTGCTTTGTTTTAATTTACTAAAATCCATAGTGTTACTGATCTATAAAATTTATTATGTATTATTTATAATTGGTATACTCATATTAAAGTTAATCCTCAGTCACATATGTGACTCATATTTTTGTACTGTCTTGAATCAGTCATACTTTTTTATAAACATAATTGTTGCCAAGGACAGTATATCATGATCTTGACAGACGGTTATGTCTAGAAGGTCAATGCCAAAGATCATTTATATACATTATATATTTGAAGTGGTGTCCTATCTGGTGATCAAGTCAGAACTTCACACATTTGTTGTCTTTGTCCCATACTCTAAACATATAAAAAATTATCATATGACACAAGGGTGTGTTATTACTTTGAAAGGTCAAGATCATACATTCACTGAAATTGTATTTAAGGTAGCACAATACAAAGATTTTTTTACTTCCAATCTCCAACCTTTAAAATGATGTTACTTTCTTATGACTGCATACAAATTAATAAAAGAGGTATATATAGATAGATAAAAGATTAATCTTTTAAATGAATGCAATATTTTTGTTATGCAATCATTATGTAATCAATTATTATGCAATTAATGGCAAAATCTTGGTCAGTTCACTTGAATGAATTTAGCTCTGACATCTCTATAACTACACAAGAAATTTTAACGTTATCTTAATCAACACAGCAGGAGCTACAAAAGGGTGTCTCAAATTATCGCTATCGTATTCCATTCTCTCATAAATCTGTAATTAGTGTAAACATCCTTACCACATAAAAGTAGAGACCCTTTTGTAGATAATGGATCTAGGAACAACATATTATAAAATCAACCCTCCAGGGGTATCCATGAAGAAACTAATTTCAATTGAAAGTGGAAATTTCTTGTAAAATTTGTAGACACAGTTAAAATTATAATTAATTACATAATTGTTGTATAATACTAACATTGCATTAATTTGAAAGAGTAATCTGTTAGTTATCCATAAATACCACTTTTATAAATTTTCAAGCATTATAAAGAAAGTTACAGCATTTTAAAACTGGGGAGTTGGAGGTATAAAATCTTTGTATTGTGCTACCTTAAGTGCCATATATTTGTTTAGTCTGCTTGGATCTCACTAAAACTTCATTAATTATTGCCCATTATCAAAGCATGTAATATGACCTTTGCTAAATGCTATCTCTGAAAGATCAACTGAAAAGAACTGTGCATTGCTTGATAAAAAGTTAGTTCCGTATTTTTGTGCATTTTTAAAACAAACTGATCTACTGCACTAAAGATATCAGTAACCAGAAAACCTTCAGAAATAATGTCAATAAAGAGCACATGATATCTCCATCTTGTGCATATTGAATTGTTGCTAGAATAAAATGTAATATATTTGTTGGAATCTGATCGACGTTCACTTCTCAAATTGACATAAAATCTGAGGTCATAATATAGCAAGTTTCCGAAGCGACGGCCAATTCTTTTCCACTCAAATTGAATTTTTTCTGTACTTAAATCAACGCCCAATTCTTGGCTGAGACCTCAAGACTTAAAAAAAAATCTTCTGTGACAAATAAAATAAAGTTCATAAAAAAAATTGATCTCATAATTTTATCAAGGAGGTAAACAGGTAAGAATATCAATTTCAAAATGAATATGTATTTCATTTAATTCTTTGCTATTACAATAACATTTATACATGTTTGTTTTACTATGTTTTGTTTATTTTGTCACAAATCATATGATATCAGTTGATTTATATGACAGTAAAGTTTTGAATTGAATAACTATCATATTGTTGCTTTAGTTTGGGAATTTCAGTTCTTTTGCGATCAAAACTGTTTCTATGTCACAAGTTAGGAACCTTGTCAGTAGTTGTCAAAAGTCAGATCATATTTTTCTTAAATTTGGAGAATTGACTGTTAATATAAGATCATGATTGTTTCTGTTAGTGGTGGGATCATTTCATCTGTTTATGTTTGACTCAGAGGGTAAAAATCTGAAAGTCATAGAAACATATTTTATTTTTAATACTGCATAAGTCCAAATTATATACTTAAGGATTTTCCTTCATAAAACCAAAAAGTTATTTTGCATTAATCATTACTGTTGATGGCCTTTTGAAAACAGTTTTGCAACTTTAAGTTCTTAAGACATTTATTTTGTGGTAAAATGCTCAGAAATGGGAAATTTTATTCTTAAATACTTAAAAAATGAACATTAAAAAGACCTTAAAAATGCCAATGGCATGAAATAAATTTGGAGTAAATTAGCCCTACAGTAAATTTATTCACAAGAACAAATCTCTACGTTCACTTGATAAAATCCGAAGCAAAGGAACAGTGCTTTTTTTTTCTCCTGCATTTATAGTCACAATGAGGTCTCACACATGGATCAAAGCCCACACTTAATGCATGTTAGACAGACTCTAAACCACTTTGAGCAGATTTCTTTGCTAGATATTGATCATGCTACAGCTATGCATTTTACATATTTGTGGGGGAATATCATCAAATTGCACAAGACTACATATCCTTATTTTTTTATAAAGAATTTTTGAAAGAGTGGGGTCTGAGGTCAATTTTTATTTTCCCCACTCTGCATAAAATTTTAATACACCTTATCGCTATTTTTCCGCCGTAACTGGATATCACAAAAGTTCCCGTAAAATTTTGACGTCATAATAGAAAATATCTGACACCACAATGGAAAAGTGATTGTTGTATGACGTCAAAAGTTCAAGCGGGACAGATTTCCAAATAGCGATAAGGTGTATTGATTATTTCCTATAATTGTTCAGGCTAAATTCTCAAATGATCACCACCCATAAACTTATAAAAGACATGCCTTCTGACCCCAGGAAGGACAATGAAGACACTTTTGATATCTGTTCATCTTTTCTGGTTATTTTTTACCTGCCTTGCCAAAGGTGAAAGCAAGTCTAGTAACAGCTTGACTCCCTCTATCCATCCAAAAAACCTTAGGTAGAGAGTTTTCTTAACTACTATGAGGGAATGATTTAATATTTGGTCTGCAGCTTGATAGTGTTGAGTTGTAGTGAGTAAGCAAATTTTATATTCACTGTTTAGCCACTTCCTGTTTTCTAATAGTTTGAGATTTTGCAGCATTGATCATTGTACAGAATTAATGTACAAAGAAAATTTTGGTCAAAGTTTTTTTTTGCCTGTATGAAGGGAATGGTTTAATATTTAGTCTGCAGCTTGATAATGTTGAGTTGAAGCAAGTAAGCAATGTTTTACCTCTACCATGCAGCATCTTCCTGAATGCCAATATTTTGAAATTTTACAACACTCAGAAGGGGCATAACTCTAGAACGGTAACAGTGACGCCACCAAAATTCAAACTTGATCTGTGTTTTGTGTTAATAAGCATAGTGTATAAGTTTCATAACATTTGGTTGAGGCAAACTAAAGTTAGAGAACAGAAACCAATTTTGGGACATACCGACATACAAACGGACAAGGGTAAAACTTAATGCCCCCTCCGCTACGGTGGGGGCATAAAAATGTGTCCGATGACCCGGCCTGCCAAACAAGATGGCCACCATGGCTAAAAATAGAACATAGGGGTAAAATGTAGATTTTGGCTTATATCTCTGAAACCAAAGCATTTAGAGCAAATCCCATAAGGTCAAGATCTATCTGCCCTGAAATTTTCAGACGAATCAGACAACCCATTGTTGGGTTGCTGCCCCTAAATTGGTAATTTTAAGGAAATTTTGCAGTTTTTGGTTATTATCTTGAATATTATTATGGATAGAGATAAACTGTAAACAGCAATAATGTACAGCAAAGTAAGATCTACAAATAAGTCAAACATGACAAAAATTGTCAATTGACCCCTTAAGGAGTTATTGCCCTTTATAGTCAATTTTTTACAATTTTTTTGTAAATTTTTGTAATCTTTTACAAAAATCTACTCTGAAACTATTGAGACAAATTTAACCAAACTTGGCCACAATCATCATTAGGGTATCTAGTTTAATCAAAGAACATGATTGCTCTGAGGGATACAATTGCCATTGTTTTCATTGATATTAGTCATTATAAATCAAAGTTCAGGTGTGATTTTGATCCTACATACACCGTTTGGTGGTGCACCTGACAGCCGTAAGTAAAGATTATGCAACAGGTAACAGGTATTATGAGGATCGGGCCTGGAATGTCGTAATTTTCAATTGACACCATTGTCCTATATAAGTTAGATTTCGAGTGCAGTATGTCGATTGAGCATGCACGACAGTGTATAAGACAAAGATTGATAATGGTCTCCGAAATTTGGATATTTTCTCAAAAATTGGCATTTTCTGTGGAAAAACAAGTGTTTCAAAGACAAATTTAGGAAGAACAAGACACTAGATTTATACATGATATCACAAATATTTCCGACTTTGTATGGTTTCAGAGGATTTGGGGCTCAATGAAATCAGTCTCTTCCTTTAGTAGTATAGATTCCTTCTAACTGTTATCAATCCCACATACTTAAAGTGTCAAAAATATACATTTGTACAAGCACACAAAAGTCAATCGGTTCTTTCTTTGGGTTTAGGATTCATATGGCCCAAAATGTTAAAATCCTAGACGTCTCCCAAAATTGCACACATTTAAATGATGATGGCGGGCAAGATTGTAAATTCTATCATGAAAGAAAAGCTTTTTGGAAAACGGTATCTCAATTTAACAAAAAAAATCTAATGGATGAAACTAAACCCTGTTTTTTATGTTCTTCAACTTTCAACTTTGTATTTGATTCAACTTTCTTACTGTTTTGATTCATGTGCCACTGATGAGTTTTATGTAGCATTTCTAGTGTACCAAATTTTAAGTTCCATACATTTTTTGTACATGAGATTTTGCTTCTCATGCTTTTGTATCTTCTGTCAGTATGAAATAATCAACCTTTTTCTTCTGATGCATTTCTTGGTTATATTCATTTAATACATTAAACATGTTTAAAGAAATTTTGATGACTGAGATATAAATACTAGCTATTCATTGATGTCTTGTTAAAAAAAAAGCTATTCATCATGTTCATTGATGTCTAAATTACGTTGCCCCATTACAAATAACTGAGTACATTTTAATTTCTCAGTAAAATACTAAAAAAATTACATTAAAATTTGTTTTTTCCTTCAAATTGCTATGAAATTTGGAAAATTCAAATTAATGGAGTGATCGAAGTGATCGTAATATAAAGACTGGATTATTCGGGATGGCACTTCTTACTGCAAACAAAACATTCTTGTTCAAAACCATCATGCAGTTCAACACCACCGTAAATTGACTTCAAAATTTCAAAATGTTATATCGATTTCACCGTGAATCTTTTGAATATTTCGTCTGCATTCCATCGCTAAATTCTTCTGTTTAAACACGTGTGTACATTGAAAACACGTTTTGTGCTCCATTGCACATGTTTACAAACAATTTTAAACTCCTCCTTTTTTCGTGCCATACGTCAGGATACATTGATCCCATGATGCAGCATATTTTTAATTTCTGATTGACCGGTGTTAATGGAGTGATCGAAGTGATCGTAATATGACGACTGGATTATTCTGGTTACGGAATTCCCTCTCTGACGTGATTCTAAATATACAAAACCCTAAATATAAATACTGCTTAATTCTGATTTTCCGTATTGGAAAATAAACACAAATGAAAAAGGGAGATATCAAAACAGGAGGATTATGAGAAGAAATTTAACAGAATGTTGTTTAAAATCAATCTCTTGTTTGTTTTTACTTTTTATAACAGGACAATCTTAAGAATCTGAGTTGTTCCTATTAATGTAAAAAAACAACAGTTGACGTGAGAGTCTTGGAAGGGAGTCAATGGTAAAAGTCTACAGATTGCCTGACGGCACTCATATCCCAAACTAGAGGCTCTCAAGAGCCTGTGTCGCTCACCTGACTCTACTTTGTTTTAGAAATCATGTAAAGATAGATAAAAATCATAACAGATACCCAAATAATGATTGAGGCCAAATTTTGATTAATATTGGTCCCGTTATTTTATAAAATATCCTGGTGGCCATCTTGAACAGTAAATCGGCAACAAAGTAGCAACACTTGGTCAGCACTTCATAAGGAACATTCATGCCATGTTTGGTTTCATTCCATTTAGTGGTACTCTAAAAGAAGACATTTGTATATATTTCCCATAGGGTCCTATGTTAACTAAGCCCCCCCCCCCCCCCCCCCCCCCTAGAGGCCATCTTGGATGATGGATCGACTGCAAAGTAACAACACTTGGTCAGCAACTCATAAGGAACATTCATGCCATGTTTGGTTCAATTCCATTCAGTGGTTCTCTAAAAGAAGACAATTGTATGTATTTCCCATAGGGTCCTATGTTAAACTAAATCCCCCGCTTTCGGCCATCTTGGATGATGGATCGGCTGCAAAGTAACAACACTTGGTCAACATCACATAAGGAACATTCATGCCATGTTTGGTTCCATTCCATTTATTGGTTCTCTATAAGAAGACATTTTTATGTATTTCCCAAAGGGTCCTATGTAAAACTAAGTCCCCCGCTGGCGGCCATCTTGGATGATGGATCGGCTACAAAGTAACAACACTTGGTCAGCATCTCATAAGGAAGATTCATGTCATGTTTGGTTTCATTCCATTCAGTGGTTCTCTAAAAGAAGACATTTGTATGTATTTCCCATAGGTCCTTTGTTAAACTAAGTCCCCTGCTGTCGGCCATCTTGGATGATGGACCGACTGCAAAGTAACAACACTTGGTCAGCACCTCATAAGGAACATTCATGCCATGTTTGGTTTCATTCCATTCAGTGGTTCTCTAAGAGAAAACATTTGTATGTATTTCCCATAGGGTCCTATGTTAAACTAAGTCCCCCGCTGGCGGCCATCTTGGATGATGGATCGGCTACAAAGTAACAACACTTGGTCAGAACCTCATAAGGAACATTCATGCCATGTTTGGTTTCATTCCATTCAGTGGTTCTCTAAAAGAAGACATTTGTATGTATTTCCCATAGGGTCCTATGTTAAACTAAGTCCCCCGCTGGCGGCCATCTTGGATGATGGACCGACTGCAAAGTAACAACACTTGGTCAGCAACTCATAAGGAACATTCATGCCATGTTTGGTTCCATTCCATTCAGTAGTTCTCTAAAAGAAGACATTTTTATGTATTTCCCATAGGGTCCTATGTTAAACTAAGTCCCCCGCTGGCAGCCATCTTGGATGATGGATCAGCTACAAAGTAACAACACTTGGTCAGCACCTCATAAGGAACATTCATGCCATGTTTGGTTTCATTCCATTCAGTGGTTCTCTAAAAGAAGACATTTGTATGTATTTCCCATAGGGTCCTATGTTAAACTAAGTTCCCCGATGGCGGCCATCTTGGATGATGGATCGGCTACAAAGTAACAACACATGGTCAGCACCTCATAAGGAACATTCATGCCATGTTTGGTTTTATTCCATTCAGTGGTTCTCTAAAAGAAGTCATTTGTATGCATTTCCCATAGGGTCCTATGTTAAACTAAGTCCCCCGCTGGCGGCCATCTTGGATGATGGATCGGCTACAAAGTAACAACACTTGGTGAGCACCTCATAAGGAACATTCATGCCATGTTTGGTTTCATTCCATTCAGTGGTTCTCTAAAAGAAGTCATTTGTATGCATTTCCCATAGGGTCCTATGTTAAACTAAGTCCCCCGCTGGCGGCCATCTTGGATGATGGATCGGCTACAAAGTAACAACACTTGGTCAGCACCTCATAAGGAAGATTCATGCCATGTTTGGTTTCATTCCATTCAGTGGTTCTCTAGAAGAAGTTCAAAATGTAAAAAGTTAACGCCGACGACGGACAACGCTGGACGACGGACGACGGACGCCAAGTGATGAGAAAAGCTCACTTGGCCCTTCGGGCCAGGTGAGCTAAAAATGTGTCCGATGACCACGCCTGCCAACCAAGATGGTAGGCATGGCTAAAAATTGGACATAGGGGTAATATGCAAGTTTTGTCTATTATTTTGAACTGTTATAAATAGAGAAAATCTGAAAGGAGCAAAAAAGTTCAGAATTATGAGCTCTACCAATTGTCCATATACGTCAAAACTGTTAGACAAATTCTTATAGAAGTTATTGCCCATAAATGACAAATTTTACCATTTTTTTTTCATCTTGACTTTATAATCATGTTAACTATGATATTTAGAGAGAAACATGTTTTTTTTCTGTTATGCCTTATATGATTTAAATTATAATAGATGAATAAATACTTAAAAAATTATCAGAAAGGCAAGATCCATTAAAAAGTAAAATTTTGCCGATATAGTTAGTAGACTGTCACTCTTCATAGGAGTGATTGCCCTTAAATGAGGATTTTTTTTACCCTCTTTTGTGTTTTGAGCAAAAAGTAAAGAAGATAGAGAGAAACTAAACAGACTAAAAGAGCAGTAATACAAGATCAACAAAATAGAGATTTTCGTCATGAAGTCTATTCTCGTCTATACAATGTTGAAGAGTGTCCTTTGTTTGATATTATATGCACATAGACCAAGGTGAGCGACACAGGCTCTTTTGAGCTTCTAGTTATTTTTACAGGTCATACAATATGTAAATCCATCTTAGCTGGAGGACATACATAAGTTAAGGATAATTTTTAAAACAGACTAAACACTGATATAAAGCCAGAACTTCTAGACCTATCCTGGTACAATTGTTAATGAATACACACAAAAACAAATTATCTGTTTATACAAAACAAATATTTACAAACATTTACATAACATGATTAATAAGCACCAAAGTGAATCGTAAATATCAGGAAATTTAAATATCTTTTTAAAAAATGACTTGAAATTTGTAAAAACACATATTACCAAACGAAATTTGACCTATTATTTAAAATAAGTCAGAATTACATATTTACATATAAAACTGTTTTTATGCTCTGTGTTAATGAATCAGTATTAAATAGAGCCAAAATTGCATTACCTATTTGACATCATGACTGTAAACCAACATATCATTTCTAGCGATTTATGTTTTTTGTTTGTAGAAAATGATGTGGATATATAAAGTCTGAAGATCTTCTCTATTATGAATACACAAACAAAGTTAGAAAATCCTGAATATAAATCACCGCTAAATAAGCTAAAAGGTCTGAAAGTGAAAGTAAGTTGGTTTACAGTATATGATTTATACCAACATAGGTACACATTATACAGGTTAAAGCTTTAGATTTAGATCAAAAAAATGTTCATACTTTAAAAACATTATCTAGTACACAGATGTAACAGCGTAATTGTTCCTGTTGTAAGGGACATAAGTTTTTAAGAAATCTATTCCTATATAATGTCCCTGAGGCACATCATGTCAAACACCTTTGAATTTCATCGGTAGAGTCTTCAGCTTAGTTTGATTATCTTCATCAATCCAGCCTTTTTCTTTCTTGTTTGATCTTAAATTAGAAAAAATAAAGATTGCTTAACATAAAATTCTATCTTGAGTTAATGGAATGCATATAGACATTTATCTTAATATCGATGATACTGATAAGACATATATAATAATAAAATAAATAATAAAATGTTTCATTTATATATAATACACAAAACAGATGAAATAATATCTAAAAAGACAAATATTACAATGAATATCGGATTCAAATATTAGACTTGATTTAAAACTGATTAATTAACAACCCTCTAGAGAAAACTCTTTGAGGCAATCCTGAAACTTAAAAGTATATTTAGTATGTGTTGTGTAGGCAAAAACAGTGACTTCTAGTCTAGCAGTCTACAAGCCTACTTCGAACAATAAAAGAAGTGTACCAAGGGAAACCGGAAGGTGGTCGTTAGGGTACTTTGATATAATTGATGTTGGAATTCATATTTCAATAAAACGAATAATTCAGCCATTATATTCCGCTGCTCTATGATGGCTACATTAACAACTGAATGCCTAGTCAATGAAAAATCGTCAATCAAATATTCATAAGCTTGGAATTTACTCATTTAAGTTAGCTGTCAGATGATTGGCCTTTTCCTTCAAAGTGCACCAATCAAAATTCTGGACTCATGACATTTTTTAATGTATAGAGCCTCAGAATTCAAGAACCTGCAATTAGGTGAGATGAATTACAGGGAGGGAATGAATAATTTGTGTTAATTTCAATGGGTAGCTATATATATAGGTTGTATATATTTTGTCTGATAACACCACCTAATATAATGGACATTTAAAAAGTAAGAAAATCAAATTTGAAACATTTACCTACAAGAAACAAGATAAAATATCAGAAGTATTTATAGCTTATCTGCCATGTCATAAACTGTCAAAATTTGATTATTTAATAAAAGAGCAGTTAACCATTAAAGTTGAGGCTGAGATAACTTAATTTTTTTTTTAAATCATCTATTACTTTTTCATAGAAAGAAAAAAACTGTTCCCCTCATGAAGAACTACACTTAGACCTCCAACACTTATCTTGATTATAAAATGAATGATTTGTTATTATCAAATGTCCATTTTATGACTTTTGCCATAATGTAAGGAATTTTAAAGTGAAAGAAATGTCATACTATTTTTCATCATTACTGAATAAGATTTTCAAGTGATGATCTCCTCCTGAAATAAAGATACAAAATACTGTTTAAAACCAACCAATCAGATCTCTTCATTCCATCATTTGAAATCATAACAAATGAGTTAAAGACTTACAGATAGTACAATTATAGCAGGTCAGTTTATAGCATAAACCATCAATTTATAATTCTTATATAATTTGCCTATAACATATTCTTATAATATTAACTTTTTTTATATTACCTTTTGTAAACTAGGATGATGATAAGACCAAGTCTATTTCACTGTGATTAAGGGGTTCCAAGAAAGTTGAAATGGAGAGAAGAATAACGAGTGATTACATGAAAATTATAAGGATTAAACATTTTTTTCTAGAGGTTATTGATGTGTAAACTGGGCAGCTGACTCACAAACTTTACATAAAAGTCTAAAATGACCAGTTGTCCATGCAATTTTTTGTTGTTTTTGTCTTTTCATCCTTTTTTGGCCAATGTGTTATCTGTAACAAAGACTTATGGTTTCTACTTATACATACTACTACTAGGGGATGTTTAACAACCTTGACTACCCATGAGGGTCTCGCAAGGTCGGTAGTATCTTTTTTTCAACGTTATAAAGTTCTAGACAAAATATCAAATCATCGCTTAATAAAGAAGATGAGAAACATGGTAACAAAAGTCATAGACATACAAGGTGATTGCAGTATTTCTCCCATTCAGTGAATGAGGGTATAATGTATTCATGCTCCTAGTATAACAAAATAATGAACTGCCAGTGACAAGTTTAAATGTCGCACTAAAAATTCTAAATATTTTCCCCAATTGAAAAATAAAAAAAAATGCAGAAAGAGAGTTAACTTTTTTCTTAATTCTAGAATTCTAGATTAATAATTATATTTTCTTTTAACTACCAGGGGTTATAGTAATATACAATGCTAAAATAGGAATAAACATGCAAAAATATTAAACCTGCCACCCTTATAATTTTCAATTCTCCACTAGCTCTAAGAAAATGAAATAAATATACAAACCGTGGTACATATTTATAGTCTTTACAAAAAGCAGCCTTTAAGCAATTCTAGAGAGATAGAAAGATACAATATACAAAGAAAATATATATACTCATACCTGCTTTGGAAATCGGTTTGACAAGAACACATATATATATATGAGGGTCTGGATGGAGTTTACACAATAGAGAATAATTGGCCAAAAAAATAAAGAATAGAGAAAAATGAGCCAAAAAATTAAGAAAAGAGAATAATGGACAAAAGAATAAATTGTTCAAATTTGTTTATGAATACAGAAATGAAGAAACCTTTAATGCTTTGTACTGTTAATCTTTTAGGTGGAAATCCTTTCAATCAATTCAAAAATGAAAAATAGCCATTAAATTAAAATGTATATTGTCACAAAATACAATACATAATACTGAAAAAAAATACATATTCTTATTTTATTTAATATGTTTCCCAGTTAATGACAGTCTCTAATATAAGTCAAGCTTGTATAATATATTTCCACTATTTTTCTACTAAATTATCTTGAGTTTGTAATACTTACTTTGCACCTAATAACCTTCTTCTTTCACTAGTTCTTGGATAATCTCCATCTTCATCGTCCATCATCTCCTCGAGCTGGTTCTGATCATTAGAATCTATTGGTGCTATAGATATATCTCTTACAGCTCGGAACTGTCCACAATTGTTCAAATGTTCATTTTCAAGACGGAAAAAATTCCATACAAATCGTCTAAAGTACAAATTATCAAACATTAGAGTTAATTAAATATATATATATATAGATTATTTATAAGAAAAATTGTAATACAGTGAAGTCAGAGAGTAACTAACTACAGAATGATAGACATTTTTTTCTAATTGTGAATACTGGTATGTCATGATTAAATGCCATGTCCAGCTTCCACTATTTTCACACTGATCTCATAGTTATCCTGACTATGCACTAATAAAATTAGCCACTGTATACAAAGCAAACAACATCTGATAATTTAATTCAAAGCAGAGATAGTCTGTAAAACATCAACTTATTAAGATTAATATTATGATTCAGAAAAATTTGTTGTGGTATCACTTTATAATAGAATGTTTTAAATTACTTTTGTGTTAACATGCAATTCATTTCTTCATATTCTTACATGTGATCTGCATAAAATATCATTGTAATAAATTTATGGCTGAAATAATGCTTGATTTCATTTCTGATTCTGCATATATTAAAAAAGTGCTGTTCAAGAATTAAATGCATAGGGGCCATGGGGGACACTTTTTTAGACCGCAACCACACATAATATAATATTTCCTTTTTACTTATTTTAAAAACCCTTTAAAAAATAAAATGCTTCGCCAAATGCAGCCTGGTATGACCACAGAGGTCGAACCCTGAACAGTTGGGGCAAGTTTGGACACAATATTTAAGCTTGATACTGTCTGAATTTGGATTGTGATCAAATTTTTTTACATAATATAGGTTTCTGACACAAAATAAATGTGGTCAAAGGTCTTAAAAATTTGAAATGGGACATTTAATTTACCTAGAATGGTCTGATATCCAAAATCTAACATCATGGTTAGATTCAGAATATAAAAAACACTAAAAATTTGATTTTGTTGAAATCAAACAAATTTTAATTTTGGACCCTTCAAACCTTAATATGGACTAATTTGAAAACAGGGCCCAAAATAAAAAAATCTAAATGCACAATAAGATTCAGCATATCGTAGAGCTGCAATAATTCAGTTTTTGATGAAATCAAACAAAGTTTAATTTTGGACCCTTTGGACCTCATTGTAGACCAATTTAAAAATGGGGTCCAATATCCAAAATAATAATACAAGGTTAGAACCCCCAAAAATTAAAGACTTAATTTAATCCCATTGAAATTGGTTAAAAGATTTCTATTTATTTTCAATTGAAGATTTCTTGCTATTGTGCAATACTGTGCTGTTTCACAATACTTAGTTAATCTGTTATATATAATAATTTACACACCCTGTTTGGTGAGTATCTCCTGCCATATAAGTATTTGTTGCTTTTAAATATAAATCAGAAATAATCTATGTAAAAATGGAAAAATTTTGAGAAAAAAAAACCAAAAAATTATGAAAAAAATCCCCCAAAAAATTTTTCCACACCCAAAATATTTTTTTTTTTTAATTTGAAATTTTGAAAAATCTTGAAAAAATTTTTTTTTTTTTTGAAATTTTGAAGATTATTTTTTTTTCAGTAAAAGTTTACAATTTCAGAGAGATACATAAACTTTAACACAATTTATTGTCTGGAAACTACAAAAATGCTTGTTTTTGGCCCCTTTTTTGCCCCTAATTTCTAAACGTTTGGGGCAATTACCCCCAAACTCAATCCAAGCCTTCCCTTTGTGGTATGGAACCTTGTAGTACAATTTCAGAGAGATCAATACACTTAAACACAAGTTATTGTCTGGAAACTAGAAAAATGCTCATTTTCTGGCCCCTAATTCCTAAACTGTTGGTACCATAACCCCCAAAATCAATCCCAACCTTCCTTTTGTGGTATTGAACCCTTCTGGTAAAATTTTCTTTGAGATCCATTCATTTAAACTAAAGTTATTGTCTGGAAACCAAATGTGTCTTCAGACGACGACATGATTTTTTGCAGTCGTATGAAATACTAAAAAAAAACATTTTTTTCTAATTGTGAATACTGGTATGTCATGATTAAATGCCATGTCCAGCTTCCACTATTTTCACACTGATCTCATAGTTATCCTGACTATGCACTAATAAAATTAGCCACTGTATACAAAGCAAACATCATCTGATAATTTAATTCAAAGCAGAGATAGTCTGTAAAACATCAACTTATTAAGATTAATATTATGATTCAGAAAAATTTGTTGTGGTATCACTTTATAATAGAATGTTTTAAATTACTTTTGTGTTAACATGCAATTCATTTCTTCATATTCTTACATGTGATCTGCATAAAATATCATTGTAATAAATTTATGGCTGAAATAATGCTTGATTTCATTTCTGATTCTGCATATATTAAAAAAGTGCTGTTCAAGAATTAAATGCATAGGGGCCATGGGGGACACTTTTTTAGACCGCAACCACACATAATATAATATTTCCTTTTTACTTATTTTAAAAACCCTTTAAAAAATAAAATGCTTCGCCAAATGCAGCCTGGTATGACCACAGAGGTCGAACCCTGAACAGTTGGGGCAAGTTTGGACACAATATTTAAGCTTGATACTGTCTGAATTTGGATTGTGATCAAATTTTTTTACATAATATAGGTTTCTGACACAAAATAAATGTGGTCAAAGGTCTTAAAAATTTGAAATGGGACATTTAATTTACCTAGAATGGTCTGATATCCAAAATCTAACATCATGGTTAGATTCAGAATATAAAAAACACTAAAAATTTGATTTTGTTGAAATCAAACAAATTTTAATTTTGGACCCTTCAAACCTTAATATGGACTAATTTGAAAACAGGGCCCAAAATAAAAAAATCTAAATGCACAATAAGATTCAGCATATCGTAGAGCTGCAATAATTCAGTTTTTGATGAAATCAAACAAAGTTTAATTTTGGACCCTTTGGACCTCATTGTAGACCAATTTAAAAATGGGGTCCAATATCCAAAATAATAATACAAGGTTAGAACCCCCAAAAATTAAAGACTTAATTTAATCCCATTGAAATTGGTTAAAAGATTTCTATTTATTTTCAATTGAAGATTTCTTGCTATTGTGCAATACTGTGCTGTTTCACAATACTTAGTTAATCTGTTATATATAATAATTTACACACCCTGTTTGGTGAGTATCTCCTGCCATATAAGTATTTGTTGCTTTTAAATATAAATCAGAAATAATCTATGTAAAAATGGAAAAATTTTGAGAAAAAAAAACAAAAAATTATGAAAAAAAATCCCCCAAAAAATTTTTCCACCCCCCAAAATATTTTTTTTTTTTAATTTGAAATTTTGAAAAATCTTGAAATTTTTTTTTTTTTTTTTGAAATTTTGAAGATTATTTTTTTTTCAGTAAAAGTTTACAATTTCAGAGAGATACATAAACTTTAACACAATTTATTGTCTGGAAACTACAAAAATGCTTGTTTTTGGCCCCTTTTTTGCCCCTAATTTCTAAACGTTTGGGGCAATTACCCCCAAACTCAATCCAAGCCTTCCCTTTGTGGTATGGAACCTTGCAGTACAATTTCAGAGAGATCAATACACTTAAACACAAGTTATTGTCTGGAAACTAGAAAAATGCTCATTTTCTGGCCCCTAATTCCTAAACTGTTGGTACCATAACCCCCAAAATCAATCCCAACCTTCCTTTTGTGGTATTGAACCCTTCTGGTAAAATTTTCTTTGAGATCCATTCATTTAAACAAAAGTTATTGTCTGGAAACCAAATGTGTCTTCAGACGACGACATGATTTTTTGCAGTCGTATGAAATACTAAAAAAAAACATATTTTTCTAATTGTGAATACTGGTATGTCATGATTAAATGCCATGTCCAGCTTCCACTATTTTCACACTGATCTCATAGTTATCCTGACTATGCACTAATAAAATTAGCCACTGTATACAAAGCAAACAACATCTGATAATTTAATTCAAAGCAGAGATAGTCCGTAAAACATCAACTTATTAAGATTAATATTATGATTCAGAAAAATTTGTTGTGGTATCACTTTATAATAGAATGTTTTAAATTACTTTTGTGTTAACATGCAATTCATTTCTTCATATTCTTACATGTGATCTGCATAAAATATCATTGTAATAAATTTATGGCTGAAATAATGCTTGATTTCATTTCTGATTCTGCATATATTAAAAAAGTGCTGTTCAAGAATTAAATGCATAGGGGCCATGGGGGACACTTTTTTAGACCGCAACCACACATAATATAATATTTCCTTTTTACTTATTTTAAAAACCCTTTAAAAAATAAAATGCTTCGCCAAATGCAGCCTGGTATGACCACAGAGGTCGAACCCTGAACAGTTGGGGCAAGTTTGGACACAATATTTAAGCTTGATACTGTCTGAATTTGGATTGTGATCAAATTTTTTTACATAATATAGGTTTCTGACACAAAATAAATGTGGTCAAAGGTCTTAAAAATTTGAAATGGGACATTTAATTTACCTAGAATGGTCTGATATCCAAAATCTAACATCATGGTTAGATTCAGAATATAAAAAACACTAAAAATTTGATTTTGTTGAAATCAAACAAATTTTAATTTTGGACCCTTCAAACCTTAATATGGACTAATTTGAAAACAGGGCCCAAAATAAAAAAATCTAAATGCACAATAAGATTCAGCATATCGTAGAGCTGCAATAATTCAGTTTTTGATGAAATCAAACAAAGTTTAATTTTGGACCCTTTGGACCTCATTGTAGACCAATTTAAAAATGGGGTCCAATATCCAAAATAATAATACAAGGTTAGAACCCCCAAAAATTAAAGACTTAATTTAATCCCATTGAAATTGGTTAAAAGATTTCTATTTATTTTCAATTGAAGATTTCTTGCTATTGTGCAATACTGTGCTGTTTCACAATACTTAGTTAATCTGTTATATATAATAATTTACACACCCTGTTTGGTGAGTATCTCCTGCCATATAAGTATTTGTTGCTTTTAAATATAAATCAGAAATAATCTATGTAAAAATGGAAAAATTTTGAGAAAAAAAAACAAAAAATTATGAAAAAAAATCCCCCAAAAAATTTTTCCACCCCCCAAAATATTTTTTTTTTTTTTTGAAATTTTGAAGATTATTTTTTTTTCAGTAAAAGTTTACAATTTCAGAGAGATACATAAACTTTAACACAATTTATTGTCTGGAAACTACAAAAATGCTTGTTTTTGGCCCCTTTTTTGCCCCTAATTTCTAAACGTTTGGGGCAATTACCCCCAAACTCAATCCAAGCCTTCCCTTTGTGGTATGGAACCTTGTAGTACAATTTCAGAGAGATCAATACACTTAAACACAAGTTATTGTCTGGAAACTAGAAAAATGCTCATTTTCTGGCCCCTAATTCCTAAACTGTTGGTACCATAACCCCCAAAATCAATCCCAACCTTCCTTTTGTGGTATTGAACCCTTCTGGTAAAATTTTCTTTGAGATCCATTCATTTAAACTAAAGTTATTGTCTGGAAACCAAATGTGTCTTCAGACGACGACATGATTTTTTGCAGTCGTATGAAATACTAAAAAAAAACTCTTTTTGTTTTCCTTTTTTTTTAATCTATAAGGAGATTCAAATTATTATCTCTTATAGAGAGAAACTCCTTTTTTAACCGGATTTTCAAAGGAAAAATAGGTTATTGATTTGGGGATGTATCGTGGGCGGGCAGCTGCCAAACAGTGTCCGTTCATTAACATGAAAAAGTTTTGAAAATTTTTTTCAAATTTACCGTAGAAAGGCTTGTATAGTCCGCGGTTTTATTCTCAAAAATTGGACCTTCCAGACGGGGTGCGGACTATAGAGTACAATAAGCAAGAAATAAGAGAAGTATTTCAATTTTGCTGGCGAGGTGGTTTGTTTACGTTCCGCCATCTTTGTTATTTATATTGTAGAGGGCGCCCTTTTCATTTTTCAAACTAATAATTTTAACTCATCCATATTGATAAGTTATTTCTATTCAATATCAAATTAATACTGATAAATATATAAACTAAACCTTTCATTACAAATTTCTCGTTTCTTTTCAATGCATTGGTTGAAATAAACTGGTATCTGCTTGATTGAAACGATACAAACATAGTGAAAAAGACAACCGTAAACCAGCTTAGAATTTGTAAACTACAAAACGTAATCGGTTATTGTTCGTTCCGTTTTGGTGTTTCATACCGACTAATATGGTTTGTATTAGCTTAAGACCCTTCAAACATTAATGTGATAGATATATTAAAGACTGTTTTACAAAAGGATGGAACTGTTTTACTTTCAAAGTCGTATTATAGTGATATCTGTTATGTACGGATTTCGACTCTCACCGGTTATTTTTTTCTTTTACACGTGCTTTTTAAACTTCCTGTTTAAACATACACAAGTTTCTAAATTGTTTTTTAAGTGAATTAAACTTATTTTAACAATCATGAAGCGTTCTAGAATCATTTACAAGCATTTTCAGCTTCTGTTTGATGATGGAAAACAGGTTTTTCCAAGAAAATACCGCAAACGACCGCACAGGATTTGAAATTACCGGAGTTTCATTAGACCTTTTCTAACAGTTACAAAAAGTTTTTTTACCTAAAATTTCGTGGGGAGAAGGGGGTGCGGACTATTCTTTTCTTTGGTAAATTGTTTGAAGAATTTTGTGGTAGGTTTGTTTGTTATTCTGTATAAACTAATTTTCTGAATGCTATATAATTTTATTTGATGAAGTGAACTCCTTTAATTACATAATAATCAATTTTTATTAAAGGATATATTTCATTACATTACATTGTGTAGATACAGTTGTTGACATTGATAGATAAGTTGCAGATCTATATTAGTTTGTGACAAATGAAAGAAAAAATATTTGGAACTATTAATTATATTTGATTATAATTTGAAAATAGATATACATTGTGTTACATCATATCTAATTTCAGAGAACTATTTTTAGTGGTTAAATCATATCTAATTTCAGAGAATCATGTTTGCTTTATTAGTTAAACCATTTATGTTCAAAGGGAAATAACTCAAACTTATTCCATGAACCAGTAATGATAACATACATATGGATTCTGTTCAATTAATTTTAGTCATTAGTTGTCAAAATTTCTTTATAACTATATTTTTTAAAGTCATGTGTGTTATGAAGGTAGATGTCACAGTTGTTATGTGGTATTTTATTTTTGTTGTGTGTGTTAATGTTTAATTTTTACATGATCCTGTTTGAGGGTTCAGATTTGCAAATATCATTTTCATTATTAATTAGATAATAATCTATTTTAAATATTCAATCACAATCCAAATTCAGAGCTGTTTTAAGCTTAAATGTTGTGTCCATACTTGCTCAACTCTTCAGGGTTCGACCTCTGCAGGAAAATCCTGTTTGCTGTCACTCGACAGCCTCTTGTTAATCTTTATTAAGGAGATTCAAATTATTATTTCTTATCCAGAGAAAATTCTTTTATCTTTCAGAATTACAACTGTATATCTAGCTATCTTTAGGTTTGAAATTTGTAGATACAAAGTATGATCTGTTTATAAAAGCCTGAATACTAACCTGAAAAGTTCTAATGAGGCTAATAGCGTTACTAATACTTCTTTGTGTTCAAAATATGGATTTTCTCCAACTGACACCGTCAGTGTCCATACAAATCTCAAAATAAAATCTTCAACTATGGCAAAATAATAGTAACCCTGAAAAAAGTAATAAATAATAATTCATTTACAGTAATTTCTGAACAATTAAAATATACTGAATTAAATTTAAAATGATATCTGATTAAGCAAAAAAAGTATTTAGCAACAAAACAAATACAAATCACACATTGTTGCTGTAAAATCAAAAGATTTTTTTTTTATAACATTTTGTTTGCAGTTGGAAACAAAATTTGTAAAACAAAGATTCACATCAAAATAAACATGTATACTAAGTTTCAAGTTAATGTGACCACAAGTTCATGGCAAACTACCTTCATCCAAAACTTAAACCTGAAACAGGACAGATTACTGTAAATTCAGAAATTATTGCGTGCATTTATTATTACAATTATTCAAGAATGGACAAACATGTGAGTTAAATTAAAGCGATTTTTGTGTTTTCGAAAAAATCTGCATAAAGGTTTATTGCGATACTCACTCAGTTGCATTATTCGCATTAATAAAAACCTTGCAATAATTTCTGAATTTACAGTAATCAAACAAACTGACTGATACACTGACTTGAAGACTTGATGCTGCCAAGCTATTTCAGATGGGCTGACAAATTGTGCTTATCTATCATATACACATGAAAAACATATATTCTGCAAACCAGATAAAGCTAAAATGCATAAATCTGTGTGTATAATTAATCCAAAAAAAGACTGCTTATAAATACATATATCAGGTTGCTGTAATATGCCACTGTAAGCAAAGTAAATACAAAAACAAAATTCTTTTATTGCACTCAAATGTATGCTAAAAAATCTCATTTTTAACGTTTCTGCCATTGAATTGAAAAAGTTAAATGCATGTTATGCCTGATTATGCATAACCTTGTATAATTTATTGAAATACACTAATTAAAAACTGGTATAAAATGTGCAAACAGGCATTACACTCCAATGTATGATCAGTCATATCTCTTATCTAACTTCTACAGTTGTATTTGCTAAATATGCCTTTTATATAAAAATAAGGAGTTGTGGTATGATTGCCAATGAGACAACTATCCACCCAAGTTCAAATGAAGTGGATGTAAGCAAAAATAGGCAACCGTAGGGCCTTCAACAATGAGAAAAACCCATACTGTATAGTCAGCTATAAAAGGACACGAAAAATATGAAACAATTCAATTGAGAAAACTAACGGCCTAATTTATAACAAAACAATTTACGAAAAAAAAATATGACGGACATGAACAGACATATGTCTTTTTATACTTCATTGAGACATTTGATCATATGTGCGACAGTTTTTGCTAATTTCTTGATAGAGAAAGAATAATGGATTTTATTGATTGTTTAACTTAACCATCCATTTTGATAATTGTTGTGACAGATATATCTATATTTGTGAGAAAAAATAATACCAGTCTTAAGAAGATATTTCCTGCCTAGTGTCTCAGGAAATTTTACTTTTGTTTCACCAAATACCAAATACCCTTCCTGAACATATGATATTTTTGTCCAAAATTCCTTGCTATCTTTTAATAAATTGTATATGAAATATCATATTGCAGTATTCTACTAAACAAGTACCTTGGAAGCATATACTATTTCTTCTCTAAGAAATCTGTTTTCTCCAGCATTTCTATCTAGTATACCCCAATCCATTTTCAGATCCCAAGTCAATGTATAACAGGAAGATATCACGGCTGCTACAATCCACAGGTAAAAGAAAGCATGGTTTTGTTTGTATTCTTTACCCTGCCACTCTGAAATAAAACTATGACATTAGATGATAACAAAAATTATTTCATGCTAGTTCAGTGAAAAGGTGACATGAGAATTAACAAAAAACAAATATGACAGACATGCACCAACAACAACCACTGAACTACAGGCACATATAGAATGTGGCGGGGTAAAACTAGTTTGCTGGTGCATAACCCATTGATTGTTGTAGTATAACTCAGGCTATTGATTGTTTCACATTTTGTCATCACAGGGCCTTTTATGGCATTATATTGTACAGTAAGGGTTTTGCTGATTGTTTAAGTGATCTTATTTGCATGTTGGTCTGTATTGACAATTGTCTCATTGGCAATCATACCCCATCTCCTTATTTTCATATGCAGTAATTTCTGACTTGACAGTATTTCTGACATCAAATGTATTGTTCTGATAAGTCACTTAGGTCTAATGTAAAATTATGAAATTATATAAGGTCCTTTATACTACAATTAAAAATATATGTCCTTTGACCTCCTCACTTTTGAAATCCTGAATATTTTATGAACAATAATTATGCAACAACAAATATATTATAAACTATAATCTCATAACAAAAACTCTTGAGTCCTGTTTTAGTTAAGATTCTACAGAAAGTTAAAATGATAAATAAATAAAATTTAAGATTTTGAGCTAAAGACTTAATATTCTGATATGATTCATATATGTAAGTGCAGCTATTGGGTAGGATATTTAAGAATATTTAATAAAAACTCCTACAGGTATAGTACTAACTAAAAGATATGCTTTATCTTACAGTAACTGAATAAACTGGAAAGTTGTTGCTCAAATAAATCAAGGGAAATTCGTCAAAATAATTACAAGTCAATACAGATAAATCATTCAATTAAATTTTACAATTATTCAATACTAATGGTTGAATGTCCAAAAATAAGATATTCATTGAAAAAGTTCATGTTAATGAAAAATTCTGCACTAATTATCTAATTTTTAACCAAAACTTATGGTAATTCTTAAGTTTTTTCTACAAAGAACATATTGGGGTAAAATGAATGCAAGAGAATGAATTAATAACTTTCAACTTTCAACTAAATTCTAGTCATGCATCGTTCTGAGCAAAAATAACAGTAAACACAGTGTAATCTTACAATAAATATTTGTTTTTTTTTTCCCTCAAAGAAAACCACATAAACTACTCTTGAAAGGATCTTTTTTTGCAGGGGATTGAAAAACATAGAATAGTCCTGAAATCAAGTTGCGTGATAAAAGGATAATGATGATCAAAGTAAAAGAAGCTGGTCAGAGGGGTGAGCAGTAACATAATGGAATCGCTGGTCAGAGGGGTGAGCAATAACATACTGGAATCAAGCATTTGAACTTGGGACTTAATAAATATGCTTGCTGGTAAAACAATTTACAAGAACTGATTGTTGACATATATGTAGACACTAAGGGTAGTCCAATGACCACTTTCTATTTTGTAGAGATTTGATTTGATTTGATTTTTGGTGTTTTAACGCCACTTTTAAGCACCGCTTTTGGGCTATTTCGTGGTACCCAGTTTTTATTGGTGGAGGAAGCCGGAGTGCCCGGAGAAAACCACTGACCTTCGATAGGAAAACTGACAATCCTAGTCAATTAAGATTGGAGTCGAGTGCACCCGCACGAGCGGGGTTCGAATATTTTGTAGATATGAAGTAATTAAAATATCAACAATAATTAAAAAAAATAGAATAAAACAAAATCATAGCAACAATGTTAAAGTTTGAATATAATACCTCCATAGTATTTGTATGAATCAGTTGATGAACCTATAGGAAATGTAATCAATGTTGTCATAACTTAAAACTAACCTATAGGAAATGTAATCAATATTGTCATAACTTAAAACTAACCTAGTATTTGTATGAATCAGTTGATGAACCTATAGGAAATGTAATCAATATTGTCATAACTTAAAACTAACCTATAGGAAATGTAATCAATATTGTCATAACTTAAAACTAACCTATAGGAAATGTAATCAATATTGTCATAACTTAAAACTAACCTATAGGAAATGTAATCAATATTGTCATAACTTAAAACTAACCTACAGGAAATGTAATCAATATTGTCATAACTTAAAACTAACCTATAGGAAATGTAATCAATATGGTCATAACTTAAAACTAACCTATAGGAAATGTAATCAATATTGTCATAACTTAATTTTAACTACTATAAATAGAAGCATATATAACTGTTTTCAAGGTATCTACAAAAACTTAGTAGACAATATCCTAAAAACAAAAATTGAAAAAAAATGTATATGTACATTGTTGGAAATATATAATATTTTTTCTACATTTATAACCAGGAAAAAAGACAGAATCAAAAATCATTTATAAGCTCCCAAAGGGAGCATAAATGGTAGAAGGGTTGATTTGGTTCTATTCACTATGGCATATAAAAACCTGCAATTACATGGCATTGATAAAAAACTCTTTCAGGTTTTCATACTTTTCAGGGTTTTTTGTTTAACATCATAAAGAAGCATATGATTTCCCAAGAATTTGTATCGGAGGAGCAAACTATTTCCCACAAATTTTTAAAACAAATAAAATAGCAATCAATAATAAGAAAATCAAACATGCACCAAGCCACCAACTGCCTTCAGATAGCACCTGCCTCATATAAATGTAATGAAGAGAGTATGGATATAGCCTATGTTTTGCAATGCCATATTGATGCCACCCTGTTTAGTTACTTATAACATTCACAGCTTTTTTTTTTAAGAATTTGACATTGTTTTGAACATCTCCAAGGTAAAGACAAAAATAAGATTTGATGTAAACAGTAATTAAACATTTCCCTAATTATAAAAGAAGGAAACAAGAAGATGACATAAGTAAATAAATAGGGTATAAGTTTTTTTTTGGAATCAAGTTAATTTGAATATTAAAAAGGCTGACTAATGGATAATGCATTATAATAAATACCCTTGATTATGCTGTATTTAATCTATATGGAAAATTTTCAATGTCTTGCAAAAAATGTTGTGTCTGTGTTTTTCTAACTTTTTAATTTTTTGGCAAATAGGTAAAATAATTGGTTAGGTATAAGTGAATAGATGGCAGTAAGGATAAATTAATTTTACGGATAAATTAATTTTACCTGTAATTAAATCTTCAGTGAATTATGTCAAAGTAAAATGAAAAGGAATAACTTTGATTATTTTATGTTAGTATTTTATGAATGGACCAAAAATTTAAAGATTTAGACAAAAACCATGTCTATTGGTCATTTGTGTCATTGGTTTGTTGTTGTATTGATTGTTTTCTATTTTTTCATATATATTGAAACATAAACTTACCCAAAGTTGAAGAATAAAGCCCAGAAAACAGTACAACAAAGAATGTTGTAGAATATTTTCCTGCATTGACAAGATGGGGAAATGCCATCTTTGTGTCTCTGTAACGTCTCAGACATTGAGCAAATCTGAACCAGGCAGGTAAAGTACTAACAATGGATCTGATGCCAAACTTTGACATTGTACATACTTCTGGTCCTGCAATAAAAAACAAGCAATTCAAATTAACATTAAATTTTTAAAGAACATTTTGTGATCAGGGAATATTTTAGGTCTAGTTTTTCACAGACCTGGACGTTTTAATTAAAGAATTCCATTTATGTCTGTATGATGCTAAATTAATACTAGTAAAAAAAGTCAATGTGCTCTAGGATCAATGAAAAATTCTGTTACAAAAGTCATTTTGAAAGTTTTTATAAAGAAACCAAAAATTTTATGTCAAATAATAAGAAACCCAACAGCGAACTACTTAATGTTACACAGTACCTGTCAACATAAAGAAACATCTGTAAATCAAATCTACACATATTTGTATTTTTACTAACAAAAATCATTCTTTTGTTCTTAAAAATTTTGGTCTATAGTTTAAATTTTTCAATACAATCTCATCTTTGTAATGCGCTTTTATATGGTATGGGTTTTAGTTCATTGTTTAAGGCATACAGTTGACCAAAAGTTGTTTATATCCACAGTCTTTGGACTCTTGGTGGGGAGTTGTCTTATTGGCAATCATACCACATATCTCCTTTTATTTTTATATTGTGATTATGCTTACTGATAATTAAATTATCCCAAATTTCATTATTACTTTATTATACAGGGCAATTTAAGCTCCTAACGCATCTAATTTTCCCCATCTTTTATTTTTTGTCACTTGACAATTTTTTTGTGATTTTATTTAGATATACAGAAAAGCATTGTAATAATTTAGCTACTTACTATTTGGTCCATGCCATTCTACTTCAAAGGCATAGAAACATACAAAATATTCAAAATCTAACAACACAATAGCAAGACTGTTTAACTGGTCAGCAAGCCAGAAGTCAGCAAAACCAACGTGGTGGAATGGTGAAGTTACAATACGAAACTGAAAAATATATTAAAGTTGTCAATTGGACTTAGATTAATTACTCTGACTTGACAGTTATTGTTTTTTCTTCAGTTATTGCAGTTCATTCCAAACTCTGACCCCATTGCCATTTGTTTGGTCACGTCATCAATTTGTTAAACTGGTCAGAAATTTTACCAAACTGCTCTAAAAGAGTCAAAATCAAGTCGTCAATGATAAAATAGGTTGATAAAAACACTAAAGGTCAAGTCATTGTAAAAAACTTCCACTTAATAAATTGCAACTCCTCACAGTATGGCTGGAAGCCAAAGGGCAGCAATATACCCTTGAAACATTAAAAGAAATATATTGGAAAATAAAATTCTAAAATGTTAAGTCTGAGTACCAAAATTTCCTAAATTTCAGATAACAATTGACCATTTTTAACAATATTTAACATAAAGTTTTCATAGTATCAATACATCTCAAATATCAGCCTAATATCTTAATCGAGAAGAGAGAAGAAATTAAACAACAGATGATTTAATGATGAAAAGATAGGTGTACAGAATGCCAGGTTAAAATAAGCCCTAATACATTAATGTTTTATAATGTGTATATTATACTTTCATTCAAATGTTCTTTTATAATAAAAATTCTGTATTTTGTCATAAGACTTAAAATAAACTATTTAGAGAAAGCATTTAATTGCCTGATAGTCAGTACAGCTGTTGTTAATACATGTAATATTGATTGGATGCATAAATAAACAGAATGTTCATGTGGGTGGGTAAAGTTTAGCACAATTGTTTTCTGCATCCTCAAAATATTCAATTTTACTTTTTTTTATTAAATTTAAGACTTTTTCTATGTTTTCATTCTATAGATCAAATAATAAATATTTTAAGATTAATTTTATACTGGTTTGGTTAAAAAATGACAGTCATTATTATAATAAAAAGAATACTATTTTTACTGATGATTCTCATTGTTATCTACAAATACTTACCAAAACAGAGAGTAACCAATATCTGGAACTATGGTGAAATATATGTATAGGATTAACCAGGAACAAAAACAAGAACCCTGCCATTATCAATGGAAAAATAAATGGTGGCCATCCTAGATGATTACTGAATAAATAGCCTAGCAAACACAATGTCCATACTACTGCTAATGCTGCAGCTAACTGAAAAATATAATCATTCTTAACATTTATACATGTTCTTTATAATAAATAGGACAATATACAAACACATTTTAATATTCATCATGAAATTTCAGAAGCTCATTGTCAGTTACTTTAAATTAATAAATGTAGGGGAATTTCACATGATTCACATATTAGTTATTTGATATTTAAAGTATGGTACATATGTAATAGAAAAGAAAGAAAATAGTGTATCAATCCATGGCATAAAATCACAACACACACATGAAAAAAAAAGAAGCTAAGAAACAAAGCTTTTATTGGTATTCTTCATCTCAATGTTATGTTCATTGTGAGTAAAATAATGTTTCAAAGAGTGTTTTTGACTTCCTAAAAGTTTTTCTGAGTTCATGAAAAAGAACGCAGACCTTGAAATTCCTAAGAGATATTTAATCTGTAAAAGTACCTATAAAAATCCTTGTTTTTATGCGTGTGGAAAATAGAGCAGATTGAAATATTCAAGCTGTACTGGATAATTAAACAATGTACACTTTAATGGGTAAATCATCTACAGATATCCAAAAGGAGTCCAAACAACTGACCAAGAAAAGAAAAGAGAGAGGAAAGAGAAGAAACTATAGATACAGTAACACTACCACACAGAATACATCTAATGATCACCCTTATATATTGCCATAACAACCAGGATTATCTAGCAGAATTTACATGTCCAAGGCCTAAATAACTTAGAATACCTGACCAGGTACTTAGAGAATAAATCTGTGCCAAGATCCTACTGATATTACGCCAAACATCAAGTCCCAGACACCAAAGTTTTATCTATAAAAATCCTCGTTTTTATGTGTGTGAAAAATAGAGTAAAGATTTTATATATTTGTTACCACTTCCACTTTTATCAACTTACTGAAGTCCACATACAATGTACTTCAGGGATAATTTTTCTTATTGTAACCGTCCTGATGATGCCACTCATGTGGTGAAACATGTAGACATAATAAACTCTTTATTATTTCGGTATAACATGGGTGTTGATGTCTTTATCCCCCCCTTTATAGGTTAATATCAGAAATATCTCGGACAAGTTCTATAATGGTGGCTGATCGACTGTTTTTAAAAGAGTTATGCCCCTTTGGAAATACTAAATTTATGAAAAATGGCCTCTTTAGCGCTCTCACAGGTACAATTCTTGCCAGATTTTTATAAAACTTAAACTATGGGTTAATATCAGCAAAATCTCGAACAATTTCTAAAATGGTGGACGATCGACTTTTTAAAAAAGAGTTATGCCCTTGGAAATATTAAATTTATGGAAAATGGCCTCGTTAGTTCTCCCTCGGGTACAATTCTCGCAAGATTTTTATAAAACTTATACTTTAGGTTAATATCAGCAATATCTTGGACAAGTTCTATATCGACTTTTTTTAAAAGAGTTATGCCCCTTGGAAATATTAAATTTATGGAAAATGGCCTCGTTAACGCTCTAACAAGTACAATTCTTGCCAGATTTTTATAAAACTTATACTACAGGTTAATATCAGCAATATCTCGGACATGTTCTATAATGGTGGACGATCAACTTTTTTTAAAAGAGTAATGCCCCTTGGAAATATAAAATATGTGCAACGCGGGGTAAATTGGAACTCTGTTCTTTTATCTGTTTGTTAACGTGGACATACTAATGATACATTGGCTATCAAAATATGTGCGGTAGATTAACTTCTTCCAAAGATTAGAGTATACAAGTTATTAAATACCTCTAACAACTGATGTGGTGACAGATGGCGACGTGGATCAATTTCAAATATCAGTACATGATTGACCCCTGATGACCTCCAGCCATAAGTGTTTATACCTAAGAAACAGATCATCATAATAATCAGGAACATTCCACGGAACATTCTCAACGCTGGCTCCCAATTCCCGGAATGATTGGTAAAAAATGCTGAAAATAAAACAAAATATGATGTATTTTTGTTAGAAGTGTAATGCTATTATCTCCATTTACATCTCATTTCAACAGAAATAACAAACTTGTCCATATTGTAATCAGAAAGAATGACTGACTTTCATGTATGATTATTTTAAGAAAGGTAAAAGCTCTTTCTTTCAATCAAAATTAAATTTTTTTTATGCTTTGGGTGGTTCAGTATAACTTGTATATTTAGAATTTGAAAAAATTACAAATGTTATTACGTATATTGCAGAAACTGTTCAGAAATAAAAACATGATTGTGTGAGAAAACAGAAAAACTGAGATAATGATGGTTCTTTAAAAGTATTAAACTTAATAGAGAAAGGCTTCTTTTATGCAAACCAATATTGATCATGCTGACATAACCTTTTCTTTTTTTTATTACATTTTCCCATTAGATTAGGGACAGAAGCATTACTTTACAGCATACTTAAAATTTATAAATACACATTTTGGGTTTTGATTTCCTTATCTTTTTGTTTAATCTAATCTATTTTTCCTTACCATTTATATTAGGGTTTCTATCTTTGTTTGTATGTGTTTTTAGGAGGAGTCAGATGTTTGTGGTTAATGAGCTATGTCTTACTGACCTATATTTTTGGTGATTTCTGATATCTTTTTATGTTTTGTTTTAAGTTATTTTTTGCATTTATTTCCTGTCAGAGTTGATAGGTAGCAGCTTATCTATTTGACAATTCTCAAAGTTAAGGGAGATAACTAATACTATACCTGTTATTACCACAACAATAACGAGAACAATAAACATTCCAAAAAACAGACCAACTCTACACATTGTCATTGGGTTTTGCTGAAAATATAAATCAAGAACATTAAACTTTAAGCTTGCAATTTTTTTTCTTCCAAAACACAACAGTTCTGCCAAATAACAAAGCTTTTAAACTATATCATATTTATGAAACAAATGTCTACTTAATTTTTGTTATTCTCAGGTTCTTTTTTCGAAATTCATCTAAAATTTCGGAACTGAGATTAATTTTCAGAATTATCTCTCTTTGTACAGTGCTGGTCTGTTGATAACTAATCTTTACAACAAAAGAGATAATTTCAATTTTCTCATAGAGAACTTCCCAATTTTATGTACATGCATATGAAGTATGGAATATATTTCCCGGTTGATATGATATTCCAGAGGTGTGTTTCCTATCATGATTTATTTCACACAGGGTTGCTGTTTACAAGAAAGCTATATAAAGGGTTTTAAAGTAGAAAGTAAAAGTCATCTTTTTTAAAGGTTTTAGAGTGTCATCCTGATTTGGTTAAATGTTATGAAATACCTGTGACACAGATGACTTTTGGTAGGTTCAATTCACTGTAGCCACAATCCTATCGTCTTTTCCTTGTGATTGATATAGAATGTAACTTTATCAACAGATTTAAACTTGCCATGAGCAACATGGATGCATCTAATGGAGCAGGAAAAGCTTACCCTTCTTGAGCACCTGAGTTCACCCCCAGTTTTTGGTGGAGTTTGTGTTGCTCAATAAACCGTTTTCTATGTGATGTTTTGTGGACTGTTGTCTCTTTGTTTGTTGTTTTTCTTTGACTGAGTATTGTTTGTGTTTCCTCAAATTATGGTTTTGATTGACACCTTGGTAGCTTCTCCCATTTTTATTATTTCTATATAAATATAATTAAAACTATATGCATTGGAATGACACGAATGGCCCCATACCCAAAAAAGGTTGAAGCCATTTTTAGGAGTTGAGAAAATTTGAGAATGAGTCTGTATAACTGTTATTTTCACGAAATTTTCAAAGTCTAAAGCCCGTAATTTCGGCACAAATCAGTGGAGCTTACCCAGACATATACTCAATCTGTAACTCATCATAATAGACTAACAAAAATAAAATCAGCTCAAAATGTAAAGGAGTTTTAGAAAAAAATTCTGTATAACTGTTATTTTCACAAAATGTTCAAAGCCAGTTGTTTCGGCAAAAAACAGCTGAGCGGAACAACATAAAGTCGATCTTAACTCATCATAGAAGACTCATGAACTAAAAATCAGCTCAATATGTGAAGGCGTTTAGAAAAAAGGTCAACTAAACATAAACTCGATATGTTTCTCATCACAGTTGACTCACATACTAAAAATTAGTGTCTAGAAAAAAATATTCTATATAACTGTTTGTTGCGGAATGATGGAATGACGGAATGATGGATAAGGGTAAAACTATATGGCCCCGATAACTTTGTTGCAGGGCCATAAAAATATTTTACAGATTAAAGACACGACCATGTTTTTTTTTATGTGTTCTTGGGTTTTCAACTAATTCACATATACTTCACTCCACTGTCAGTAGAAATACTATCATTTGTACTTAGATATATGTCAGAAGACTTAACAGACCATTCAAATATAATTATTGTTCATCATGTATGTATATGTAAGACAAATCTTAATACTGTTATGTGAATATTAATTATTTCTACAATAAACTGAATGTATAATAAATTCACCTTTTCTCCTAATGGAGGTACTCTCAGTCTTTTCATAGCTTTCGATCTATTTCCTCCTTCTAAGTCAGATGTCACACTTTGCTACAAATATAGAACACCAAAGTTACCCCCAAAAAATACAAATGAATATCATGTTATATGAAAATAAAAAGACTTATTTAAAACTCATGTAAACCTTTTCCAAAAGGTTTACATGTATACTTACTCATATATTTCATAAACTGTTAACACTGAGAAATGTCAGGGGAACACATCAGAATAAAAAGGAAAGCAGTAAACTTTCACACAGTGACACAGAAAATATATACAATATGGAATAATGGAAGAACTCATACTTTCATCAAAAACTATTTTGACATAGAAATACTTGAATGTTTAATTTGTTAACATTTACCCAAGTCAGGGGAAAAGACGTGTATCTATGGACCCAACCTGCCACAATATGAAGATAAATATAAGTACTTATTGACATTCTTAGCTAAAATTTAGGGTACAAACCCAAAATTTATTACCGGTATCATAGGTTTCTGGGCCCCCTGCTACTTTTTCCCCTGCTAAAGCTTAACCTCCTCTTGTGTCCTTATCTTAATTTCCTTGGCTATTTTGAACAATTGTATTATACATACTTGACTATTTCCTGAAGTGTGTAATATATAACATATTTTTCAAATGACAAATTGTATCATCATGGAGTAAGACTAGTTTCAAAAAAATAAACTAAAAGGACTGTGATAATGATTTAAAGTTTAACCATGTACCCTTCAAGACGTTGACTACATTTTTAGCTCACCTGGCCCAATGGGCCAAGTGAGCTTTTCTCATCACTTGGCGTCCATTGTCGTCCGTTAACTTTTACAAAAATCTTCTCCTCTGAAACTACTGAGACAAATTTACCCAAACTTGCCCATAATCATCATTAGTGTATTTAGTTTAAAAAATGTGTCCGATGACCCCGCCTGCCAACCAACATGGCTGACATGGCTAAAAATAAATATAGGGGTAAAATGCAGTTTTTGGCTTACATCTCTGAAACTAAAGTATTTAGAGAAATCTGACATTTGGTAAAAATGTTTATCAGGTTGAGATCTATCTGCCCTGAAATTTTCAGACAAATCAGACAAGCCGTTGTTGGGTTGCTGCCCCTGAATTAGTAATTTTAAGGAAATTTTGCAGTTTTTGGTTATTATCTTGAATATTATTATAGATAGAAATAAACTGTAAACAGCAATAATGTTCAGCAAAGTAAGATCTACAAATAAGTCAACATAACCAAAATTGTCAATTGACCCCTTAAGGACTTATTGCCCTTTGTAGTCAATTCTAACAATTTTTCTTAAATTTTTGTAATCTTTTACAAAAATCTTCTCTACTTAATCTACTGGGCCAAATAGAATTAAACTTAGCCACAAATTTCAATATGGTATCTTGATTGAAAAATGTATCTGATGACCCTGCCATCCAACCAACATAGCCGCCATGACTAAAAATTGAACATATGGGGTTTACTATAGAAGTCTATTGGAAAATTGTAAAAAAACAATTTCAAATGGTCACAACTTGAAAACTAATTTATATAATGATAAGGGGTCTTCAGTAACTATTGTAAGACTACAATGGGATGACTTGCTTTTAATTTAACTACTGGGCCAAATTAAACCAAACTTGGCCTCAATCATTATTAGGGTATCTAATACTATTTATTATGATTTTAACCTTATTTTACATGATTTCCAAAACCACAGTAGATACAGGTGAGCGACACAGGCTCTCAAGAGCCTGTGGTTTTTGCTTTATGTACATCTTCACATGATGCTTTTCCTTTAAGTAAAGTTTCATTAAATCCATCTACATTTAATGAGCTCACCCAAACAGACAGGATGATTCTTATATAACTCCCAAATGTTTTGCAGTTGGTATATTGAAAATGAAACATGTTGTCATGTAGTTACTTGCCTCTGTCTCTTTAATCAGGTGGTCTACTTCCTTGTTGGTATAAAATGGTGCTGTTTCTACATTCTGTTGTCTCCATTCTACTCCTCTAGTTGTTACCATTATCTGTAAGTAAATCTCACTTTTTAATAATCAGTAAGACCTACAACTATTCCAGATATTACCAAACAAAAAGTAGGGTGATGTTTTAATAAAAATATTAGTGGTGCACTATTTTTGGCCTGAGGTATCAGAAGTTTGTGGAAAAATCATTCAAAACTTTACACATGAAGGGTATCTGCAAAAATCTTGACCCATCAGAGTCTTATATTTCAGGAATAGCCTAGAAAAGATCATGTATGTTTGAAACCCCTCCAGCAAAAATGCCTCACCTTTTTTAAACTTAATTTGACCAATGGAGCTGAAATTGAGTCTAAGGCCATATCACATACTTCTTATTGAATCAGAAGGTCATATTTTCCCTGCAATCAATCTAAATACAAAATATTGTTACCCTATAGTTTATAGTAACTGAGGAACAGACCTCATCCTGAAATCTGTTTATACTCCTCCCAACCAATCTAAATACAAAATATTGTTACCCTATAGTTTATAGTATCTGAGGAACAGACCTCATCCTGAAATCTACTTATACTCCTCCATACCAATCCAAATACCAAATATTGTTAATGAAGGCAGAAGAACCTTTTTCAGCACTTTGGGATTGAGCCATTTAATTTTAAAAACTTTAGGAATAACCCCTTATGTCTTGGAGAATTTGGGAATTTGGGATTTGATGTTATTTTAATGCAGGAATGAACACATTATTTTCACAGGAATTTAGGCATGGGTATTTATGTTCTCTGGAATTTGGGATAAGAACCCATCCTACAATAAAACGTATTGGTATGTCATGTCATGAAATTCAATAAATCATGAACACTGCCATACCCTAAAATGGTGTAACAATTAACAGTACATTATTTTCCTATCAAAAGTAGGGATTTAACCTGGAACCCTTAGCTCAGTAAGCCACAGAAAACTTACTTTATCATGTTTCTTTAAGATCTTTCTAAAGCCTGTGAAGTTCAGAGACTGATAATTCTGTAGAAGAATTAAACTAAGGTAAAATTCACTGAATGCTAGCTTCAGATCATGGAGTTTTCTGGTGTGTATCTGTGCAGTCTCTCTGTTTTCTTTATCCTTAAACAAGGAATAAACAGCATTTGATTTCCTCCTTCGTAGTCCATGGGGTTTATGTGCATGTTCCAGAAATGCATCAAGCTCTGCTCTTAAGCTAGCAAATTTCCTATTGGCTTCTGATATTTTTTCTGTTAAAAAATAACATTATATGTGTATTCAACAATACAAATATCAATTAAATCTTGCACCTAAATAAAAATTTCAAAAAAACAAAGTTTTCAATATTTCTATTTAAAAAAAAATCATTTTAGAAGCAATTTTTAGTACTCCGTCAATAATCCACATCTCTGGATCCATTTCCTCACTCACTATAGTTTTTGTTCTCACTCTCTTTTAGGAGAGTTATACAAATTTGTCAATGACAGTACTATATCTTCTCAATTCCAGTGTTATAATATTATATTTACTAATGAGAAGCCTTGATTCTTATAAATATGCTCTTTTCTGTCATTGACATTGTTTTTAAGCTAGAGTAAAATCGCAATTTTTACCACAGACATTATGCTAAAGGTTATATTGGGATAAATTCATGATCTTCATATTATAAACTGATCATGGTGATTAACATCTAAATAAAACTCCCTGACAATCTGAAAAACAAAAACTTGCCATAGAAGAAAGTGTTGATTTTAGACAATTCTTTGTCACAAAACTGAAAGAATCTTTCATCAAATCTTGCATAGTATCTCTGTAATGTACTGGCATCAGCAACTGAAAAATTAAAAGAAAAATTAAGACAAGAACTTATAAAAAATTGTGTTTGCATACATGTGACTAGCCATGAAATTTCCAAGTTTAAGTGGGTAGCTAGGCTAAAATATGTTTATTGCAAATTTTTCAATTACAGACTGAAAGAAAACACCCTGTCAAGTTATTTTGACAGTTTCTTCAAAATAAAGAACTTACAGGTTATTTTGTATTTTGCCAAGAAAAGCATTTAACAGCTGATGTAAAGATTTTCGGAAACATTTGTAAAGTATTCCATCAGCTTCTTATCAATTTCAAGAAGCATACATATTTTTACTTTATATTTAATGAAAAAGTAGTTATCGCCTACAAATGACAGTATGATTTTCGTTACAATTCAGTTTACATTCTCCCGTTAAATGCAACGAATATATTTAGTTAAAAGATGACTTATTGTTCTTTTGTGTCATTGTATTGACGTCTCCTTTATGTTTACTTTGTGTCACTTTTCATTCATATACGTATTAAATTTGAAAAGCTGAAAGAACAAGGTCTATTCTACCTTTCTGCAAATGGTCTTTAAAACTTTCATTAATGTCAAAAGATTTTTCCAAAGTTGTTTTGGAATAAAATACAAAACTATAGAACTAATCAAACTGAGTGGTCACCATTTTTTACTTTTATGATTGGCTTTTACCAATATCTTTATTGCTTTCCTTATGAATAGAATAGAGAATGGAAATGGGGAAAGTGTCAAAGAGACAACAACACGACCATATAGCAGAAAACAGAAAAATGGGTCTTCAATGCAGTGATAAAATCTCACACCCGGACACTGGCCCCATAACAATAATGTATACTAGTTTAGCCAAATGGACCCCACACTAAACTCTGAAACATACAAATGAACAAAATAAATAAATGGTTGACATAGACATATGTCTTGCCTTTTTGTAATTTTGATAGTATAATGCAAATATTGAATCCAAACGGCAACATTTAGACATGTGAACTATGCAAAAAACTCCAAAATAAATAAACCATGACTTATGGTGCAGGACCAAATATATCCCAATGAAAATGATTTTCCATTCGGGGTTAAACATGTTTTGTGAGATATCAACCCTCCCCTATACCTCTAGCCAATGTGAAATAAACAAACACACAGCAAAAAACACAGTAAAAATAGTTTACTAGTGCACACAATGACATAATAAATATGATTTTGTATTAATAATGAAATAACTTCAAAACATCTTTACACAGAGAAGTTTCAAAAACAAAATATGCATTAATGTATTTAACACTTTAAGACATGCATTTAGATTTGCTCTGGTAGAGATCCTATGCAACCATTGAAATAGTACCAAGATGTATACAAGTTCTTGAAATTAATCAAACTTAAAAAATTAATATTGATGAAAAAATATAAATAACTAAACCTAATTGAATAAAATCCGATCAGTAAAAAAACAATTAATCTCACCCGAATACAATAACCCTAGAAAATCATAAAGCTATATATGAAATGGTTTAAATGTATTCTTTTTATCGTGTGTTCATTTGTTTACACATTTAGTGAAAATATTTAGAAAAAGTTATCTATTTTAATCATTTAATTAGCAAAAGAATATGTACTAACTTATACAATAAATTTTCATAATTATAATCATGATAATGCAAGAAATATGGCTGAAAAAGAAAGGGACCAATAAACTTTGAAAATGCTGAATTGGTGTTAGTGATAGCCTCAAACATATCATTACAGTAGGAACTATGTAAGTCAAAAAATTGTTCTTTTGTGTCGTTGCACTGACATCTCCTTTATGTTTACTTCATGTCACTTTTCATTCATATTCGTATTAAATTTGAAAAGTTGTAAGAGCAAGTTCTATCCTACTTTTCTACAAATGGTCTTTAGAACTTTCATTAATGTCAAAAGATTTTTCCAAAGTTGTATAGGAATAAAATAGAAAAATTGTTCCATGGTGGGGCAATATATTAATCAGTTAGATGCTCTTTTAACATCACCCATCTATAGCATTAAAAGGAGATATGGAGTATAAGTCAATGAGACAGCAACTCAAAGACACATAAAAAACTTAGACATCTGGATGTCAACATACATTCTTAAACAAATGATAACTGTCCATACCATGTCAAGTTTTAAATCCAGGAATAATCTAGAATCTAGTCTCTAAAGTCTAGACTTTTCATGAAAAAAATTAACACAAACTAACAAAGATCTGCCATCAATACCAAATAAGTCACCAAAGTTTTGTGGTAATAAGCATTGCGTATAAGTTTCATAAGAACATTTGGTTGAGGCAAACTTAGGTTAGAGAAAGGAAACGAAAAATTCAGCAATTTTTTCTTTGGTAAAGGGGCAAAACTCTAGAATGGTAAAGTGACGCCACCCAAATTCAAACTAGATCTGTGTTTTGTGGTAATAAGCATTGTGTATAAGTTTCATAACATTTGGTTGAGGCAAACTAAAGATAGAGAACACTTAATGTCCCCTCCGCTGCAGCAGGGGAATAAAAAACAAAAAGATATAGCTAAAGACAACCACTGCCAAGATTCTTTACCTGGGACTATCACACTGACCATTTCTGATATCAACATGCACTAAAAATTAATTCAAATAAATGAAATCAGCTATTTCATCAAAAATTCTATCTAAAAGTAATGTTGGTAATTTTAGTTGAAGGGCAGGTTTATCCAACATAATTCTGGAAAGGTTCATCAAAAGACTTATTCTTGAATATTTGCTTATTACATGATACAATTGCAGAGTAAATTATCAAATGTGCGTACTACCCTAATATAGTCTGCTGTACAGTGAAGTGGACATGGCAAACCTGTCAAAAGTTGATTGGCTGTTGAAACATCTGATCAAATATCATTTTATAAATTAATCACCCAAGGGTTGATTCAAACTCTGTTTCAAACTGGAACACTAGTTTCAACAAGACCCCAATTGATAGCAATAGTTCATACTGATCCTGGAACAGATTATCTCAAAATATGGGTTAGATCAAACTTAAACAGGGATTATACTCAAAAATATAGTCTTGACATACCTTCTGTAGATGGAGACTGCTCAGAAGCTTCATAAATTAAATCTTTTAAGGCCTGCAAGTAAATATATATCATTAAAACATTGAACTGTTGTATCTGTCTCAATACAACTTATATTTAAAAATATAAGTTAAACATTAAGATATGAAGTATTGTACCTTTTAACATGATAATAATTAAAATTTATCACTGATCACAAGATTTCTTGACAGCAGTTTGAAATTTAACCATGGAGTGCTTCAGCAAGAAATGTACAGAAATTCACAAAAGAATAGAAATGTTTTGTGAATTTTTATTTTTGACATTTTTTTAACCTGTTCAGAAAACTGAAAATATCAGTGACTACAGTACTCACTTTCAACTGGTCAAATTTTTAAATAATCAAATCCTAAAGCAAACTAGACCAATACCAGGTCTGAACCTTCGTTGCTGCATGCAATTGATTTAGGTACATGTAACATGTGAACTTAAGCATACATGTAACTGATGAAGACCATTTCCAAAACTTATAATGTTTAATTGGACTTGATAAAGTATATCATGTATATCATTAATGCAGGGTTAACATGGTTAAGGGATGAAAATGTTTGAATGTAACAATTTATTTGGCATATATACAATACAATACAATACAATACAATATTTTTATTTTTCCAAATTAAAGGGCCCATTAAGAGCATAACATTAATAACAACATGACATAGACATTACAGAGTGATTAAAGAAACATAAAATAATAGTTCAAATGCATGAGGAAAGGGTCAGTGGTCAAGGGGAGATAATTTTGCTATCTATTAGAGTATTTAACTAATTTTCTGATTTTCTAAGTTGCAGGCCTTTATCAAGGTTATAATGCACATAACATGCATAAAATAGATGTGATTGTATATATAAAAAACAATTGATATATTTCTGAATAGGTTTAAAGAATCTTAATTTTAAACTATCTGCAAACAGGAAGTGGCTGCATGGCAGATGTAAAAAAATGTTTATGCTCCATCACTCAGTATAATGAAGCAACAGACCAAATATAAAACTATTCGCTTTCATAGAAGTAAAAAAAGTTTGACAAAAATTTTTCGTTGTATTATTTCAAACTTAAGGCAAAGCCTGCATGGCAGATCTAAACAATGAAGAATAAATTACAATGTACTTGCAAATTCACACATTTAGCTAGAGGAGAGCATTTTCATACTACATCCATGTATAATTTCAAATAACAGTTGTTTTGTCAAATGTCAACATTATCCAAATAAATTGTTGGAATAATTACACTAAAAACTTTATGTTCTTAAATGCTGATGTTTCATATCATAAAATCTCCTACAATAATCGATAAATAGATCTATAAATCATCAAAACTATAACTGTAATTAAACCATAATGTGCATTTATTATACTTTATCATTCATTTCCTGAACATCAAAATGCATGAAGTCTGACAGGTCAGTTGACAATAATTAAAGCTTACATAACAATTCATTTCATTTGAGAAAATTTTTGTTATAAAGGATTGGAATAATCTACCAGTTGATGTGATTACATCAAAAAACTAGCTATTTAATCATTTAAAATAAATATACATGTAGACCGTCAGACTGGGTCAGAAAGTGATGTATCAATTCAGTGACAGTGAATTGAACAGAAACAGTTAATTTATAAAGTTTTAATTGTAACAAAATATTGCACCAAACCCTGCAAGATTGACGTCTGTTACTGTCTGTAAATAGTTTTTTTTAAGAGTACCAAAATATGGTGGGAAAAAAGGATAATAATAATCTTTCCCTACAAGCCCTGTGACAATCCTACAGGTAGAAGTCTTCCTGGGCTGCTCCATTACGATTAATGGACAGTATTGTAACCATATCAGTAGAGTTGCATAAAAAAGGTTACATTATTGTACATGTTTCTACAGTACTTTCTAGGGGACACAAGGTTAACGTTACATTACATGTCTATTTATTTACCTCATATTGTATGTATTGCTTCCTCCATTCTGGGGTTATATGAGCACCAAGATGTTCAGCGAATTTCATCTTTTTTCACCCTAAAACATCTAATTTTCAAATCTGACCAAATACCAAATGCTTGACCTTTCAGTGGCTGTTGTTGTCTGTTGACTGTTGTTTAAAGAAATTGAAAGTAGACACAGATGAAGTCTTTTTGCTTATCGTCAATTTTTATGTTTGCCATACGATTTAAACTGTCAAATTAAATATGCATTAATTTGTCAAGTAATCTATCATGTTTGTACTTAATACTTAAGTCAATGGACCATAGAATTTGCTATTGAACATTAACAAGTATCATTCTTCTCTGCTCTATTTTTACCTGATGTGAACAACGTCACAAGAAGTGTGCAATACACACATACCAATGACGTAGCAAGGTTACTACACAAAGCTTTTGGGTAAGGTGACAGGTGCGAGGATTTAAAAGTGTAAAACTTGAAATCATGACTGGACAGAACAAACAGTATTGAAATAAACTTTGGTATGGGTTGAAAAGAGATAAAATGTGAAAATGGAAGTGGGTTAGAATAAGGATATTGACATTCGTGGCGCGAAAATGTTTAATAATCAAACAAAAAATCGAACTCACGAACACCTGTCTCCATCAGATAGACTTCATGAAATTGATAATGGTTATCATGAAAAACACGAAACACACCAGGAACAAGATCAAAATATTCAACCACTGATGGAATTTACTGATACAGATAAAATTTTCAATAACAATGAAAGCACTGATCAAGCTAACATGACAATTCGAAACAACAAATATTTGACATCCGACTTTGACATAAAAAGGGATTCTATAAAGTCTGGATTAATGAAATATCCTTGGATAAATAGGACTGACAAGTCTGATATAGAATTGAACATGGAGCCGTGCTCAAAAAGGGTATGTGTTCACATTCACTCCATTTATCATATTAAAGTTCATCTTTATACACATGTGAGCATTGAGCAATCTGATTAAAATAGACATACTTGTATTTACACTTGTATATAAACTTGTCTGCCATTACTTAAAAAATTGAATTTGACGTCAAAATTAAAAAGTGATTAAAAAAATGTAGCTTGACGTCAGAAGGTTATTTCAAGACAGATCTAGATCTAGGGTCATTCGGTCTCAAAGTTCAGCTAAATCTAAAGTGTAAATACTTCTAAATACCTCTAATACAGATCGTGTGTCCATGTTTTTCTTAAGGGGATCTAACATTGCTCTTTTGTTATTCTCAGTATTTTGAATTAATTCCTTTTCATATTATGTTTTTTTGCAATGATGCACACCTTAAACAATTTGGAGGCATAAAATTCATTGGTTGACTTAACATGATAATCATAAAAACGTAGAGCGTTCACAGATAATTGTAAGCAAAGCAATGGACACTGAGGATCTGTGTTTCTATCAGATTGATGCATGAAAAACTTTGACCAAACCAAATTTACATATACATGTAAATAAGAAGATGTGGTATGAGTGCCAATGAGACAACTATCCATCCAAGTCACATTGTGTAAAAAGTAAACAGTTATAGGTCAAAATACGGCCTTCAACACGGAGCCTTGGCTCACACCGAACAGCAAGGGCTCCAAAAAGGCTTGTGTAAAACAATTCAAACAGGTAAACCAACGGTCTAATCTATATAAAAAATGAGAAACACTTATGAACCACACCAACGCATTGATCATCAAATTCATTTATTCATGGTAATCTTTTGATTTATTAGCTCTTTTCCCTGTACTCTGTGTTTTTTAAATACTTTTACAACATTACAATAGAATAATCATGATAATTATATAATTGCATATTCATTTAACATGTTTCTAACATTGATTTTATTTTATAAGAATTTTGTTGATTATCTAACACATTATCTTTATTGTCATACAATTATGAAATTAAGACTGAAACATTTGAAAAGTTGGAACTGTAATAATGGAAGATAGCGGAGGATTCTCAGAAAGTCTGGTATTTTTTCCATATAATATTTTTTTAAGAAGTCAAAATTAATTATGATATATGCCAGGAACAAAAATAATCACTTTTTTGTTTTACCTTGAAAATGGCATATTATATACAAAATGTATATAAAAGTCCTCAACCTGTTTAGCTGTCATGCATCTTTTTATATGCTGTTGAAATAGACCTGACAAGACTTTTTAGTGTTTTTTTCAAAAGCTAACAAAGGGTTTTAAATGATAGGCAGTATCCAGTGATTACCATCTGCTACTGTGCTCCAACTTCAACCTAGTTAGCTAGGTTACATCAGACTGTTGTATACAGTGAGTGAATAAACATGATGAAATATACAAATTACTAAACTACCTTATTTGGCAGGTTAAAAAATTCACTTTAAAATCTTTAAAACCTTTGGCTAGCCAGGGTTTTCTGAAAGTAAGTAAAATCAGGACCTTTACCTAATATTTTGTTTTCTACCAATTTTCTTATCAATGAATATCCTGCTTTGACCATTGAGATTGATATACAAGCTATGGGCCTTTTTGACCTTTCTTTTGCAAATTCATAAGAATGGAGCCCCTTAAAGACCTTTTAAGATAAAACGAATATACAAATGTAGGCCTGTTTAGCGTATGAACCCTTTGAGCTGATGTTGTAATCCATGTTTTGATGATCATTTGTCATTACTTTAACTTAAACATATACACACATACAATGTACATGTAAAGTGAACAGCTCCTGAATGAATTATAATGTATTTGCAGCCTTTAAACATTGATCTTGCATATACTATGGAAATTACTTTACTAATATATTATAATTGTGACTCATTCAACATGTCTCCATCATATAGTGCAAATGTACCAGTGTATTACCAGCAAAAAATATGGTCATAATCAAACTAATTCATGGACTTACAAATGTACTGTCATGACGGTTTATTTTATATTCATTTTAATAATTATCAGGTACATTGTTTGTAAATATATACATGTACAACTACATGTATGAATTTAGATAAATCACATAATAGTCATTATATGTGTTGGTTACACAAACTGACCATTTGTATGTTGTCTCTCATCCCTTTTTATATCAGGTACATGTTTGATCATTTTGGTTCTGGTTTTTGGATATTAGGAATTAAAATATTGAACATTACAAATACATATTGTTGGCAAATGTATGAGTATTTTGGTGCAGAAGTAAAAATGTTTTTGTTTTCGGAATGAAACAAAAAATAATAAAATAGTTTCCGTAAGTTAACTATTAGTATTACCATGATTACTGGTACCAGAAGTCTATTACTAGATGAAGTGTGCAGTCTGTGCTATATAAATTTACTTGGGCAATCACACTGTCCCAGTCTAAGCTTTTATGAGTGGAAAGCACTATTGGTAGTTCTCCCAAATCTTGTTTTACAACTATGGAATCTTGCACAGAAATTATTACCACATTGTTGGCCTAAAAACTATTTAGATTTCTGATGTTTTTGATATGTTTAGATTATTTTTATACATGTACATTTTTTTTGTACCTCCTCATTAATAGTTGGGGAGCATACATTGCAATATTCTTGTCTGGCCATCAAGGTTTCATTCAACTTGTCTACATAAGGTGTACCGTGAATATAGTTGTAATAACTCTTTCTGTATTGTGTTTTTGTACCGTGAATATAGTTGTAATAACTTTTTCTGTATTCTTTTTTACTTCTTGTCTTTTTTGTACATAAGAGACGTGCATATCATGATGATTTATGTATCGGACAAACTATCCTACAGCAACACGTAGGTTGTCAAACTTAGATCTTTTTACCAATTTTTGCATTTTCATGGTGGTAGCAACTTCTTCTACATTTTCAACCTACAACTTTACCATTATTGTTGTAGATTACAAACACCAGAGAACATGCATATCATGATGGTTTATAGTCCTTAAACAATTTCTTAGGGATATCATACGTTTCTTCAAATGTTTAAAACACTTTTTTTACTCCCACATACAAATAGCATTAGGAGGTGAACTAAATTTAATAAGCTGGAATTCCTACATTCTGTCTAGCTCTGAGCTTGACAAGAACTTGCACAGAATTGATGATATTTGAAATGAGGCTGAGGGTGCATGTTGTTTTTTTTTAATTTAATGTTCATGTATAAGTCAGTTAAATTGCAAAAATTTGAAATGAAATTAAAATGTTCATTTTCTGTAAAAACACTTCTTAAATTCAGCATTCAATTTTTCTTCCACCAAAGTTTTTTTAAGGCTAAATTGGTCAAACCTCTTGTTTTAAGAGATTTTGAAATATAAATGTATATATTTCAAATTGCTATGCTTAAAAAGATTGTGTGCTCTAGATATGAAATTTTAAATTTGACAAAATCATTTTATTGACACAAATAACAGAATGTTTACCATACATATTTGAGTTAAGTATTTAAAGGGAATTTGAGTACCATAATACAGTATTTAAATATTTTTGTAAACTATATACATGTTTGGCCTTGATTTTTGCAAATATTAAAGATCAGGTTAACTAACTTCAACTTAGATATAAATAAGAAAAGAAAAAATCTGAAAATGTTGATCTAAAAAGTTCTGAAGTATTTAAAAGTTTTGATTATATTGGCTTAAAATGTAACTGTTCTTCAATATATAACATATTAACATTTTCTGATGATAGTTAAAGATGAGGAATATCAGAGACATATAATATATGTCTCTGGGAATATCTAGTGTTGACAATTAAACCACTATTGCTTAAAAACCTAGTTATGACATCATCCAACAATTTTTTTTAAGATTTAATGCTTTTGTTCAAAACTGTAAAAAGAGAAAATTTGAAGGAAATGATTAATGATGCTGAATTTTTCATATATGGTCTTAACTGTGTAAATATAAAAAAAAGAAGATGTGGTATGGTTGCCAATGAGACAAATATCTATCAAATCCAAATAACATAGATGTAAGAAACTATAGGTCACCATACAGCTTTCAAAAATGATCAAAGTCCATTCCGCATAGTCAGTTATAGAATACCCTTAAATGACAAAATGTAAAACAATTCAATCGAGAAAACCAATGGCCTGATTTTTGAAAAAAACAATAATTGAAAAAAATTTAAAAGACAGTAACCAACAACACCCACAGATTACAGGCTCCTAATTTTGGACAGGCACATATAGAATATGGCAGGGATTTCAAAGTTCACTTATTAAACAATTAAAAAATTAATGGTCAATGTACTTGTTAATTTTTTATAATTTTTAAGAAACATAAAAAATGCAATCTCTGACTTTTTGCCAAAACAAAAGATTTAGATTTTTCTTCTGACCTTTCTGTACTATTCCGTCCTAAATCTTGTTTTTGAGCTCCAATGGCTCT